CACTATTATTATTATTATTATTATTAATATTACTATTATTATTATTATTTTACTTATTATTATTAAATTTTTTAGAAAATTTATCTAAAAATTACACACAAATTAACACAAAAAAGCAATAACTAACCGTAAACTAGATAAGATATATTAAAGTTCTCAATTTTCGTCTTAGCGAACCAGAATTAACTAAAGTATTTTACAAAATTTCCTAAAGCGCACCGCAACCTTCAAACTTCACAATTTACTGTTTAGTTGCACGTTGAAAACGTTTGATCTGTGCCCGCACCAATTATGAGTGTTAAAGAGGATTCTGCTGGATAACGAGCGAGCAATTTTAGTCGACTAAGATCAAATCGTATCTGATAGCTTCCTTTGACGTAGACAGAATCTTTTAGTAAGCCGGATTTCCATTTCCTGCGACCCTCGACTATTTTCCTGCTCCGAGTTTTTTATGATTAAAGAGATATATTATGCGTTATACTACTTTCGATTAAAGTAATTTTATTGGTTACAAACAAAAATTTGCTATTTTATTAAACCAGCGTTGACTGTTTTTCCAAAGATAAACTTTTCAACAACAAAGCAGATGTTTCTCTTTTAAAGTTTTCTCAGAAGCTATCACATACAGTTTTTCATTCTTAATATATTGAATAAGTCAATTAAATCTTATAAATCAATTTTATATTAAAATAAAATTATAATTATAATTCGTTAACAAATAAAATATTTTTGCAAGTATTAGTTGTGTTACAAATAAATTTCAATTTTTTAATTATTTTGCTAAATGATTAAAATAATTAGAGATTGATTTATAAATTAAGTTTTAAAATCGTATTTTTCAATGTTTGATACTCTTAATAATTACTTAACATAAATTATATCAGTATTGTCCAAATGATTTATATCATAATTCTTTTTTACAGTTGTAATTCCAAATATAATTATATCATAATTAAATAAAAATATGTGCCAGTATAATTTTAGCTTAAAAAAATATGAAAATAATCTGGAACATCTTGTAAAGTATTTAAGTTAAAATAAATTAATATAATAAACATTAACGTTTCATTTAATCATTTTAAATAAATATTATTCTATTTAAGTAACTATGAAAAAAAATTTTGGAAATGTTTACAATCTATTAGAAAAATTTGGACACACATACACACATCACTGATTTTCATAGTTGCAAGAGAAGTGTCATAGATCCCATTACAGAACTTCAAGATTTAGCTTAATGCATAGACAGAGGCTTTTTATAAAGGATGTGGAGCATTTCACACCCAGAGCTCTTGTGAATGTTGAATTCCACACCCAGAATTTAAAATATATTTTTTTTTAATATTAATTTTTCGACAAATTTTTTAATTTTGTGTAATAAAAAAACAATATTTGACTAGAGTGTACAATTGTATACATATATAGAAATATATTTCATGCATATACAATATAACATAAAATATTTGTGTTATTTTAAAATTCCGCTCCCCCCCCCCCTTTTTTCCCCCCCCCCCCCACTGTTTGGATGACTCCACATCCAAAAAGGTTAAAAGTCTCCGTCCTTGGATTAATTACAGTTAGATTCTTATGAGAAAATTCCGCCTCAGTTACTGTGACGTAATGCATACTGTGTCAATACTGTCAATCTCCGGCAAAGGAAAATCCGTTTCCTTTGATCGAAAATCCGAATGTAGTACTGATAATTCGACGATCCAAGGAATTATTTTACTGTGAGATTGGCTGCCAGACGTTGGGAGATTTGCGCATTTATTACGATTAGGCTGCTGTCCTGAAATGTGGAAAAACAATGCTCTTTATAGAAATCCGATTAAGAAAATTATATAAATTTGCAAACCACTATAAAAGATATAATATAAAAAATATAATTTCAAGCTAAATTATATTATAAATCATAAAGCCGCCTTTAATTAACTTTTTAGAAATTTAAAGAATAGAGATTTTCTATTTAAAACATTTCTTTCTAAATTTTTTTTTAATTCAATTAACTAAAAGTTATTAAATTTTTCAAGAGACAATTACAATTTGATTATAATTGAACTTTAACTCGATAACATAGCTCTAATTATAAAGCGAAGGATAAGAAGTAATTTCTACTTGGCTTTAGATAAGGTCTATTACTTCACAGGAGACATCAAGATTAGGAATATTGGAAGATAAGAAGCGGTGGAGCAAAAGCTATTACATCAATAGTATCTATAGGCTGGATGTAATCTCGAGAATTCTAATACATTGTCATTTCCTTTCACCATTTCCTGCGCTGGAATTTCCTTGCTCTGTAAAGTGAGACACAAAAGACAAGATTGTTTCATTTTTGTTTCATACGAGGGGGTAATCACTTAATGTAATCGTGGGACGGAGTCCCTGAAATCATTATAAAATTTATATAAAATTTCGATATATAATCCGACAATTACAGGAAATAATTGTGTAATATTAGATAAAATCGTTTATTTTACGAACTGACCGCATATATAGTGAGGAAAAATTATTTGTCATCAAATAAAATTATATAAAATTAAATGAAATCATGTAATCTGTGGGACAATATTTCAGATGGTGGTTACCCCCTCGGTTTCATATTTATTTACTTAACACGTAAAAAATATAAATGGTATTAAAGTTGCAATTGAAGCTGCATTAGCGAAAAATTGCTACGTAATTGCTTGCACATCGGAAACATTCAACGTAACGTATGCCGAAAAACGTATTATATTATCTTTTTTACGCAAGTAAGCAAGAGCAAACAAAATTAAAGCAATAAGGAATATTAAAAAATAATTATTCTCTATACAATATTATTCTTTGTACAATATTAATATATCGAAAGCAGCTTCTAAATACCTCGAAAAAGTACGCATTCAATTTTTTTATCTCTCTGTTCTTGTATTCTGTAAACAATGTGGAATTATATAAGATTGGCGAAACGGATAAATCGGCGGATTGGTGCCGACCTTTGAAAGGCCTTTTTCAATTATTACTCACTCGACAGGCCGATCTGGCGGAGTATTTCCACCGCGACAACACAGTCTCATCAACCCGGTAGGTCTCGTTTCTTCCTCTTCCATTACGATCACTATGACACAAGGCAAAAAAAAACGTATTGGTAATAGCGCTTTTATTTATATTCGACAATAAAGTTGACAACAAATATTGTGCAATAAATAAAATTTTCTGCAAAATTAAAAAAAAACTATAAGTTTTTAAAGAACAAACATAAAAAAGTGATAAATATATATATTTCTTACAGATATTTTTTAATTTGTCCTTTGTATTGTATTTCACATAAGAAAGAGATAATTCAATGTTTTGAAGATTAATATGCAATTTACAGAGAAGATTTTATTATTATTACGTAAGTTCTCTGTATTAATGTCCAAGAAGGAATTCAACTTGCTATAATAGTGTAATAACGTCATTCGAATACAATTATGTACTCCAGTGATCCGATAGATGTGACGGTATTATGTGAAAGTATCTTCAAATGAGAATATTTCTAAGAATTTTTATTATATTATAATGATCTCAAATAATAAATCATAAAATTGCGTTTTATAATATATAAGGAAAATATTTTTTTTAATTCAATGTTGCTAAAACGTAAAAAATATATATTGTATATAATTTTACTGTACTAAGATATTTTAAGCTCGAACAACATGAAATTTTTGCATAAAAAATTTTTTTCTGTTGCAACATTTTAAAATGTAATTTGTGATATTATTTATGTAATGATATTACAGATTTGATTACTGTTTGGATTAGACTTGGAAAATTCTTGTGTAAGCATTGGTAAATGTATACATATGTTACTTAGATCGTAATCTTTTCGTCTTCAATTGACATGCATACGTGTCTTTTGTACTTTTTCTTTAAAACATTTATACTAATGTTATATATTTAAAACATTTATACTAATGTTATATATAAATAAATTATTAATTCATTAATAAAAAATTAAATCAACGCCAATGCTTGACCATATTGTAATTATTATGAAAAGGGAAAACTATTAATTATTCTCAAAGGTTTCGAACAATAATTTATCGTAATGAGTAATGTTTTTCATAATAATCGAATTTATTATACATAATTCAACGAAAAGATCACTTAAAATTAGTGCTAAAAAGGACTTTTATTCAAATTTATAGTTACGTATCTTAGCAAAAAATAATCAATGGGAAAACAATGACGTTTTAAAGAGTGCTTTGAAATTAAAAATCTCAATCTTTGAATGCTTCGAAGAATCAAGGAGCATGCATTCTCTTGCATTTAGTTATCTCATTAATAAGTAGCACTTATTGATCGGTGATATTAAAGATTTTTCAATAAGAATACATTATCGGCTTATGTATAATCCATAATCCGATATTATAACTTTTCAATTTCCACAGAACTGTTAAACTGCAATCAGCCATCTAATATATTAATGAGAATTATATCAAATAACACGCACACACACATACTGCAATCGCCTTTATATAGTAGGGTAGGACGGGGGTAGTTGAGCCACTTTTTCTTTAAATTATTATAAATCTTTACACAATTATGATAGACTAATGATAAATGCTTTAAAACGTTGCATGCTTATCTACCTCAACAATTAAATACTTATAAATCCTTAATATACCTCATTAATTAGAAAGAAATTATTTTAATTGCAAGGATGCAAAGTGGATCAATATGCCCCACCAATGGGGTATAGTGGGCAACTCCGAAGGACAAGTTGAGCCATGAAGGTAATTGTGTGTATTAAGGTTATATATAATTTAAAAAATTGCAGAATTAGATGAGTTAACGAAATCTTTATTACAGTTTGTAACTTCTTTTTATAATAATCTGTACTTTCTTTGTAAATATAAAAGAAAAGAACAAAAATGAAACTAAAGTTTTAATGATAAAGATTATGAATGCAATAAAGAAAGAATAATAAATAAATAAAATGAACAATTCTAGATTATTCATAAGTTAATTTCAGCACATATGATAATAAAACAATGGTGGCCATCGGCCTCCCCCCCGCACCCACCCCGTCGGTGGAGGTTTGCCCCAACAGTACAATCACAGCAATAGTACAATCGTAGAAGTCGTGTGCTCCTGTACGGGAGTGGGGGGATGAAAGTTACTTCGCGTGGAAAGTTCAACGTTTCTGAACAGGGAAAGATGTAGAATAGTACTTCATATCATACATGTATAGCATACGTTAAAACTGTGTTTGTTAATAACTTTTTAACAAAGGACGAGCGACGGCTTAAACGTGTTGGAGGTTACTCAGGGTCATGACCTTGATAACATATCTCAAGGTCAAAGTCATTGGAGGGGGGTCCCCTCATAGACACATTTACCAAAACAATAGTTACTTGCCTTTTAAAAATATCAAATATTTTTTTAAATTATAAAGAATTTTAATTTGTTAAAGTTATGTACTTTATATCATTATTACGAATCTCGTTAAAACTGTAAATATGTTACAAGTATCAATTACAAATATTCAACAAGTATAGGTATTAAACCAGAGTTTTTGAATCAATATTCTACTATATATTGATGTGCTCCAAATGTACAACGAAAATTTTAAAGAAGTAAAAAAGAAAACGAAAAAGAAATGAATAAAAAAGAGCGAATGAGATAAAAAATGTTTTAAATATTGTGAAAATTATACTTAAATTATATGTTTATGGTTTATCTTTATTTTAATCAAATCGAGAGCTTTGCAATTATTATTACAATAAAATTATTTTTATATAAAACGATAAAATATAAACTTTAAAACTTTATTTTATTTCTAAACACACACACACACACACACACACACACACACACATATTATAATGTACCATGAATTAAAAAAGATTGAAAAACGCTAAATTAGATTATTCATGCTATTTTCTCAATTAACCCGAGGCAGAATTTATACTTTTTTCTTCTATAGATATTTGTTCGATGGAATATTCTATGGAAATATGTCTTCGAGAGATAATGCAAAGTCAATTTTTAAAAAGTTCAACATGATTCTCATTAGAGAAAAGATTGTCTGCGCTATTCAAATGTTTTTGTTGCTTATTTTAGTATGTAACGTACACTTTCAAAAATATTCGTTTTAAAAATTAATTGATTTTTACTTACCCGAAGTTATTCGGTGAGATTGACCGCCGCTAAGGGTCGACTGTCTTCTGGTCTGTAGATCGCCTCCTCTTAGAGAAAGATAAACAGCAATGGTTTTATCCAAAGCGAGTTTTACCTAAATCAAAGAAAGATATAAAACTCTTGTCTGTTTCGTTATAAAGAACATAAATTAATTCTTTAATTTAAAAAAAACTTATTATATTATTATAAATAGAGAGAAAAAGACATGAGATTTCATTATAAAAAATACTTTTGTATCTTTTTTTATAATGCTTTGATAATAAAAATAATACAGACAAAATGCCTTGAATCGTGTGTGTTCTCTGCTTATTATATTTTTAATTTTCAATTATATGTACAGATTCTTTAACTGATTTTAACTTCATTTTTTTTATTATAAAAACGTTTTAAATTTTATTATAAAAATGAATAAATAAAAACATAACTTTTAGTTATTATATTCCATTCTTCTAAAAAATTAAGTTGGTAAATAAATTAACAAAATTTTAAAGAAAATAATACCTATAATTAGTTGTTAAATTTATATTAAATAAATGTTTAGAAAAGATAATACCTATAAAATTATAAGAAATTAGCAACTGATATAATATCACCTATGAAAACAAGTGGAAAATAATCTTGTAACAATTATTTAAGTATATTGGCTAGTAAATCTTACAATTATAATTAATTTGATCATAAAATAACATTAACTTCAAATATATGACTGAGATAATATTTCTAAAAATGAAATCTACTCACTTCGCCATTAAGAAAACAATAAAGCGTCGCGATGAAAAGGCCCTGAAACGATCGCAGGAAATGAGTGGAGTAGGACCACACAGCGAATTTGCTTACGTTATCCAGAGGCGCTTCGATTATGAAGAGCATGTTAGTAATGCCTAATAACGGTAAAAGTACCACGGCTGCCCTTACGGCTTTCCTGTGAGTATAATAAAAAATTATTTTAACACTTTTACGATCTCATATTTCAATATTTATGCTTGCTATCGACATTTTTCGTAAAGTCGTTTAACGACTTACATAACCACAGAAACAAATATATTATTTATTAAGATTATTGAGAAAAATATTAAAATAAAAGTAATTATAAAGCTCAATATGTATAAAACAATATAAATATAAAGAAATATTAAAATTACCTTATTTAAACTTTATATATTAATATAACCTTTATCATTTTATTATTAAAAAATATTATTTATATAAAATTATTTATTTATTCAATAATTTATTTTTTTCAATTAATATTATAATTTTGTATATAATTTTCTAAACATTCCAAGATATTTTACAAACACACATAAAAATATAAATTATAAAATAAAATATAAATTGTTGAAAGTTAAAAATTAACATTTAGAACTTAATCAAATATTTCTTTCAAATCAAGAAATTAGTTCTTGATTTTAATGAAATGTTATTTTAAATTGACTGAAGTGAAATATAAAAAAAAAGATTTCTAGAAAAATATACATTTAAGACATTTATAAAATTCTAAGGCAATATAAGAGGAAAACTGAAATAACTATAAACTGTGGATGTAAAAGATAAATATTATAAAGAATAAGTAAAGCAAAAATTGCTTTTATTACATAACGCAAAAAAGCTTTTATTACATAACGCGCCAGTCGAAAGCAACCGCCAGTTATTAAATTGGAGTTACTTCCAATTCGATGCACACTAGTCAGCTGTCAGTTATATTATGGGAGTACAAATTAGTTCGGTCCGTTTTCCAAAAGATAATCGCCTCCAAAGATGAGTCATTTTTTCGAGATGGAAATCGAAAATTGCCTGAGAGATGGAAAAAGTAATAGCCAGTGATGGACAATACTTTAATTAATCTGTTCATTCATTTTGTTTTGAAATAAAGTTTTGAACACAAAAAACAGACCAAATTAATTTGTACACCTAATACAACGAAAAGCAATAAATTGGTTAACGAATCGCGCGCATAGATTCTTTGTGAACAAAAGCCAAATATAAAAAATTTAATTAAAGCAAAACGAAAATCTATATAAATAAGAGGAATCAAAATAATATTCAAAATATCACGTAGAAAGATATTAACAAAATCTTTTGCGATGGAAATTTTTAACTTCTAAAGTAAATAAAATAGGGAATATTTTGTTAATTTAAAGTAAATGAAGTAACCGATTAATTAACGGGAACGCTTTAGCGAGAAATTAGAAATTAGTATTTCTTTAAAGAACCAGATAGGTTCAGAATTTCAAGATTGAAGCTGAAATTCTGAACCTATTTAGTTCTTTAAAGAAATAGTAGTTTGCTTATTTGTGTACTTACAAAACTTGTTCAATTTCGCTTGTGTGACTTTGCCGAAGCTTCACCACGAGCACTCTTATAATATTCAGCAAAAACAAAAAATTGAGCTGAAAGAAAATAATGAGAAGAAATACAATGAGGGGTAAAAGAACAAGTATTAATTGACAATTTTAATAAGATGAAAATATTCAAGGACTCTTAATATAACAATATTCAACATAAATTAAAAGGGCGAAGTAAATGTAATTTACTTCTGACTCTTACTTCGCCCTTTTAATTTATGTTGAATATTGACAATTTTAAATTATTATTAGATATAACGTAAATTGTATTTTTTCATCGATAAATAACCGTCTGATAGTGTTTTTTTTTTTTCAATTAGTTACATATATGCTACAATTTTATTATTAAACAATAAAAAAATTATTAATATACAAATAGTTACAATTTATAACTTCACAGATGTTTATACGTATACAAACATAATCGTCATATATATATTATATATAATAGAATCAATATATAATATAAAACGTATGTGATTGATTCTTTTTTCTGTAGCCAATTATTAAAAATTCGTTATGAGTTGCTCACCAATATCACTGCGAATCTAGGTCCCTCAAGAATCCAAAAGTAGGACGATAAATTGTATCCTGACCAGCATCTAGGAAATCTAATATTTCAAAAATTCATAATATGTATAATATATTTGTAAATCATACAAATTTTGACCCTCGCTTTGGGTCTTCTTCAGTAATCACTAAACGTAAACTTAATGCTTACATTTTACAAGGAATGTAGTATACTATTAACATTTCTCAATTGTATATCTGTATTATGACCAACAATACAAATAATGTTATATATGGTATATAATGTCCAAATAAGTAAAAGTTATAAAAATGTCTCAATATTTGGGCAAACAATCCACAACTTACTTTGATTTCGGATGATAATAAAATGCCATAACAACGGCCCAAGCCGAGGTCATCAGTACTGGACATCCCCATCCAACAAATCGATACATCCGGTAATAAGACGTCTCTTGAAAAACCGTCACTATAAAATTATAATCATCGAAATGCGAAATTATGTGTCAATTGTTAAATTAAAATCTGATTTAAAGTGTATCAAAAGCTAATTAATTTGTCAATAATAGAAGAAGTTTGGATCATATTGAACAGCGTCAGGTATAGGACGAATTGTTAAAAATTAATTAATTGTTAAAAATATTAATTTTAATTAAATATAAAGAAACGACAGTTCGAATCGAGCAGTAATAAAGTTCTTTTGTATAAAAAATAATTTAATAACATACAATGTTAGTATGGCAAAAAGATGAAGAATATAAGAATATAAAAAAAATAATATAGTAAAATCAAACATTTCGGAACTCACAGGTCCTTCTTCAGCGATTCTTGAAAAATGTTACAGAGTCATAGAGATGAATAATCTTGCAGTCAAACAGATACAAAGTGGTAAAATTGTTTTGAAGAATTAATTTCTTGTTTTTATGTGAATTGTGTAATAAAATATGCGAAAACAGGAGCAGCTTTACATATTCGTCTGATACTGTTGAGTGCAAGTGTTACAATTAGGACTTTAATTTTATTCCGTTTTTCGAATATTCGTGTAAACGTAAAACATTTATCCGTTTTTATTCGCTTTCAGAAAAACGTTTACACATCTAATTAGCATACGAATATGCTAATTATACGTGTAAACATATGTTTTCATTTAAACGTATAATAGTTAATTACACGTATATTTGGAAAAACGTTTCTAACAAACAGATATATATATATATATATATATATATATATACTAATTATATGTGTAAACGTATTTTCGTTTAAACGTATAATAGCGAGCCCTAGTTACAATCATTTCATTTCATTTTTTCACATTGTAATACTTGCGCTCAATAGTATCAGACAAATATATGTAAAGACTGTTAACTGTTGAATATGTAAAGACTATATGTAATTGTTTTCGCAAATTTTATTACACAATTCACATAAAAACAGGAGAAAATCAATTCTTCGAAACCACACTATGTCTCTTTGACTGTAAGATTATTCAACTCTATGACTCTGTAACATCTTTCAAGAATCGCTGAAGAAGGACCTGTAAGTTCTGAAACGTTCGATTTTACTATATTATATTTTTTTATATTCTTATATTCTTTACCCCTTTTTATCACAGAGTTTATACTTTTATTTGCCCTAACATTTGTTTGTTGAAAATATATAATTATAAACACGTATGGCAATACTTATTATGATTATTGTGGTGTAAGTGCACTTACGGATAAATATACATTTCGTACATTTCCACATTTATGTAAATAATTCGCCTTGGCGCAACAATGAATCAGGCAAAAGATTTCTTAGTCTACTTTACAATTACGATTGCAAAAAATCTAAAAATATTCTACATGTACATTCTCACGATTCTAGTGAGATTAACGTCGCTTTCGTGCAAAACGTTATATAAAACGTATTACATTTTGCGAGTACATACCAGTCACCATGTTGTGCAGAAACAGACCCTCTATGAACATCCACATAAACATCGCAGTCTTGACGTACTCCAGCAGCACGTAACTGGCCTCGCACAACACTGGCTGCAAAAATATATCACGTTTTATGGATAAGCTCATATGTAAGTGTAAGTCATACAAAGTCGGTTTCTCCATACGTGAGAAAAAGTAACGCTAAACACTTAAGGAGCAGACTTCCAAAATGCATTTTGTCTAAAATTCCATTTTTTGAGTTAGAAATGGCATAGTGTTATCAGTGTTAACTGAGTAAGACTCGATTGCTCCAACGTTACTTCGATTTTAAGAGAGGCTTAAAACTCTCTCTGTCTCTTTTAAAGCCGAAAGAGAGACAGAGACAGTTTTGAGTCTCGGTTAAAGTCGAAGTAGCGTTAGAGCAACCGGGCCTTAGACTCATATTTTAAACTACTTTACAATGTTATGAAAGTATTATTTCACCAATTTATGTGCTGAAGAAAGTTTAGACACTCGAAGTGCATTATGTCTTTTAACTAGAAATAAATAAAATGCATTTATTCAACATTATTATAAATAGTTTAGCAATTTTGTTTAACATTTTACATCTTATTGATTGGCAAATTGTTATTTTCTGTAAAGCCCGTGTTTTTTGTTGGTTTCTTTCTCGTTTTCTAAAAATTATAAATTTTGGACAAAAGGCGTTTACTCCTCACTTGACATCTGAATTTAATTAGCAATTTAATTCAAGTTTCTACTTCAGCTCGTTTTCGGACTTTGAAAAGAGGCATTATTTGCATTAAAACGTGAATTTTACTAAAATCGCTCTCGTCTTACAATTATATTAGGAAATTATATATATATATATATATATATATATATATATGCGAAAATTTATAAAACAGAAACGTAGAAATAAATAATAACATTAAATCTCTGTGAAAAAAATGGAAAAATAATCTCGCTTTCATGCAAACAGTAAGGTAATTCCATTGTGTCTTACAGTATTTCCTATTCCTCGGTGCATTCCGTGCGGTTTCCTACGGTAGATCGCGATGTCTATGTACAACGTTAATCTTATCAGTACTTGCACGACCATGGCGACAAAGAGATTCTTATGAATTCTAGTCCTCGTGTTTCGCAACGATCTAGAAAATTAAACGCAAAGATCGTTTAGCATTAGCTTTAGCCATTCAACTGCTTCGGATGTAAATTTATGCAAAATGAGAACGGCTTTATAGAGATTATAGCTATGCGTCGAACGTAGCTTCACGCAACTATATTTTACTAAATTAATAACTTCTAAAAGTGTGATTATTTATTCAATATTATGTAACATGTAACTGTATGGTTATTGAGAAACCTCAATCTTTTGTTAAGAATAATGATCGACTTTTTTAATACTTTTCTATTACAATTTTATTTTTAAATCGTTTTATAGTTCTTTTCGCAATTAGAAAGAAACTGAGCTTCCTTAAAATCTTAGGAGAAAGATCTGTAACGGAAAAATAGTTAAAATAAAACTCCGTCGTAAACTCTCTGATGGGTTCTATAGTACCGAACATCAAATTGACATACAATTTATTTTTTAATTGCAAGTTTTAAAGAAGATATATATACACTAGAATTGTTTTACTTGAACTGAGTTTCTTCAGACAAATAAAATGCTCAAAATTGTTTTTTAAAACGCTTTTAAACTTTTCACTTACCTGAATCGACAGAAAATCACCAGAGAAGCGAGCAAAGCTACCAGAGATATACTGAGACCGACAAATTCAAGAGTACGTGTCTTCTCTGCTATTTCCATTTTCATCTAGAAAAAGACAAAACAGTCGACTACAATGAAACTTTGTGCTTTGATATAATGAAAACATATTTGGGATGTATTTTATTAGTAAAAGTTTATAAATCTTTTATTGTAAAAAGTACAACTTTTACTACGTATTTGTACAAATAGATATAACAAAAATTTTACTTCTTTAACTCTGTTGTGGTAACTTTTGACAATACAGTAAAAAACTTATTAATTATTTTATATAGCAAATAAATATATTTTTGTTTATTATGTTTGTCAAATTTTCTTTAATTAATCAATCAACATATTTTTAATTTTATTAATTTTATTAATCTCTGAGCCATAATTTTCGAGAGAATATCTATGTATTTATAATAAAATTCTAATAATTAATAATATTCAATTATCAATATGTATAATATGATATGTATATAAAACATACGTTCGATTATATCGAAGAAAATAAAGTTTAATCACAATTTTTTACAGTATCATGAAAGTTATTTCAAAAGACGAAAAAATCAATAATATCAATTCCAGATATATACGCGAATAAACAATTAGCAATCAGAATAAATACCAAAGTAAAGAATAAAAATACAGTAAATAAAATATAAAGCGTATACAAAGGCGAGATGCAACATGATGCGCGAAAATATTCATGCATTCAGAAAGAACAATAACTGTGCAAAATGCAACAGTTACATAAAACACATATTTCAAATAAAAAGAAAAAACTAGGTAAGCAAAAGATCGGGAAGAGGGAGAGAGAGAGATTAAAAAGTAAATTGGCGAGAGATGTGTAGTCTCAATTTTTATCATCAAAGCAGCCACGAAGATTATAGTTTATTCGAGCAATAACATATTCGAGAAACAAAACATAGAAGTATCTGAAATAAAAATATAGGTAAAATAAAAAAAAGATGAATATGTTGGAAACGATTTGCTGTTTTAATCTTATACATTAATAATAAGTTTATTCAAAACTTTGTGGCACCAACTTGATATAAATTTGGTTTATTTTAGTTTCTTTAATCTATTATTGTACATTAAAACATTAAACAAAGCATTAGTTATACTATTAAACGGCTTTAAAACAAATCACAAAAATGAAATATAGAAATATCTCAAATGAAAAAATTGATGCGTTAGAAACATTTTGCTATTTCAATTTTGTGCGTAAATGTTTATTTTGTAAGTAAATGTTTGATTTATTTTACCTTTTGGTCTGTCACACGTTAAAACATTAAATGAAACATCAATCACGCTATGAAACTTTTGAATATAAAAAGTTAATTTTAATTATAATATTAATTAATTCTTAAAAATTACATAATTTAATAATTTAAAAAATACATAACATTTATAATCGGTAGTTGTTTAGTGTTGCGTTGTAAGTCTGAAAAATTTTCGGCACGTGATTGGTAACTACATATGCGGTATATAAATTCACACATTATAATAAGTATAGTAATCTAGCTTTGACCGTAGATGGCTTAGTAAATCGTAAATTATTACGGTTTCCTTATTCTTGTTAATTTATAATCATGTTTACAATTAAATAAATAAAAGTTTTTTTTTATGTTGAAGGAATTAATAAATTATTTTTATATATAACATACAACTCTTTTACTATTTAATAAATAAGACAAATCAAAATTGTTAACAATTAAAAAATTTGAATTAATCAATTCTGATTATAAAGCGCAAGCATAAATTTTTATTTTTTCTATATATGTATACTAAAACAGATTAAAAATAATAATTATCTCTTATAGTCAAATTCTCTTATTCAAAAATTATTACTTTTATTTTTTAGTTCTTTAATATCCGGGATTAAATATAACTTGCTGTTTTTTCAAATTTTCATTACATGCCTTGTTTTAAAATATTCTTATATTGATTTAATTAAAAAACTGATTTTTAGTTCTTTTTTTTCAAATGTACATCGTCGTCATTTTTGACAGATATCAAAACATGAATTACCTCGCCCTCGACATTATTATTGTAGACTCTGTAGTGAAGCCACAGCATTTCTGGCGTTAAACAGGTAGTATAATTCGCCCAGCCTATGAATGATTCCTCGTTTATGCTTGTGCCGTTCTGTGCCTCCCACCGTCCATTGTAGCCACATTTTTTCTCTACGGATTCTGGAAAAATACACGAAATACAAAAGAATATGGAGATCCAATGAATTCAATGCCATCGCTAAAAATATCTTCAATTGCATGTCCACTTTATCGACACATTTTTATTCAGCCACTATATTTCTCTTATTACTTTTACTAGATTATAATAATGTTCAAAAAAAGATACTCAAACATTTAAACCATTTTATCTAATAATAATATATCAGTTACTTTTCGTGGTAATTATTATTAGATAAAAAGGTTTAAATTTTTGCGTATCTTTTTTTGAACATGGCTTGAACTTTTCATTTTTATGATATAATTTTTTTCGGATATCACTTACTTTTCAGAATATATCATAAATATATCACAAATATATCATAAATATATTTTAAAAATAACGAAAGAGAGGGGATGGATGGTGGGGGGAGGAGGTCCGGTGGGTCAAAGATAGTGGAAGTATGAGTGAAAGGTGAGAGAGGATGTTAAAAAGTTATAATTTCGGACGGACGGACATACATACATACATACAGACAGACAGACAGAGAAGGGACGTTTTAAATTTTTTTGGCTGGAATTACTCGTGGCGATGCCGCCTTTCAGGACATATAACGTTCGATTCAAAATTTTTTATATTTTAGAAGTTATGCACTTCCCAAAAATGGACTTTGGTGGCTCGGGATAAGAGACTTGTAGTGTCTATTATTATTAATCTTTCATATATCACTAGTAGTTTTTGAACATGGCCGGAGACACTATAACCGTGTCTCCTGATATTAAACAATCGCGCCTTTAAATATGCAATAATATATGTATACATTATCCAATAAATAAGCTGATGTTGTTTACAAGATATTCAATAAATATCAATTTGTTTAATTGATAAACTTGAGAATATTTTGAATATTTCCCTATTTCTTCGATAATAACATGCTTTTATAGAAACATTCTTCTCTCTCTCTCTCTCTTCTCTCTCTCTCTTCTCTATGAGTAAAAATAATTAATAATACAAAAAAATCTTATTACTTGTATTTTTAACAACTTTACATACCACAAAAGTATTACATTCGATTCACTTTGATTTTACGCAGAAAATGTTTTATCTCTTATATAATATAATAGTAATTTAATGGTTACAAAATCTTATTATATTTTATGTTAAATATAACAAGATCCTGTCACATTGGATTAAAAATCAAGCTGTACGTCTAATATTTTTAAATTAAATTTTTATATTAAAGAATGTAACGTGAATAGAAAAAAATGATGCATTCATGGATGTTCCATAAGATTAAAGGAAACAGAGAAAAGACTCTCATGTAGTTTGCTATCGTCTTAAAGATTTCCTTAAAGCTTGGAAAATTGAAGGGTAGTCCAGGGCCGCCATGCTTTCCACACTCACACTATTCAATATGTTGTACATATGCATATAATATAGTATGAGAAACAAATAACAGGATGGCGCTATTTGAGAATTCTTTGCCAATGACTAAATGCATCCGTTACGAGCGCTATTCATCTAAGATTTTACCTTGCATCATAAAATTTAAAAGTGTCTCTTTCATATATTTTTATGTTTATATTAAATTGTGTTTGTATAAAAGATTTATATTAAAATTTTCAAGATAATTGGATCTAGAAATAAAAAAACTAATTACATACAAGTATTTATACAAATAAGATATAGGAAATAGTTTTTTCTTATCTTCTGTCTTTCTAAAAGAAGAAATAACGATTAAGGGGATCCTTAAGCACTTAGACATACAGACGATTACGTGTCATTGACACATCACTACATCAATATCTTACTCACGCACGCCACACATATACGTAGATTTTTGTATCGTAAATATGTTTTAATTAGACATCTAAATCTAATTTTAAGAACTCCACGCTGTTTCTTCATGCAAACTACATGCCTGATGTGGACTACTATTTCTTAAGTAGAGATTGCGCAGCTTTTATATAAAACAAATGTTGTTACGACGTGCAACGACGTGACAGCTCTGAAGCGTCATATTGGACTAAAAAATGGTGAAAAAGAACTCAATTTTGAAATTTTTTATCGTTTTCAGCATAGATTCTACCTCACAGGCACGTATTAATTAATGCGTATACTTTAATTCTGTAAAAGGATTTTCGAATCTGTGAATGACAAAAAAAATATTTACGATACAAAAATTATACGATTTAGTCGGTAATACAAGAGGCTTTAGGATCACCTTAAGATGTTAATGATAGTTATTATGAGATATTTGATGAATAGAAAATTGTGCGCCTTAAATTTGTCGGTCTTTTAATTAACCGTTAAGGAAAATGTTTAATAATGGCAAATCTTAATTTACATAAATTACTTATTTTTTAAAATAAGTCATAAATTATACTTGCACTTGTAACCATATATTAATTGATTTAGGTATAAATCCAATTTAATTTAAAAACACTTTTATCGGATAATTCTTAGTGCACACGATTGATTTATTGTGAGAGAGATCTACACATTTCTTTTCTTTAAAATATTATAAGCAGCAAGTAATTAATTATAAAATTTACATATAATTTTTTTTAATATACAATCTTACAAATATCTTCAGAATGTGTTAAAGTATATGTAAGAAAATCATTTAATAATTTTCGTATACTTGTAAAGTAAATTAACTCAGTTGATTTATTCTGCGTAATAAAGGAAAATTATTATGTACACTAAGGATTAATTATAAAATGTTTAATTTGTGTGTCCAAACTTTGTCTTTCTCTCTCTTTTTATGTTAACTACATAATTTGTGCTGCGTTCCATTTAGACATTAATCAATAATGAATTAAAAATCAAAACATTTAATACATACAATCCATTGTCAACGATTTTCTCGCAATTTTCTCTCTCTCTCTCTGTTATTATAATCTTTTGTAATTATTAAAAATAAAATATTTCTATCCATAAAACCATCGATTATTTTTCATAAATAAGAAGTGAAAGTATTTTAATTTATTATACATATACATATATAGATACGATACAAACGCTTTGATTCGTCATTTCAGAGATTCAAAGTATTGCTGAAGGTCATTATTTTTACGTTCTTGCTTTGCTTGGTTTCTTAAAGGCGATGTACGACGATTGAACATTGAATTCAATCATTCACATTACACTAAATTAGTGCATGTAAAAACTGCTTTGCATGAAAGTAGCAATGTTAACAATTTAATACTAAATAATAATGTCACGTTATTTAACAAAATACATATATTATTCATTGTCAAAGTTAATTATATTATTCCATGGTACTATATTTAGATAATTACATAAAGTTTTTTTTTAAATAATATTCTAAAGAAATTGTGATAATAAAAACACATCAATAATATCGACAACGAAAAAATTCATCTCACGACGCATTTGCAGTTAGCGACGCTATCGAATGCGATCAAAGTGTTTCCGGGAAGACGTGTCGAGAGCGGAGAAAATCTCTCTGCATTTATTATCCCGCCACCATGTTGCATCGAAGATGCAGCTTGAATACTTCTGTCCAGCTATATTTAATATTAAATACTTCGAATAAGTATCGAGAATTTATTTTCAATGAATAATCATTTTTGGTCTAATATAAATTTTCGATAAATCGGTTGAAAATTCTTGAAAAATTTTTATTACATATATTTTTCAATGTAGTTTGATATTTTTGAACAATGTAACATAATGGCCTTCGAGCAGTTCTTGTTATAAATGGCCTTAAAGAACTGCCTTGTTTTGGAAATAAGTGCATTTGCATCTCGTTACTGCATCATCGCCCTTAAAAATTCATTTTATCCACTAGAAAACGCGATTGTATCGTGCAGTAAAAAACGTGACTTTTTATCACGATTTAACTTGAAATTAATAATAACTATATCGCAATAGGATCTACGATACATAATATTGCAACGACGGCAAAATTTCTTAAATAGAATGTACGATCATGTAATTTCTTTCCTAGAGCTGAAATATAAAACATAAAAAATTTTTCTTCAAATTAATTCAATTTTTAAATTTAAATAAAAAATTAAATAACTTAAAACATTAACACTTCTCGCTATGTAAATTACGTGATGTATTTTTTTGTGCCATCCGTTACCTAAAAAAACTAAGCCTTATAGTAATTGTAAATTGTCATAAAATAGTTGTAATTAATAACTATATAATAATATTTATGATTGTAGTTCTTTTCGGTTACTATATATTTGTTGATAGAACCATATATAGTAATTATTATTAATGTCACTGCAGTAATAATTATAATTATGATAATATATAATTATAGTCATGAATATCGAAAATATTTCTTTCTATGTGCGCGGTTTTTGTTTTGTATTTCAACAATTTTATATGCATTGTACATTTTATCTGTAAATCAATTATAAAATTGTTTATTTTAATTTCCACAAATAATATAATCAATGGGATTATGATTGCATTACAAAATGAAATAAAGCATTGAATAAATAATTATATATATATATATATATTTATTGCGTTTTTATTTTTATATAAAATATTGTTGTGTAATAAATTTAGTAATATGAAATTATATTTCTTGCATAATTTCAAAATTATGATTAAAATTTATCCATCTGTGCGAAATATTTGTGGAAATATGTTGCCAATTAAACTCACCTTGTTCCTATTAAAGAGGAAGTATTGTTGCGACATATTCCTATCCTCAATTCTTTCTACGAAGTTTTTAAACAATTAATGTACTCCTATATTAAATCTGCAAATTGTGGTGCATACGAACAATTAGATAGTGCAAACTCTCATATAATCTTTTAAATACAAATACTTATAGATCTTTGGAAAAGAGAGCTTAGTACGTTAATGATTTATTAAAAAATCTTCTGATTTTTAGAGTTTTCTGACTCTTTTTACCTTCTACTGATAATTTCCAGTATAATATCTAATATTTGGTGTTGAAAAAAATACAATACGTATTTTATATATATAATAAAATAATTATAAAAATTTAAAAATTACACACATATACAATTAAAGATAAAGTTTTGTCTCCTTATTTATTTATTTTTTATTATATTATGTCTACATAAAAAATTCTTTATACATTTACATATTGTTAACTGTTAATCCTTTAAAAATGCACGGTTAAAATTTTATTTTCTAAAATTTTTTAATTCAAAAATGATAATCTTTTACAAAAATTAAATCAAGTTTTCGTGTGTGTAAAATTATAGCTATTATCAAATTGTTGTTAGTATATAAAATCTATATCAGTTTTTGTAATATTTATTTTCTGGATAAATTTAATGAAATCTGTATATAAAAAAAATAATTTTTAGAAATATTTTTTATATTTGCAAAATCTGATCTTATGATAAAAAAAATTAATTTTATAAGTGCGTTTTAGTAAATGCGTAGAAACACGAAAGGTAAAAAAGAGAAAAATTTTAAGAATTAAATAAAATTGAAGGATCAGAAATATTTTCAGTTTTATACAATATTAATAAAATATACGTCAGTTTGTCTAATATTTATTTTCCGAATAATTTGCACAAAATATATGTGTACAAGGAAAAAGATTTTTAGAAATATTTTTCACATGTTTATATATATATATAACATAACCCATTGAGAAATCAATGTCACAAGTGCGTAGGAACCGTAAAGGGTAAAAAGAAAAAAAGGTAATTCGAGTTAAAATTAGAATCTGTTTTATATTCTGAATATTAAATTTTTGATGCTAATATCCACTTTTCTCTTTTTCTAGAAGAAAAAAAGTGAAATTTGGATTACGGTCTAAATCAATATACTTCGACTAATTTGACTTTAAAACTCACTAACAACAGAAATTTTTATTCAGCTTTAATAATTTCTTTTATTATGCTAATGACTTGGAAAATGACAGAAATTAAAATTACGATAAACGAATATCCATATAGCTATGCGCAATTATTCATTGTCAACTCAATATCAAAGTTAGATTATCAGGAAGATTGAGATCTACATTGAAATCAAGCTTCATTTATTTAGGCTGCGTTCGGAAATATCACTCGAGTACCACTGTGTATCGTCTTATCTTTGTTTAACATTCAATGGACAACAAGGATAAGATGATACTCGGGGAAACCTGAGTAACATTTCCGAACGCAGCCTTACTGGTCGTATCAAATCCATCCACAAAGGGGCATCGCTGCTTTGCCGTCGTAGAAGCTTTCATTGGCGGCCAACAGAGCAACGAATCCCATACCGGATTACACCAGAGTTCTGAAAAATAGAAAGAGTAGCGCAATGTTTCCCACAGAGTTGACAATGCTGCAGCTTATATTAAATATGCACATCAGTAAATCGACCTCAAAGAAAGAAGAATTTCCAACAAATTAGGTTCTAAGAAAGCAAATAAATAACAGTTATTTCTCTTAAATAAATTTTATAAAACATATAATGTTCAATTAAATAATATTTAAAACATTTTCTCAACAGTTTTTGATAAGGAATATTGCATTGTTAATCCATTGTCTTATCATCTAATATAATAATAACTCTATAAGTAAAAAAAACCTTATATCTCTCTCTCAATATTTTTATAAGAATACTTCATATTTGAAATTTATGAAAGTTCCTAAAAAATGTCTATTAATCTTCTTCAGATTTCATATGTATTTTCTTTCTCTCTCTTCAAAAATTACAAAATAAAAAATCTTCCAATATTTCAGAATTTATATAGAAAAATTTAAGAAAAAGCTTTTTCAACAAAGTGTCTTTTGGTACACAAATTAAAAAAATTTTTTTTTAAACAAAAAAGCTTAGAAAAAGATCAGAATTTTAAAATATAACAATTTTTAAAAAGTTATATAAAAAATTTTTGTTAATATTTTATACAATAATAAAAAAATCACAAAAGTAAAACGAGTATTAATTGCTGTGTCGATTCCCATTAATTCATTTCACTTTTATATTTTGAATTTATCGGAAATCTAGATAGATTATTTTTATTTTGCAAAAATTTATGTTTTGCATACAATATTCATATCGAATAATTTTATGAGAATTTAATAGATTAAATTCATACGTCTAAGAGAATATTTTACAAACTATTCTGTCTCTCTCATGCATGTAAATTCAACTTATTAAATTCTTATAAAATTACTCCAATTTCTGAGGAATATTTTTTTATATGATTCTAAATTTAATTCAAAAAACAAACAAAATAATTTATTTCTTATAATTAATATAGGTAGTATGGCTCAATAAATTAAATAATAAGTGTAGAAGGGCTACGAGCCAGATATTAAGTAATAAAATTTCTAATAAATTCAAAACATTATATAACAAAAGTGAAAACGAAAGTTCAGCATAGAACTAAAATATAAAACATAAAATGTAACAATTATAAACAGACGTTTCAATCTCGTTTGGGTCATTCTCAATGTTTGAACGTATAAATTATTTTAATAAATTCTCTCTATTATAGTCTAAATAAAGATTTATACGTTCAAACATTGAGAATGACTCAAACGAGATCGAAACGTCTGTTTATAATTATCACATTTTATATTTTACATTTAGTTCTTTGTTTAACTTTCGTTTGCGTTTTTGTTATATAATGTTTTGAATTTATTAAAATTATTGTTTACAATTGTCACATTTCATGCTTTATATGTTAGTTCTATGCTGAACTTTCGTTTTCCTTTTTGTTATATATGTTTTGAATTCATTAAAAATTTTATTACTTAATATCTGGCTCGTAGCCCTTCCACACTTATTATTTATTTCTTATAAATAATTTTCTTTAGATATGTGCATTGTGCATACAAAATCTTATTATGATCTTATTAAAAGTGAAAATTTTCAGGGAACACTTAGAGAGATAGAGTGACAAATTAAAAATATACTACTTGCTTTTAACGTGAGTGTAGACGCAAAAAATAACCAAGTTTAAAAGAGCATACCTCCGTACGGTGCCACGAAATGTTTGTACTGAATACTACAAAATTCATGAGTGTTGTTGCCGTTGGTATTCAGGCTGTCCATTTTTCTTTTAACAGGATTCCCATTTTTTGTTCGGTGCCTCTACGCTTTCGTTCCAGTATTTGCCACGCAGTCGGCGGAAATGTGCAGCGCCCTGTAAATAAGCTCTTCTATTTCCTGTTTTCTTTTTCTTCTATTTAAAGAATAATACTTCTGTTTTTTTTTTTAAATAAATGCGAAACATTCTAAAGTAAATTGTGGATTACGTTCGCTTTTTGTTACGCTGAAAGAATACGTTTTTATATTGTTTGGATTCGTATCACATTCCTTTTGAACAATTAGAAGTGCAAAATTGCTTCGTAAAAATGTAGAATAAAGAACACCATGTTAAAACAAGATGATAAGAATACTACCGATACATATTCATTCTCTTATTTAATAAAAAAAAACAGAAAAATATAATAATTTTAAATAAAGCAATATATCTATGCTGAATTTATAATTCCAATTTCTGCATTGACATTTACTTTTATTATTTATAACCAAAATTAAGATTGTTTCAGCACTTAACACTTATACGATAATATTCATAAATTATAGATACATAGAACTTATATAAGTATCTCGTAATCATACACTGAAAAAATTTTTATTTGAAAATGAATGAACTAGTCTCAGCTAGAAATGTAGAAACAAAAAATAGAAATATAGTAACGCCGTTACTTTTATTATTACTTTTCATAATAACGATTTGATAATGATATTGTGAATGTTTGCTGTGTTTAATTTAATAACTAAATATTTAATTTTATGCTTAAATTGACATGTTTCTTTATTTGTAATTTATACCAGAAATAACAATTATTAATATTAATATATATTTTTTAAGTTAAATACTAAATTCATTTTTCATATTAAAAATGGAAAAGTCAGTTAGCATTCATTTCTGTGTACCAATATTCGTGGTCTTATCAAGCTTTCACACGAAAGAGGTCAAGCTGAGGATCAACACGTTCTCCGATGCAGCAACTTAAAAAATTTAGGTGTTTAAAAATATATATGTTATGTAATTTTATTAATTTTTAAAGAGAAATAAGCTCCTAAAATAATCAGCTATATAGTAAGTCAATTAGTAAATAAACATGTAGCGATTTAAAAATTTATATTTATCATAAATTACATTTTTTGTTTAAGCTTATAAATTTAATTAACATGGAATTGTTAAAGAAAACTAAAATTGAATTAATAAAATTAACATACTTATAATTAATAAACATATTCATATAAAAAAAATACTACACAAAAAGATTCTTTAATATAAAATAATAATATAATTTTTGGAAAAGAACTTAATTGCGAAATATATATTAAGTAATTCCGTAACTAATTTATAATTCTGATGATTCTAGCTATATTAAATTTCAGTAGTTGATTAAATTTTTATAATCTATTAGTTTTTTATATAAAAAATTTTGATGAAATTATATAATCTAATTATAATTAAAAAATAATTAAAACAACAGGCTACGAGCCAACATTCGTTAAATTGTAAAAGTTTTAGTAAATATAAGAAGTCATTAGTTAAAAATAAATATAAAGTTTAATAAAATTTAAAATTTAAAAACAGACGTTTCGACCATTATTAGGTCATTTTCAATGTTAAAAAAGTCGCAAAATATCGTTAACGATGTACACAAACAATGATATTATAAAAATTTACAAAAACGAATACATGCGTAAAAATATTAATAAATTACGAAAAATATGTATGTAAATTCTGTGATGTGGGTATTTAATCTCACTCGCTATTGAAGACTTAATCATATCGGCGCAAATTGGCAAGAGTCCATCAACAAAGCAATCATCAAATAATGTAAATTGTGAAAAACTCCACATTTCTAAATCAAATAGTAAAAATTTATAATTGATTTAAAAAAACCACAGAGGTTTTACATAAAATTCACGTTCGAGATTTCTCATTCAAATCGGTTGCGAGCTAAGACCGTTGCGGTAAGACCGCAAAAATAGAGCTATGTGTATATATTTTATGAATCAGAATATTTTATGTGTACAATTGTTTATTAAAATGAAAAAAGAGAGAATCTCCACAAACTGTGAAAAAATTAGAAAACATTGTTTTATAATAGAAATTGATCAGTGCACATTACGTGAATATATTTAGGTATACGTATCAATTATGCTGCATATTTATATCAACAATATTAGCTCAGCCTTAGTAGTAACATTGGCTATTTTATACAGTATAAGAATATATATACATATATATATATGTATATATATATATATATACATATATATATATGTATATATATATATATATACAGAGTGTTCCCGGGTTAAATGGCAAAATTTGAAATACGTATTTAGGACCTCAAAACAAAAAAAAATTTCCTCTGGAAGAATTCTCACAAACGCTTCAAGAGATATAGGTATTGACTTATTAATGCCTGTTTCCACCAATGCAGATTAACTTTAATCTCGGTTTAACTTACTGTTCATCTTTTTCTAATTTTTATAATTAGAAAAAGATGAAGAGCAAATTGAACCGAGATTAAAGTTAATCTGCATTATTGGAAATGGGCCTAAGTTACTCAACTGTAGGAATATTTTAATGTCGAAATGTCGCTTTTTGCTTTGTTTTGAAAGTCGTAGGTCGTTGATAGGCTTATGTTCGCAATGTAAACAAAGCTCCTTTCATTCGTAATGATCTTCAATTATTAAAACGGAGGATAGAGCAAGCATGCAATGAAATTACAGCCACACAATGCCAATCAGCCACTCGTTCTGTCATCAATAGATGTAATGCTTGTCTCCGAGCTGGAGGCCGTCATTTTGAACAAAATATTTAATAATTAATTTGTTATTACTGTAAAGCAATAAAGAAATTAAACCTGTATTATTTCGATATTTATTTATTCCTATAGTTTTGTAATTTAAGAAGTATTATAAACTAATAGTTAATACGTATGCGTCAATGCTGAAAATCCATCAGCGTCGCGAGGAGGACTACATACGCGGTACATAATTTCACACAATTATAATTTACATTAACATCCTGTTACAATGACTCGAGTAGGCATTGTCACTTTCTATTATAAACTAAGTAATAACTTAATTCATACGAATGAAAGGAGCTTTGTTTACATTGCGAACATAAGCCTATCAACGATCTACAACTTTCAAAACAAAACAAAAAGCGACATTTCGACATTATAATATTCCTATTCCTACAGTTGAGTAACTTAATAAGTCAATATCTCTTGAACGAAGCGTTTGCGAAAATTCTTCCAGAGAAAATTTTTCTTTGTTTTAAGTCTTAAATACGTATTTCAAATTTTGCCATTTAACCCGGGAACACTCTGTATAATATTATATATGCTATAAGAGATATCATATGTAAAATGTGTATGTGTGTGTATATACACACCAAAACGTAATATAATTCTACAATAATAGTACATTATGTAACGCGTAGGGGTTAGTTTATGGCGCGAAGGGCGCAAAAGCACGATCGAAGCGAGTGCGTATTCGCGCCCGCCCGCGCTATAAACAATATATACCCCCATTATATAGTTACTCATAATATTGTTTGTCACGCGTTCGCGTGACAAAAAGATAATTATATAACGTCAGAAAAATGCATCTTTCGCAAAGTTGACGTACATTAGTTATGTGTCTGTAATCGACTTTACAACAATTTAATATTACCAATGTAATGTAATATACATAAACAGATGAATAGCAGAAATATAGATTACATTCAAACAGAATTCATACAGAATATATAGGTTACGCTTTCTGTATGAAAATGTACATATGAAATCAATTTGTATGTCACAACAAGTTTATTCAATTAAGTTAATCAGAACATCAATCAACGCAAGTTCACACTTTACAAATATTATTCGCAATCCTGTTTATTTAACATCCAATAAAGCCGATAGCCACATTATTGGTCTGTTTTCTGTTCCTGCACTAGATTGAATTAGAACTTTCTTTCTCGCTTTCGACAAATATCAAACATATACCTATCTCACTTTAGGTTCTAAAAGTGTACACTAGTTCAGCCACAGAAAACAAACCTTATCATTGCGTATTTAATTATTAGCATAGAGAAATTCTACATTGTAACCTAAACTTCTCTTCAGTTTTAACATTTTTAGCCTATTTAAAAAAATTAATCATATTATAAAAGCAACATATTCTTTATACATGTACTGAATTTAAAAAAAAGTTTAAATTGTGGATAGTTATATTAACATATATTAATTGTATATATATTAGTTTCTATAATTTTTATAATTATTGAATATATACTCATATACTAACAGTCTCGAAGATTTTGTTTTACACTATTCTTAGTATACGTACTAGATGAGTTTAGCATTAAACATCATAAGGTAAAATTATTTGTGCTAGATTGCTAATTTCCTAGAATCTATATACATTATACATATATCGATTTCATATGTAATTTCAGACTAGATAGTCCATCATTATAAAAACAAACTTAGTTTCGCTCAATTCGCAGGGGATACGTGAGGTGTTCTCTACCATAATGATTAATCCGTAATGACAAACACGTTTTCAGTAATTAAACTCAACGGTAAGAATCATTGAGGGTGAAATTGCTCCTAAAAATAATCCGCCAAAGATTTAAATATATATTATACGTTTTTGTATAGATTTCTTATTAAAGAGCCAAACTTAATTATCATTGATGATTTAAAATAAATATTGTATAAATTGTGCACACACACGATGTATACTTCGTCAATATCTCCAAACATTTTCAGATTTTATATGTATACTATTAGGGATATTAATAATAAATTTGAAATATTTGAGGTTCAAGATATGCTGAACATATGTTAAGCATATCTTGTACTTACATATTTAATTTTTAAATTTTTCGATCAATTTATAAAATTTTATGTATTGTATTTAATTAAATTATAAGGATAATTATTTTGATTATAAAATATATTCAGTTTTTAATAAATGTACATCCTGTACTTTTGGACATTGTTAAAACGTCATGAAAATATAAAATCAATATTTAATAAGCATCAGTACAAAAGATCGCAATATATAAAAATGCAATAAATAAAATTTTCAAATGCCGCATAAATTTCATATCTGCACAAAGTTTAAAATTTATATAAATTGCAGTAAAATATTAAAACGTATTTGAATTTGAATATGGAAATAATAATTGCTACAATTTAATATTATTATAACAGAAATTTATTTTCTGTTTAGAATTTTTAATAAATTTATAATAAATTGAAAAATTGAATACATCTTATTATTAATATATTAATTCAAGCTAAAATCATGAAGGGAATTCAGAATTACCTTATATGATAATTCACTAGTAAAACAAACTATCTGCTATACTTTCTGCTTTAATAAATCCCCTATTATTTAACCTTTGCTTAACAAGTACTGTTTAGACTCATGGCATGAATTAATCGAAAATTTTTCATTTGCGAAATGAAAGGCTAAAGATTATATAGTAAAACCGTAAATAAGACTCGTTCACGATGTGATCAATTTCAATTTTGATTGAAACTTTTTTTGTATTTCAAGATTACACTAGTTTAAAAGATTTTATCTAAAAACATAATATAGAGACTGTTTCTAGAATAATTATCGACATTAAGCCTGAATTTGCTATCTAAATATTACATATATAAAAAGTTTGCGTAATCGATAAAAAAATAACAGTTATTATATAAATCATAACATAGTTTTAAATAATTGACGATTAAATAATCACGTTATTAAATTTTTGAATTCATTTTATCGTGATATTTAATTCCACAATAGTGCATTAAAAGTCTTACCAGTATCTCGTTCCGTTTGTATTCCCGTCAGTAGTTCAAACTTGGATTAGTCAGCCTCGCTAAACTCTTTTCCGTTCTTTGAACCTCTTCAAACGATGCGAACAAATTTTTAAACTTACATTAATGTCGTAATACAAAATATGTATAAAATAATTTAAAGAAATAGTTCAATATTCTTTATCACCAATCTTAATTTTTTTATAAAGTAAAAAAACAAAGCTGATTTAAAAATTAACACCGTTTTTTAATTGGTAAAATAAATTTAAAATACATACTACACCAAATTTTATTACTGAAAATTATGTTATTTATGCCAAAGACGAGTTAATGCCAAAAACGTGCGAATGTGATTTTAATTGCAATCAAAATCTGAATTTGAAAATTAAAGGAACGATCGAGACACAAAGAAAGATCACGCACAACGTCATGTAACAAGATAACTATTTCGATCGAGATAAGGATTTTCTCGCGAGTTCTCGAAAGTCAGAAGATACGCGAACGTCTCAAGAGACGCGTGCTGACTGTTTCGCACTTGTGAAACGTATCCCGCGACCACTCGAAGTACAGCGCAGTCTCCCTTATCATTGGTCCAGCCGTTTACCAATCCGGTATTGCTATCCCTATCGCCGCTTATTTCGATCAAGATTTTTAACAGAAAGTATATAACTTCTCTTACAACATTATGCCTTCAAACTGGCACTAAATTCGATTTGCTCGTATATATCATGAAAGTGGGTTTATTCTTTTTTAACATAAGCCCTAACGGTCATTAAAAAAATTTCGATTATATATCACTCAGTAATAAAAAATAAAATATAATTACTCGAAACGTTTCTAACGAATTCATGACCATGACAAATTTAAAAAAAATTATATAATTGCTGTTATATTGATATTTGGAGAATCTAATAATTGTAAATACTTATACTAAATAAAAATAAATAAATGTACTTACTAAAAATACTAAAAAATATAATAAAAATAAAAAAATAAATACTAAAAAAAAAATAAATAATAAATACTAAAAATATACTTACTAAATATACTTACTATTTTATTTTTATATTTTTGTCCGATACTATGTATTGCCCAATGTTACAATTATAATTTATAAGAAACTCGAAGGATTATATTTAACAACCGTTGGTATAATAGACAAGAATTATTCAAATTACTAGAAGTGTACAGCAACACTCATTGAACTACCGACAAGTACACCTACATATATATATGAGAGAGACCTCTTCATATTGAGAATAAAAGTAAAATTGTTTATGAGATATTGTGTATTTTGCTGTAGCTGCTATTTACACTGGTACAGAATTGACTCCACCAACAAACACATTATTTAACTTAACTCAAATATCGTTTTTAATTTACCAATATGAACAGTATCTATTATTATTTAAGTTACGGATTTAAAATTTTTCTCCTTTTAAAGAGCTGCTCATTTTATACATTATTTTTTCCTTGCACGTTATTCGGGTGAATAACGATATAAAAGACGATATGGAAGAATCTTAATATATAGATAGGAATAAAAATAAGGATAAAAAACAAAAAGTCAGCAAATGCTGTAAAAAAGCCTTAGCGTTTAAAGAAAATAATAAACAAGGCAATGAAAGGATTAATTGCATCATTTGAGAAAATTTTAATGAAGAGATTTAGTGTAATATTTGTAAAGGTTGAGCTCATGAAAACTGTGCTAATCTTGAAAGACTTGGTTTCTTTCATAAATATAATGCATAAAATAAAAAATAATTAAAAAATTTTGTAAACTTAATAAAGATATAAAAATATAACTTAATAAAATTGACTCGGTTGAATAAATCCAAGAAAAATGAAAAATGTGCCTTATCGAGTCAGAACACTGGTTGTTCGTGTGAGTTAAAATGATGCTTTATTTTATCTTGATAATAACAACGTTTCGATCCTTAATAAAGATACATTTTTAATATTTTTAATTTCAAATTTACAAAAACAAATATAGTAACATTTAAAAATATAAAAATCTTAGCTGTTCATGTTTAGAAAAACATGAATGAAATAATTTTGTGTGGGAGGAGTATAAAAATAATGTATTTGCTATCATCCACCTTTTCTCGATATAAATTTCGCGCTTTCTCGGAATATGAATCTGAAATGAAATTTTAGTCCTTCAGTATGTAAAAATAAAAAATTCAATGATTCAGGTATCAAACAGAACTCCTGATCTTATTAACCGTTAAATTTTTTTCTTGTAAAATGTTCGCGTTCGATCAAATTGAATAGCTCTTTGTGTAACAGAACAAAGTGCGAAAGCTTTCGAGATATATTGTATTTTAAATTCATGAGAAATCGCGCAGGACTATCGTGGCATACGTAATGCGGATTTCATTGTAGCGGTATATTTATATACTGGTGCTGCAACTTATGGCATGCATTTATTTCTGCTTGTGCAACATCATCCGTGTGTAACAAAATAACGCTTCGAGGATTGATTCCCTTTTCACGCAAAGAAAGTGCAATAGATGCGAAGTTTTATATTTAAATATCTTTTGAGCGAAATAAGGATTATACTATATAGTATAATTTGAACGCACTGCAGAATAGTTCTTTAATTTGAAAAAAAGATACTTCATAAAAAATTGGAGATTATTTATTTAAATTGTCATAATAATCATATATCCCTGTGGCACTCTTTCATTAGATTTAATTAATTGTTAAAAATAATTATTAAAAACTCGTTTTCTGTTCTCTGCATTCATAGAACGTTTTGTTATATATTTCAAGTTTTTCAATAATTCATTTTTTACGTCCTAAATGTCAACAAAACAGTAATTGTACAAAATACTTCACGAAAATCACTCACCTAGAGAACAAATAGGACATACAGAATAGAATAAAAAGAACAACATTATAAAATGTCTCGTCTATGTTTTAATGAAGTGTTTTCTTAAAAATGACTTGAGAGAGAGAGAGAGAGAGAGAGAGAGAGAGAGAGAGAGAGAGAACTTCAAGATAAAGTGAATCAAAATTATTTTTTTAATATTTTGAGAGTATCAAGACGTTTGTCAAAAAGTTCGACGATATTCCATTCAAGTTCGCTAAAAGAAGTTTGACGACGCTCCGTTTATATTCAACAAGTACTTAGTTCTGCTTATTCTTGTCAAAGAGTTCTACATTTTTAACACTATTTCAACGTTTTAATATCTCATATTTATGATTCAATGTCTTTATTTTGGTCTTTTACAAATTTTATTTCCACTTCCATTTAAACTAGATTTAAAGTAAGGTTTTATTGTTGCTCGTTTTACGTTTTATTTTTTGCATAATAACGTAAAATACTTTAATAACGTAAAAGAGCAATTTAGTAAACGAAGTCGGATTCACAACACCCAAGAACCTACAAAATATAATATTACTCTTTTTCCTTTAATTATTTTTTTCTTGAATAATTATCAACACGATATAAAAGATATACAGAAAATTTGATATCTCTGAGAAAGACTACGAAATAAACTTAGAATCGTCGGTGTTAATTCGGTAATTGTTTGCAAATCATGTAATATGTTCTTTTTAAACAAATATTCTCGCAAATAGAGAAACCTTCAATCGCATTATACATACATAAATGGTATGTAAGCAATATAAACCATAATACAAATTGAATTCAGCGGATATCCGATTAAGGTGTAGTACATTCATGATATAATACTATCTATAAGTTAAATCCCATCACGCGCTTGGTGCCGATATTTTCATTCCCGGTCAGTGCGAGAAAATTTTTGGTTGCGTCTGTCCATAATTTTATTTATTTTATTAGTTATTCGTATACATAGATACTATTCATATATAAATATATAGATGTAATTCATATACATATATATTATATAATATTTATCATTCTTATTAATTTAATAAAAATGTAAACATATGTTATAAATCACTGTTATTTTACGTTTTATTATACAAACATTAAAGTCGTACTTTCCAATCATAAGTAATCGTATATTTTAAGATATATAGTAAAAATTCTAAGGTTTCAGTTTTTTTTTTTAATATAAAAAGAGAATAAGTATTTTGTAATACTAATTATCTAAAGTAGTAGACAGTATAAAGTTTATTTGCCTTAAATGATAGTATATAAATAATACATTAAATCATTCATGAGTGCAGCACACACATACCGGAATTATCATACATTTCATAGATACAGTTCGCATACTGAACAACATTCAAATGTTCTTAAACTGATGTTCAAGTTGAACTGATAATCTCTTTTGCATAGAGAAATACTTATAAATATATAAGTACAGGGGATCTAAATTAAGATTAAGATCTACCAAGCTTTATAAATATGATGAAATAAAAACAAATCAATTTTTACATTTCTCATAAATTACTTTACTTTCGTCTATTTTTAGTCTTGTTGTTTTACGGTATTTCTATCATTTATATTAATTTATTCTTTAAAATTCCCGTCTCTTCATATTTTCAGTGTTAAACTTTTTATAAAAACCCTTCGAATGCTGATTGCTCGCAGTGTACAGCGTACTTTTATGAGAAATCCGGAAATGATATATAAACGAGTCGTGAAATTGAAGAGCAGACTTGCGTTAATCATTAAAACAATGAAACAAAGCTTGTAAATAAAATTCTCGTTGACAACCCCATCACCGCCGATGTACGTTACGTAACAAAGGACACGCTCTAGCTCGGTGCCTGACACATTTACTCGCTTTGTAATTAAACAAAATGCGCAACGGGATGGCGACATCGATTACAAGTCGTTAATTAATATTCGCAGGAAACAATCGCCGTTCGTCAGCGATTGCGAACTATATATTTTCGTTTACGTAACGTACGATAAGACACGAAAGCACGTGGATCGTTGGCCACGTGACCACCGTCACATGCCAATAAAGATATATCCTTCCGTTCGTTCAGCCACGTGAGCATCGTTTATTCCTCTTCACTACGAGATGGGAGATAATGCATAAAATTACGTAACTGCGAGAATCTCGTATAATTGCCTTCATTGATCTTTGCGAAAAAAATGCGCAAAGTATGCTTCACTTGATATTCTTGATGCAAGATTCTTGACAACGTTCTGTTTATATTCAACAAATATTTAGTTCTTTATACTTGTCAAAGAGTTCTACACTTTTAACACTTACAGGATTCCCCTGATATACTATCTATAAATAATAATCAATTATAAAATGAAATATTTAAAATATTAAAAAAATATCTAATAAAGTAAATAAAAATTACTCTAGATACTAACAGTATTATTTTAGCGAGAAGTACTGATAGAAGTGTTGATAGATACTTGGTAGTACTGAATTATAGAACTACTTGGACAGTGTACTGACAGTAATACAATTAATATATACAGAACTATTATATAGTGTTGAATATTATAATCGAACTATTATGAACTAGTATGAAAGAATTATTGGAACTTCTTTTTCTGCAAAAGCAAAAGTACAGATTACATATTAAATATAATCGGAAAACTTTATATAACATGATATTATCCGTAAATAAATCGTTAAATACACGCAAATACTCATACAGCACACTAACGTTGAATCAATATCTCAGAATGTTGAATTGCAACATTGCGTACATTTTGCAGCAACATCGCGAAATATAGATTCAATATTGAACAGACATTGCAGAAACGTCTAATGTTTGTTGAATCTGTGTCTTACAGATGTTACAATTCAATATTGATACAACATTGATTCAATGTGTATGTAATGTACATTTTCTTGATTTAAAATTTATTCAACGTCCATTCAACGTTTATTTAATGTAGATTTCATGTATATTATATATGCGAGAGTCTCATATATGCGAGATTTAAAATTATAAATAACAATGTAATGTAAGTAAGATTTTATTATATGTATATTTTTATTATAACATTTATTTTCCGAGCATTTATATATACATAAATATATGTTTCAATTATTATAAATTATTTCATCATCTGAATGATATAGTCTTTATTATATTAATTTACAGAGAACATTACTGTGAATACTGCAAATGTATTTAAATCGTTTTGGTGGCAAGACTTTACTTTTTGGAGTATGTTCAGGAATTATACCCAGATAATTGCATGCACATTTTTTGCTATAGGGCTTGTTTTTTGTTTCTGCATTAGTTCAAACTAGAGTCCTATACTCTAATTCAGACCACAGTAACTGCATATGCAGTGATTCAGAATTTCAGACCGCGTTTATAGACAGTGCAGGAACAAAAAACAGACTATATACTAAATTAATTTTTAAAAATGGTGACAATTTTGTTGCGGCTGTTGAGAACTTTGTAAAGTCGAAACTTTCCGTATACCGGTGTTATTATTATAATAAATTTATATATATATCTAACAACTAGTATATAGCTCAATTTGTCTTGACCTGGGAGGTTTATTAAGTTTAATTTGAAAAATTTGTTTGAGCGGATATTAATTCAATTTAATTTGATTTAAATACATTTTCAGGAATTCACAGTAATGTCTCTGTGAATTAATATATTTATATTTAATATAAATATTCTGCTGAACGCAGCCAATGGTGGAAGTATGGAAGAAAAGAAACGCACCCCCCTAGCAGAGAGATTTTTAGCAATTTATTTCCATCAGAAGCACCGTATAAAGCATGATGGAAATACATAAGGTGAGTCATTGCGCATGGAGAAAAAGGAGGGGGATATGAAAAATTAATAGGCCTGTTCTTTTTGCCTGCACTGTCTGAACTGGTACATACAGTGCAATAAGTTGAAATGAAACAAACGTATATCTGTTTCACTTCAACTTATTGCACTCTGTGCACAAGTTCAGTAAAAAGAACAGGCCTAATAATTCATTTGCCCTCACTTTTTAAGCGCGAAATTCAAATACGTACCATTAATGATAAATAAAAACATCTTTCATTAAAATAACATAAATAGGTATGTATATGTGTAGGTACTACAATCAATACTAGAAATTAAAGGATAGGTAATTGCTAATCATGAGGATCCGGGCTAATGCTTCTCACTAGCGGCACCAACGTCCATTTAGGTTTCTCTCTGGCTGCGTCCGGTGTAAATCCAGCATAAGGCCTATCGCACATGAAATGCATAAGGACTGTGCATAAATATAACATAAGGCCGCTGGACCAATGAGCATCTTATGTTAATCAATATGGCGTCTTTATGCTGGATGCTCATTGGTCCAACGGCCTTATGTTATGCTTATGCACAGTTACGCATTTCATGTGCGATAGGCCTTAAGCGGGGAGCACAGACTTTTGCATAACGCATAAACCATATACATAAAGAATTTGATTGGTCCATTGACTCATGCATAAGAAAATAGACCAATGAAATTCCTTATGCACATGCTTTATGCGTTATGCAAAAGTCTGTGCTCCCCGCTTAAGAGCCCCAACACACACTTTTGCATAACGCATAAAGTATGTGTATAAGGAATTTCATTGGCCCATTTTTTTATGCATGAGTCAATGGACCAATCAAATTCTTTATGTATATGGTTTATGCGTTACGCAAAAGTCTGTGCTCCCCGCTTAAAAGTGAGCAATTCCCGCTCATATTTGAATTACTTCAACGTTATCATTAATGTTATAGTGTTATATATTTCGGCAATATAAATAAAAATTGTGTTAGAATAAATAAATATTATAATTTTTATATGCAAAACATTAAAATAATATATATGATAAAAAATTCCTTGCATTATTAATGTTTAATTAATTATAACAATTAATAAAATTAAATTAATGGAAAATAAATATATAAAACATAAATTTAAATATTCTCTGTTCATGTAACATTAATTATATAAATTTTTGCATTGTATAACAAAAACTTTTTATATTATATAACGTTATATCTCATAAATTAATTAAAAATACATTTTTGTATTATATAACATAAATATTTTATCGAATATTAATCCACATTCGAAATCTGTTTCTTTATTAAAAGAGGATTTTTTATACTTCAAAAAATCAAACACATTTCATTTGATATTCCAGGTTTAAATTATGAGCACTGAGGACTGAGCACTTCCAGAGAAATTAGGTTAAGTTTAAAGAAGAAGAGGATATGTATATCCTTTTCTCTCGTATGATTTTGCCCACTCGCCTTATGGGCGGCGTTATGGCTAGACTCTGTTGTTAGAGGGTCTTTAGGCGGTACGGCGGTAGTTGAATTATTTTCAACACATATAGAAGATATAACCTATTTCTCGCGAATGCTTAATAAGTCGACGATGTTTACTGAAAGAATATTTATATTTTGAATACACAATGCAAAATATCGCGTTAACACAAATTAATATGTAATATTTTCTGACAATTTTTTAAATATTGACAGGAAATAAAATATTGATAGGATACGAAAAAATATAAATATTGTGTCGACACTGATATCATTCAATTTTAAAGGATATCTTCATAGAAGAAAAATAAAAGTGAAGCAAGAAATTTTGATTATTATTGTTACATTGAATGTCAACAAAAATGCCAGTTTATCAAGAAACCGAAGTAATTGTTTCATATGTATTAATATAAATAAATTAATACACATACAAACACACACAACAAACAAATAAATCTATTCTGTATCCTTCAACTACACTTTACTTTCTTTCTTGCTTTCTCATAAAACTTAATTAAATATACATCTATTTTATTTTATAAACACAAGTATATATTAATTCACACTAATTCACGAACATATATTATTATTTTTTATATACTTATTTAACTCTCAAATTCCATCACTGTGCAATTGTAACTTTCACATTGGTACAAATTTGGCTTTTATATCTTTGAATGTTAATTTTGTTACAAAAATACACAGCAAAAATAGGTCAAAATATTTGTTTTCTATGTGAAATTTTATAATATAAGATAATTATATAAACCAACTATAAAAATATAAACAAGTGGTGAACTTGTCCTAATTATGTCCTATATCCAATTTTACTGCATGTACATTATTATTAATCTACACAATATTGTGTATATAATTTATTTTTATTCTATCTATAACATGTTTCAGCAAATCCAAGCGCAAACAATTATTGTTATTCATCCGGGCTCTATGTATCTTCGTATGGGCCGTGCTTCTGATTTGAAGCCCGTTACGTTATTACATGCTGTAGCAAGAAGACGTTTACCAAATGGAACAAGATACAAGGACAATCTCTTACCTCCAACTGTAACATTAGTAAGTACTAAAATAAATGTACAATAAAATCATGTTATCATATTTCTAGTTGTCATTGTCTTTGGCAGACAAAAGAACTAACACAGGCAATGGAAGAATCTCGACTGCAAGTGTCGCATACCCTTCAGTCTTGCTTACAGTCCGATGGAAGTCGAAGATATGCGACACCACCACAGCAGATAGCAGCTTTTAATCGTAGATCTAGTCCAGAATTCTCTTCGCCCAGCAACATGAAGTGGACAATGACTAATCATGATATAGTCATCGGCGATAATATCTTATCGTTAGATCCAGGAGAAGAATGCAATTTCAATATCCATTTTCCATACAGAAGAGGAGAGCTTAATATACATTCAGGTCCAGGTGGTAGCTTAACTGCTGTCATAGCAGACTTAAAAGCCATCTGGGAATATGTATTAACTGAGAAGCTAGATATTCCTCTCAGAGACTTAAAGCACTATCGTGCAGTGCTTGTTATACCTGATATTTATCATCGGCCATATCTAAAGGAATTAACAACACTATTATTGGATGAAATTGGTTTTGGACGCTGTATTCTATTGCAAGTTAGTTTATATCCATGATGCATTATATTCTCCTTGGTCCTATTACTCGTATCCGAGTGTGGTGACATTCTCTTGGTAGCTATTCTTGGTGGGTTACCGCTTCTTTCTAAGATACATATATCTACTGATATATGGGACCTACAATTTGTAACGCTGGATCTGAATAGCGCTGGTGATCATAGATCTCTTGATTACTAACCATTTTTGGCTCCTTATATGATAAATCACTTATAGATCGTAAGTTAATCACACCGAGCGGTGAGCTACTCGACGCCCTAATGCATTACATACTTTCTCGGAAAAATTCTTACCTTTTTTTACGAAAAATATTTTACTTATATAATAGTTTGAAATCCAAATGCTTTATTTTTCAAATATCTTTTTATTATTGATAGGATCACGTAGGCGCAATGTTTGGAGCAGGTTTGGGTTACGCGTGTATAGTAGATGTTGGAGCTCAGAAGATATCGGTATCCTGCGTGGAGGACGCAATTTCTCATAAAGATACACGAGTGCGTATGGATTACGGCGGGGCAGATGTTACGCAGACGTTTCTCTGGCTTTTACAAAAATCCGCATTTCCGTACAAATCATGCGATCCTACCAACAAGTTGGATGCACTACTCCTAGAGCAACTGAAGATAGATTTTTGTCATGTCGATTTAAATGTGTGTGGCTCACAGGAGAAAACGTTCGTTGTCAGAAAGCCAAAACAACAAACGGAAACATATACTATGCAGGTGCTGCTTTTTTAAAATTTATTCTTTAAAAAATGAAGAATTGTTATCTATGATATTGAACTTAGTACATTGTAACAGGTTGGCGATGAATGTTTAATAGCACCTTTGAGCCTATTTCAACCTGAACTATTCAGAATTACCGGAACGCATAATGTTCATGTTCAAAAACGATCATTAGGAGATCCAGAAGATCCTTATGATGAAAATTATTTAAGAGAAACAAGTGTAAGTGTTGCTTTTTGGTTGCTTTGTATTTCTCAAACCTATAATTGATATTTCATTTTAGCATATCCAAGTTTGATACGATTGCTTTCGATTTCAGAGACGTGGAATGAAAGAAACTCTGGATCATTCGTCAGAAATGCAAGAGGAGGCAGCGGCTGCACCTGCAGTTGTAGGCGATGATGAGGTTGTAGTTGACGCCAGTGATCCTGCACCTAGTTTGTTAAATCGTGATTTAGATGTTCCCCGAGATTTCGTAATCCCACAACAACTATTGGGTCTTGATCAAGCTATTTTGCAGAGTATCGAGCGATGTTGTGAGTATATTTATCAAATAAGTAGCCTGTAATTAAATAAAATACAGCTTGTTTAATATTTATGTATAATAGCCAATGAAGATCTCAAAAGAAAAATGTATAGTTGTGTACTAGTCGTTGGATCAGGTTTGAAGTTTAAGGGTATCGGTATGTGGCTTCGTAATCGAATATCTCTTCAAACTCCTTACATGTATAGGCCTGGTAAGTATTTACTTTTCAAAATTCGTATTAAATTAATTGCAATAAGATAAATTAAATCGTTATACGAGTAAATAAAGAAATGTCAATTACAGTCGAGGCTATATGTGAATTTTTTAAATACATTTTCTAATATTTCCAAAAAAAAGTTAGAATATCACATTTAATTGATCATCTAATAAGCATCTTAAAAGTACTGTAAAAAATTTATTGCAACTGGTATTTCTTAGCTTTAATTTCAAGATTTAGACACAATCGCATTTGGCATTGTTTTATTTATTAACTTATTCAATTAATTTTACTTTGCTTACGACAAATGCAACATGTTTTTTATATGCCTTGTGATTTTTCTTGTAGAACAACTAGATATTATAACACAGCCAAAAGATATGGATCCCGGTATGACAACATGGAAAGGAGCAGGGATTTTAAGCTGTTTGGAATCAGCTCACGAATTGTGGATTAGTCGAACCGAGTGGCATCGCTGGGGCGTTAGAATTTTGAGAGAAAGATCCCCTTTCTTATGGTAGAAAATATATTTTATATTATGTTACATCACTGTAGTAGCACGAGGTTGTAAAATATTTAAAATATTAGATAAAATATTTAAAATATTAAATAATTACCAGATAAAATATTAGATAATTATCATAATAATTCGATTATTCTAATTTTAGTCTTATTATTAGGATGGTATTGTATTATATCAGCTTCCAGTAGAATATTTACGTAACGTAATGCGACAGATGTGACATCTACATAAACATCATCTCCCCCTTTCACGTAAGCTGACGTTAGCATCTGTAATCGTAATTTCATGTATTCGCATAATTAACTTAATCAACTTTGTACAAAAAGATACACAGATCGTACCTCTAATAACCTGTTAAAGTCATCATTGTTCGGAAAAATTATGCCTACCACAGTTTTCTGCAAACAAAATTTGTTCTTACTAATACTTTGTTTCATGTTTTACTTCAGTATTGTCCAAGATTTGTAATTATGGCCATTAATTTGATGTTCATACTTACAGTCTCCAATAAGTGTGAACGCTAACACAAACAAGTCAATACTCAATACAAATCTTGGACAGTGCTATTTTACTTTGTAGAAATTACATGATTTTGTATTACAAAATTGTACACATGATAAATACTGAACTATAATACAATTGGAATAGGCACAACCTACTGATGTTCATGCGTGTGCGAGAGAGAAAGCATCAAACAGATTTCTAGCTTTGTTTTGTCAACCCTTATTAATTAAAAAGAAGATACAACTTTTACTTTTTCGCGATGTTCACAGATTGCTTTATTTTTTTAATATATTGTTCTTCATGCAAATGGAAAATTATAATAATGATGTTATAATATATTGAAGGAAAAATTGACACTTGAAATAAAGAATAAAATATTTTTACAGTTTGTTAATTCAACTCTAAATTAGTTTTTAAATGATTAAAGCATATATATACACACATACATATGTATATGCATGTATAGCTAACAGTGATTTCTTACAATGTGAATAAAAATTTTATTACAATAATTATTTCAATGTATCAATTATTTTTTGAGAGAGTGCAGCATTATTATAACTTTCGGTTTCTATGAAGAATATATAAGAAAATAAAATGATCTCTGAACATACGCAATTGTAAAAAAAATTGTACTTTTCTTTATGTGTTACATTACAATTTAAGACAAATATTGAAAGAATGAAAATAATGAAGCCATATATATATATATATATGTATGTATTATATATAATACACTTAATCTGTTTGCGAAAAAAATTTTTGACAAGATTGTATATAAAAACAAAAAGTTGTTGTGATGCTTTCTTTTTCGAGGATGTATCAATAGAAAAGCTGTGTATCTGGAGACACGGTAGTGTCTCGGCGCTAAGCCAAGCGCGTATAATATATGTGTATGTGTGTGTAGTTATATTACAAATCAATGATGATAAATCATGACTTTATACCAGATCTTTCTTTGCTCGGTGAAATAAATATTTTATTAAGTTATATTCCTTCTTGTATGTCTTCTTTGCAAAGGTTTCTGTAGCATCCTCCAGATAAACTTTCTGCATTTTACTCAGCCCGTCTTTTTTATTTCTTAAACTGCAAAAGCAATGAAACTGATGATGATAATGAAACTTATATATTACTTCTAATAACAAATTAAAAAGTCAATACAAACCAACACAAGTTATCAGTGTGCAATTATAATTTGTTCATGTAAAACATTAAACATAGACGTTTGTTTTCACATTTTGTTTCTGTACAATAAATGTCTTGTCTAATACTCTACACTATTTCATTAAACTGAGTAATTCAATGGAATCTGTATATTAATTACATTTCATTCATTAAATTTATCATTTTAATGAACAAGTTGTAATATCACTTTAGACATTACCATCACTGCTTTATTATTATGTTGCGCTTTTTATTAATATTTAATTTATATTTTTTTGTACTGAGAGGAGAAGACCCAAACAAAGGTCGAAACGTCTATGTTTAATGTTCTATATGAATAAATTATAATTGCACACTGATAACTTGTGTCGGCTCGTATTGGCTTTTTAATTTTGTTAATAGATTTAATCATTAGAGCCTTTGTTTGTTCGAATTTTTTTTATATATTACATGTTACTATACTTACTAAACAATATCCTCCTGGATGTCGGAAAGTTTTTCCTGCAGTTTATTGTAGAGCTTTTGCATGTCGTGAATCTCTGCCTCCAACTCAATTATCACTTCTGAACGTAAGTCAGATGTTCTCAAAATTGGATAATCTTCAGGTTCCACCTGTCGGATTTTCTTACACAAGCTCTCATGCAATTTATTCTGTTTGATTCTCACTTCTTCTGGTGTATTTACAGTAAAGACTTCATTGTTTGATATTTTGTCTATCAGATCTTCAATAGTGTCTTCTATTTTCCTCTGTCTCTCCACCAATGAATCAAAAGCATCCTCTAATGTATATTCCATACTTTGTTTTAAAATATATATTAAAATTCACGTTTAACGCTGCAAATAAAATTAAAAATGTTAATAGAGAAGCTTGTAATCAAAACTTTAATGGAATATTTGTTGAGTTTAGCATACACAATCACAGAAATTAAAAAATATATCGCAATCAAAGAATAACATTTGTAGTATAAATATAAATTCAATAATATAAATTCAGTAATAATATAAATTCACACACAATTATTTAGAAGCACCCATGATTCAACTTAGACCGATGTAGCATTGTCTCATTTTCGGTTTGAAATTTAGCGATCCAATAAAAATTGATAAAAAAGATATACCAATCTATGCATTTTTTCATAAACAAACAAATCTAACAGAAGGAAGTGTTGTTCTGCTCTATTAATAGAGATATTAATAGTAGATGTTTGCTGTTATTGAAACTACGAAACCAGTTACATTTATGATGACAGATGAACACGATTACAAAGCTTTTGTTTCCGTTTACCAGGTGGCGTATCGGTATATGAGCATCGCGAATTGGTCGAGTTTTGGAACGCATCTCTGGGAAAGTATGCTGGAGCATTAAAGCAATCAGCAGGTGGAGTAAAGTGGAGCAATGACAGTATTGTTATATATTGCTTATTAAAAATTATCATGCTTTCTCATCATATAAGTAAACTTTTGCGTCGTTCGTATTCACGTGTAATTTCGACCTGCCGTGGCTTTGCTTCGACGAACGTTGAAACAGGTATCTTTATTATTCTCTTATGAGACTGGTACAAGTTTTAGGTTATCTTTTTATTGTGCCACGAATAACAAAGTTGATGAAAACTGATATTTCTGTATCTGTAATTAAAATTGTGATGTAGGGTTCAAATTTTTAACATCTTTTAAATAATGATTTACAAGAATCTTTTTTTACATTTTCGCATGATAGCCGTAAATACATATTTGCGTCTATTCTATGAACGTTATGACAGAGTATTGCCAAACTGCTGTCACATGTTCGGTGTTTTATAAGGACTATATTATAAATAGCACGCAAATCTGCGTAACTGTATTTATTTAAATTAAAAAGGTCCGATTTTTGGAACACAGTCCGATTTAGGACATTCTCCCCCAGCATCCGAGAATGGATTAAAATGGATTGGATTTTGTCTATTCGAATTCGTATTTTAAACAGCGAAAACTTTTTTTTTTATTCAATTGAATTCAATTGGATTCAATTAGATTCAGTTAGATACAACTGGATTGAAAAACTGCGTTTCCTATTCAAAATTATGAATTGAACAGTATTCACTATGATCATAAACGCACTGAAAAAGCTAATATTATTTTATGATAGAAAAGTATACAGATATGCTCCATGCAATTCCTATAAATGAATAAAAACGTATTCGAATTGAAAAGGATTCATTTTAACATTCATGAATCCATATTTCTGAAAATTTGAAGCTATTTTAATCCATTTCAATCCATTCTCAGATACTGGGGCGGTAATTGATTTTGAGGTATCAATATATCTCTATTCTATGTATTTCTTCGAACCCGATTTCAAGAACATTTTTGAATAAAACTATTTTGAAGAACAAATGGTGGCCCCACAGGATGCGCTGGCACGGTAAATCCAAGCGGCTGGACGAATGCTGATATTTTTCTTGATTTTCTGAAACATTTTCAGAAATTTACGCGTGTTTCCATCGAAAACCCACTTTTATTATTGCTTGACAATCACGAGTCGCATAAGTCGTTCGCAGGGTTGAAGTTTTGCAAAACCAATGGAATTCATATTCTATTTTTTCCTCCACATCAGCTACAACCGCTTGATGTCAGCATCTTTGGTCCTTTTAAAAAAGTACTCAATGATCAATGTGATAATTGGATGCAAATGATGGATGCAATTCCTAGCAAATCACTAACAATTTATGACGTGCCGTAAATTACAGCTCGAGCGCTTGGGCTTAGTACCACCGAGAAAGACATAAAATCGGGCTTTCAAGCAACAGGCATTTAGCCATTGAATCCTGACAGTTTTCTAGAAATTGATTTCCTGCCCAGTTCGGTAACTGATCGACCAATCGAACATAATGAGAACATAAAAAAAATTTGAACGAAACACTGCAATCCATTTGTCCAATCCATTTGTCCGAAAGCACTTCCACGTAAAAATACTGGTCGGGGCCGAAAACCGGGAAAAACTATTTTAACTGATGATGCTGTGATTGAAACTATTACTTTAGAGAAAACAACAAAACAAATGCATCAAAGAAAAATAACGCAAACGAGAACAAAAAATACTGAAAAGACGAGTAAACCAGCTAATTCATCGAAGAAAGAAGATTCACCACAATCTGGTTGTAGTACTGGTAATCGACCGACCAGATCTAGTCTAAGGAACATTAAATCAATAAAATATCATGTGTCATCAGACTCAGATTGATGGAATTTTTTATTGATTTTAATTCTAATAATAAAATACTATAAATTGTAAGTTTATATTATCTTTTCTGAATAAAATTTTTATCTTTGAGTCTCAAATTGTCCGTTTTTATTGAAGTCCTGCACATAAACGTTCCTTAGTATTAATATAATATAATGTCTGTTATGTCCATTATTAATGTAGAGTGTATTAAGTCTTACAAATTAATGTCTTTCAAATTAATTAAGACAGATTTATTGATCTTGTTTACAGACTCATTGGAAAGAGATCCAGCATCATTCTTTTTTAATAAAGAAATTCAGCAATATCTTCAACGATTGACGACATTAGACTATAGTAAAGTCTTTCGGACTCGCAAAGATGGACATAAACAAACACCGCCACAATTTAAATTCCTAACAGACGAAGAGCTTGAAGAAGCTAAGAAAGCGGCGGAATATAAAGCAAAGAGATATTTGCAAATGCCACCAATGGTAAAACAAAGATTGGAACCGTCTGCGACGTTATGTGAAGATCCTGCACTACAGAGTCACGATACTGTTAAATATGTGTTCACTGATATCTCATTTGGTCTTAAGGATAGACAAAGATCAGTAGTAGTTAGAGATCCGGATGGCACGTTGAGACACGCCTCTTGGGAAGAACGAGATAGAATAATACAAACCTTTTTACCAAAACCAAAAAGGGAGCTACAAAAACCAAAGATGTTTGAAGGTGAATACTTAAAGGTATGTACATTGCTCTTAATCTATATCTAGTTTGCTGATATTTATGCATAGATTTATAAAATATACCGAAAATTATCTTCTTTTAGAGAGAGAGAAGTTAAATTATATTTATTTCTATATATTTATATACATATATATATTACTAATTTGTAGTTTGTCGTAGCTATGAACATCGCTTATTATATTTTGGCATAATTTATTTCCATACATGTTTGTTTATTAATAAAACAAAAGGAATTTTCGGTATATTTTACAAGTCAATTCTGTTAATTATAAGTGTTGTTTCATTCAAATATATTTCCATATTAATATATTTTACAAGAATTTGTGTATTTTTTTTATTTCTGAAGTAGTAGTGATGAGTGGACAAAAACCTTAAAAGTAGGAAAGATAAAGAGGAATGAAAAATGCTCGCATGAAGTAAATGCTCATGTATTGCTATATTTTTTACAGGATTTGTTAAATCGCAAGGAATATGAGTTTATACTGGATCGTGCGTGTGTGCAATTTGAGCCGGACAATCCGGATTACCAAGCGGTCACCCGAGAAGTCTATGAACACATAAATGCCGAGAAACATTTCGATATCTTGAGGTCTACTCGTCACTTTGGGCCGATGGTGTTTCACCTAGTGTGGACGAGTAATATCGATAACTTGTTGTACGAGATGATCGAGACCAATCGGATCGAGGATGCTGCGCTGCTGATACGTCTATATCACATGATTCATCCTACAACCAAGTCAGCAGTTGAACAGTGCGAGCACGCGGACGATGTGAACTTCGTTATGCATTACGTGCGTCTCGAATCACTTAAAAGTGATAAGATCGAAAAGCTTTTGCAATCGTACAAAGAATTGCAACGGGAACGTCAAATTGTAGCAGAGGGTATTAAACAGGCACACGGTATTTCTTCGGAAACGGATAAAACATAAGTATAGATAAATAAATATCTTGTATTCTCTTTCTCGTTAATATAATTAGTAATTATTCTTCCATTTTTTGATCCATTATCCTGAGTGTAATAATCGACAGTGAAAAACTTGATTATGTTAAATATTTTGATGATTTTCTAAAGAAAAGCTACTTACCTAGATAAAAATTTTTCTCTTAAAATTATCGTTGAGAGATTAGAAAGGTGAATTAAGTTGATAAAACAGGTCAATTGTGACGAGCGTTTAACTCTTTAAAAACCAGAGCTTCCTAATAAAAGGTCTGTTTACGTTTGTCCACAAATTTTTATATTTAAAACGAGATAAATATATATTCGGAATTAAAAATTTTTTAATGTAAAAGGTTTAAGCAGCGTGAACAAACGTAAAATAACTTAGAAAATTTTGTTTTCTACAGATCTTTAAAATTCAAAAAATCTGATGGTAAGATTCGGTTTTAGGAAGGTTGATATCTCTGAGTGTGAACATAGTCTGAAAATAGAAAATTTTAAAAGGATTAAGATCTTACATCGTGAATGACTGCCTCAATAACGATAAGGCTGCGCACAATCAAGGAATAGAAACAGGAACAGAATAAGAATTTCAACTAATAAAAAATGATGCATTACACAAACACACAATGCAAAACGCTTAAAAACCTGGCCAAAAGTCGAAAAATGAGTGAATTTTCTTGGAGACGTGTATGCAGGGGTTTTTAAGGTCGCTGAATTCAAATTTGACATTAAAATTTTGAAATTCAAAATGGCTGATTCAAAGTGACGGACTTATTCTTTAATTTACTTGAAAATGTTTATGCAGGGGTTTTTGAGGTCGCTGAATTCAAATTTGGCATTAAAAATTTATAAAATTCATAACAATTTATTTATTTAGTACACACAAATGTAATTATATAAATTTTCTTCCGTTTACTGTAATTTAAGTTTTATAAAACTGTCGTCATCAAAACTATTGGCATCTAAATTTTCGTTGAGATCATTTTTACTCTACAGTGACCTTTAAGGAGATCCTAAAGTTATCTGTATTACCGACTAAACCATATAATTTTTGTATCGTAAATACTTTTTTGTCATTCACAGATTCGAAAATCCTTTTACAGGATTACAGTATACGCATTAATACATATCTGATAGGAATCTATGCTGAAAACGATAAAAAATTTCAAAATTGAATTCACCATTTTTTAGTCCAATATGGCGCTCCAGTCCATCAGAGTCACGTCGTAACAACATTTATTTTCATATAAAAGCTGTGCGATCAGTACTTAAGAAATAGTAGTCCACAGACACGTAGTTTGAGTGAAGAAACAGCGTTGAGTGCTTAGAATTAGACTTAGACATTTTATCGCGACGAATTTACGATACGAAAATTGACAGATAATGCGACTGCGTGTATCATTGTTGCGTGAGATATTAATATGATAATATGTAAAAGATATGTCGAGATGTGTTGTAAACTTAGAGCATATGCTCTAAGGTTGTAAAACAGCGATATCTGGCAATTTCGTTAGAGCGTCAGCTTTGCTTTAGGATCCCTTTAAGCGTCAAATCAATAAAGATCATAGTCACTATATATGTTCTGTATCACTAACTTTCTTTTCAGCACTAACAGCGTGCATTTAGGTACAGAAAGTAAAAGTTGCAATGATAAAGGGTTATCTTTTCTTTGGGTTCCAGTTTCTGCAAACTCGTAATGAGCGGATCCGAAGATGCTATAGGAGCTGGTGAAAGACATTTGCCGTGCTCTTCTTGCGCGAACATTTTTGGGAAAAGTTTTCGCAATATCGTTTTATAAATTTGTTTCGGGCTTCCTGAGCATCTTCAGATTATAGTTGTCCGATTGATAATGTGACCGACTCAGTAATAGCATATCCGTGAATAAGAACCACGTGAATTAACGTAGGCATGAGATACCATAGATACAATTCAACGTACCGCTTCGCAATGTCTAAGCAATGTAATCGAAACTTCTTTACATCTACAGCGAACCCACTCGATATTTACTTGTAAAATTACTTTACATTTTGCTATTAATTCCTCGTTCACCTTAAGAATTTCCGCAGTCAGCTGAACATTTTCGAAAAACCACCGAGTAATCTTTCCGTCGTTGGTCGTTCCGGGGTTCCGGCTCCTGCTTTAGGAACCTCGATATGTAAATCAATAGTTTTCTTAAATTTGTTCTGAATTTCTTGCTTACGATCTGCTACTTTTTTCTTCTTTTTCTTTCACGGAACGCGCTTGCCACTTTCCTTTTTGCCTTATCGCGTTTATAAGTAAGGTATAAGAACCACTCCATAAATCTAATCCATACATGTAATGACGTTATCTCAAATTGAAGATTGCAACCATTTACTTCTTTTTCTAAAACTAAATTTATGTTATTGAAATCCTTTGATTTAGTTCCGCACTGAATATATATAGGTATAACACCGCGCGCGTTGAGCAGATTTAGATTTCGTGTCTGTTATTGCATTTCTCACTTTTCTATTTATCATTGTGAAAGCCATTTCATATCTTATTTCAATATTTCTATCGTCAAAAACACTGGAAAATGGAACAAGAGATGCAATTTGGGTTTCTATATACTTTTTTTCTTCGTTGCTGGATTGTATGTTTTCCTTGAGAAATTGTAGTCCTATATCGATCTACAAAAACGCGAAGACGAAGGTCTAGGATTTTGTCATATATTTATATTCTGTTTTAATTCATCGTCCATGACTTCCATGACTAAAAGTTGCAAAGGAACTGTAAAAAAATATGGGCGTCCGAGCTGTCCTCATCGCTAAACTTTTGTTTGTACTCTTAATCCGAAAAACCGTCACACTCCCATTTCAAAATTAAGATGAGGTTTTCAGTAAGTCTCGCAACACTGACTAACACACCAAAAAGCAGATATATAGAATAGCTACCTGTTCTTTTGGGATTACATACACTAATACTCTCTCTACGAAATTTTGAAGTACTCAACCCACAATTCAAATATGAAAGATAAATTATGATTGACTCGTATGATTTATTAAAATCAACAGAAAGTGTAAAGCCATTCGAGTCTTTAACTTCTTTCTAACATCTTTCCAGGCGTCTAAGGTAGGCTCCCACTACATTACCTTACTGATGAGTCCAGTAGTGGAAGCCGGGACGAAACGCCAACTCGTGATATTCTTCACAATCTCAGCTTCTCTGAGTTTAAATTATTAATTTAATATTAAATTTTAATATATGTCTTTCAACATATTATTAAGATCTAATATGATGCTATAGGCATCAAAAATTGGTTAAATTGATTCTCAATTTAACTAAGTGATATTACTGTGGTAGTGAATATGCGTCAAGGCTGAAAATCTATCAGCGTCGCGGGGGGGGACTACATACACAGTATATAAAATTCACATAATAAAATAAACATTAACATCCAGTTTTCAAGCCACAATTCAAACTTTCATTTTTTGACTTTTGGCCAGGTTTTTAAGCGTTTTGCACCAAAAAATGGAACACACAATTTTTGATACGTTGACATTCTTATTTTCTGTTTCTGTTCTTATTCTTTGTTTCTATTCCTTGATTGTGCTCAGTCCCTTAAGGTTTCACACATAAAACTCCGTAAGGACGTAAGCGTAAGGAAATCGACCAATCCCAATCGTCTATTCAATCCCAGAAGAGGTGAATATACGATTGGGATTGGTCGATTTCCTTACGTTTTATGTCTTTATGGAGTTTTTTTTATATGTGAAGGCCTTTATCGTTATTAAGGCGGTCGTATTGATTACAACTTAAGATCCGAATTATAGTAATATACATATATGCAGGAGATTTTAGTGTTACAGGATTAATAATCAGAATTAAAAAGTTTAAAAGTCGGTTTGAAAATCAGTAATAACTGTTTATATTTTACATAGCATTGATGAGCTCCAAATAAAGCAAAACTGGAAGCTCGATATCCACAATTAAAAACTCTCCAAAACCGAATTATATGTTGAAATATTTTTTTGAAATTCTGTCCGCCATATTGAATCCACTATTCTGAATTTTCTATTTTTGACTTCAGATTCGAATAAAGCATCAAATTACCCTATAAGCCAAGTTTTATAAAACTTGAACAAGCAGTTTATTAAGTAAAAGGGGATGACCCCAAACGGGATCGCCGGTCCACAAAGGATTAATCAGGCAATCCAGAATCGGAGACCATTTGTCCATATTCTGTTCAATAATTGCCAATTCTGATCTTCGTCAGGAAAGTGGATTCTTCTCCGAGAGCAATCCGCTGCGCTTCATTTTATAGGACACCCTATAGAATAAGAGTGAGACTGTGCTGCAGTATGTAATGATTTGCTTTATTCGTTGTTCGTAAGGTTGAATTAATCAATTGGATAACAGACACACGGTGGTCGTCAGGGCAATTCGATGATTATTACTCGATTATTTTATTACGTACGGTAGTACTTACAAACATTTACAAATGTAACAAGTCAATTCGATTTGGCGTACAGGATTCGTCAGAAAACATTACACTAATGATCTTTCGCTAATTCGCGTTATGAAGGAGAAAACTGAGGAGGGAAAGAAAAAACGCAAAATCGGACAGCGCGCATCTGTCCTGTGAAACGCTTTGTCTTCGTTTCGATTGGGGTGGAGAAGGAAGGTAGGGATCAATGAGAATAGAGAAATGGGGAGATCGATTGATATCTAGCGATTAAACGTATCCGATAACGAATATAACGGCTCTACCGATACTCGGGGTATCATTGCGAACGAAAATGCACCATTCAAAGTAGCTTTATACAAATGTAACGTTACGGTTGTGGTGCCACGCTGTAAGTACTTACAATCATGGAACGATATCACAAACCTGATCATTTGCGTGAAAAAAAAAAGAAGAGAATGGAACAGAAAAAAGAACGAGATATTTTCGTTTTTTTTTTTAATTTCCCTTTTTTCGCTTCTATCTTCATCCTCGCGCTGGAGGACTATCTCGCTTCGTTATAATACTTGATAAGCACTCGCAAATCGTAATGTTTGTTTATCAATCATTATCATTCGCCTTATCCATAGTATACTCTTACTGTGTAAGTAATTATTATTTCCCTATAAAGACGTGCTCCGGATTGCGTGTACATGTGTGTGTGTGTGTGTGTGTGTATTTTGCGTATGTGTGTGTGTTCGAATGTGTGACAGTAAAAAATAAATAAAGTATGCCTTTTCGCCGCGCGTTTCAACCCCCGGACGCGATCAATCGTGTTACTCTGCGATAAGCAGTGCAGTCGCTTTCTTTTCAACTGCGAGATAAATATCAATCGATCACGACACAATGGAGGTTCACGTCACTTATTACACTAATATTATTACCAACAAATCATAAGATTAACGAAGATTTCCGATTTCGAGATGCGCTAACACTAATGTCCACTCTCTTTTTCAGCGAATATTAGCAAAAGGCGCGAACACATGTACTAACTATATCGACGCGACTATCAGTTCGCGATCTTGCGTAGAGACAACGTCGCAACGCAATATCCATTCCTAATGATCCTAATATTTCTAATATAACAATTTTCAATAATTTCCTAATTCTTATTTAACTACCAACTAGGTAACTTAACGAAAGAAATATTTAATCTACGAATTAGAAAACAGTTAAATATAGAACACCGATTCTCATTGATTTTGCCATTTAGCAATTAATAATTAGAAAAATTTTTTATTCCACAATTTTTCGATAATCCCGTTCGCTTCGAAGAAGATACGATTTGTTGGACGCTAAAGAATCCAATAAAACGCGCGATTTTTAGGCGACCTCGGCCAGAAAGAATCGTCCGTTCGTCGAAGTAAAGTCCCCAAACGCATCCGAGGGTTGAATACGAAAGCCTCGTCGAACCGGTCCACCGATGCAGACCGGATTAACGTAAAGTATGGAAGCGTACAAAATAAATAAATACGTACGTACGCGAATGTGTCAGCTGTTAGGCCCTTCTCGAAGCAAGATATGCGACTGCATCGAACGCCAGTGGTCCAAACAACGCAAATAGAATTCAAGGGATCTCTGAGAGGAGAGCACTTTTAAATACCTCACTTTGAATCTCGGAAGGATGTATATAAATATATTGCGTTGTCCAGAAGGCGCAACGATGAGTTTGTGCGGTATAAGCTGCGATAAAATAGCGTAAAACCGGCGATCGCACTCGAACGACGATCAAGGTGACGCCTGAAATTTTCGCGGCGAATTGTCAGACTCTAATTGTACTTGTGTGCAAACTTCTTAATTAATGGGCCATTTCTTCTTCGGTCCAATCGCGTTAAAAACTTCATTGTCAGCGAATATTAGTATGGCAATTATTAGTATTCCTCACAGAAATTTACTGCTGGAAGGAACTAATTAATTACTATTTTTTAGTAGATATTAAAAGCATTGTTATTCAGTGCTTTTAATATTCAAAATAAATAATTAATCACTACCAATTTAATATTAAAAAGTGATTAATTATTTTTATTTATTCTGAGTATTAGAAGCACTGCATAACGATATTTTTAATATCTGCTCAAGATAAGTAATTAATCACTATCTTTCAATATTAAATTGAATTTCTGTAAGAAATAATAACAGTTCAATCGTAAAACGTCGATTCGCCACCTTGATCGCAAAACGCTCGATCCTTCGGTAATCGCGACAATGGAGAGACAATGAAGCTCGATGACTCGACGATCGTCATCTTCTGATAGTGGGGCGCAAGGTAATAATTAGCTAATGATTGCGATCGTCTAAATAATCCGACGCGGGATGCACGTTGCGCGGCGTTAGTTGCGAGATGTATGTAGCGGAGCTGCGTTCGGGTTGGCAAATATTGAGCAATATCCTTCCTAACGCACACCTTTGGCCGCCGGAAAAGTTCGCCGGCAGATCTTTCACGCGTCTTGCCATGTCTCTCGATCATTATCAGCCACGTTGTTTTGAACCAATTACATCGACACTGATTCCACTACTAATTCACATTAATTTCAAATCAATTATCTCTCTCTTTTCCTTTCTTTTAATCTGCGAATCGTTACTAAAAAGATTTCATAAGAATCGCTACCATTAGAAGACTTCAGAAAAAATTACTTTAAATAAAAACATTTTTTCGACACCGTTGGGAAGTTAAATGTAAAGTACTCTGTGTTTAAAAAAAATTACGAGAAGATTCTCTTTATTATGTATTTTCCTTTTAGATTTTTCTCTGATTTTGTTTCTACAAGAGAAACATTCAATTCTATAATAATTTTTTAACAATGATCCTGTATGTCAAAATAGAAATAAAATTAGGAATTTGGAAAGAAATGGCGATTCGTCAGATTGGTGGTTAGATCTAAGAAATTGCTCCTTGCATCTTGTTACCGCTTTCCTTCTGGATCTTTTTATCAATCATCTCGTATTGTCAGCTTCTCACTTTCACTGTACCGTGCCCCTTCGTACTCTTTCGTACCTCCTGAATAAATCGCGTATTTCTCGCCAATGTCATCCGTAAATTCCTTAGCAGTAATGAGAATAACGTCGATCGCCTATCGCTACGCATCTTGTTTATAATAAATAGATATACAATATAAATATATAATATATATTATATATGTATATTATATATATGCATATTATACGCACTCATGTAAATGTGGCTGGATCTGTGTATATTTTTTGTACACATACGGTAGACAATTGCTCTAATAAGTTTTTTTCTGATAAAACATTTGCAGTACACATTAGGACCGTCGTCGTGTACAAAACGCGTTTCTATACGTGTCACTTCGTCGACATCCGAAAAAAAGATCGTTCTGCGGCGTATATATGTGTACGACTGTATATTTCATGTATATGAAATATACAATTTTATATATTATATACTTAGATCTACCTACCTATATCTCCACTTACGTGTATATATTTATATAAATCTCCTGCTCATCCACGCATACATGCGTAGCGCGTGTATGTATATATTTATATATATAATACGTATGTATATATGTATAATATTTATATACGATGATCACCTACGTAGAACCTTACGCTCGCCCTATTACGATGAAGAAAGAACGAATAGCCGGATAATTACGGGTGTATAATTACCTTAGAAAAAAGTACGCGAGTACTGCGTTTCCTCTTTTGTTCTAGTATTTGGCACACAGACGTTGCGAGAGGTACGAATGCGTGGACTCCAAGTAACAAGCTGACGTCATTTTTCTAATGTCTAATGTCAAAATGACAACAAGTAACATTAGCTTGTTACCTGGAACTAGAGTTCTAAAAAATCCAAAAGATACGACATTGAGTTGATTAATCTAATTGGTTCGCTGCTGCCATATTAGTTCCTTATGGATACCCAATATGGATACTGATTGGCTTTATAAATCACATAATCACAGTGCCATTTTAGTTCCTTATTATGATAGCCAATCAGACCATAATACTCTTTAGCAGTTAAACAAATTATACCCTTCTTATGTCATATATCTCTGATTTTTTAGGATTCTATTGGGACGTGTACATACGATCCAAGTCGAGAATGTAGCACGTTTTCGAGATCAAAGTTGAAGGGAGGGGTAAAGATTGAGAGATCGATGGCAAGACGCGAGAACCGGGATGTAACCCGCCTGCCCGCCTTGAATATGCTATGTGATGCAAGATTCGCGTCACGTTCCTATTTCTTTTCTTCTTCTCGTTTTCTAGTTTGGACGTCGACGCTTTGTCGCGCGTCCGCGTATCGAAAGGTTTCCTCGCGCCGCGCGTTTTCTTTCAATCATTAATACTATATTTAATCATAACGATTAGTGCGGTATTATTACGCGCGACTCTCGCGCTGAATCCCTACGCTGTACTCTACTTTCCAAGAGACGCTCCAAGCGCCCGCGTACGGCGACGTCCTCATCGTTCAGGATACCGGAAACAGCCTTCCTCCACCTTCCGTTCTTCCTTTTCTTCGATTCGCGTTCCTGTCCGCCAGGCAATTTGGTCTTCTTAATTCTAGCAATTCCTTGTTGTCGAACTCGAACCCCAATCTTCTCTTACCGTTTCGTGTTTCCCTTCTTCTTGCTCGTCTCGTTTAACGGACAACCTGCCTGGAGACTGTTGTCCGAAGACCAAGGACCATGCGGTAGCAAGTAGCAGTCTTGTGACCCCACTAGCCAGCGTGTTAACTCGCCAACACGATTTCAGTGGCAACCTTGACGGTCGAGCAGCCGATCAGCGAACGGCTTCTCGGTCACAGAATGTCCGTCTCGTAGACCTTGCTGGTGGTCGTAGTGGACGTAGTGGTAACAGTGGTGGCTGAGCCGATGGTCGTCGTGCTCGATGCCATCGCTGAGGACGTGGTACCGAGAACCTGGCCGTTAGTCGTCGCCGTCCCGGTTGTTGAAATCGTTTGCCCGTTGATGATCTCGACTTTGGCTATTTGGTTACCACCGTCGACCATGATCTCTTGCGAGATCTGAGGCTTAATACTGAGGCTGGTGAGGGATCCGGAACTTGCTGCGCTCAGGCCAAGACCCATCTTCGCCAGGAGATTACTCTCGGAACCAGTTTTCTTTAGGAGATCAGGCGGTGCCGGCGGTACGGTGGTAAGACCGGCCGCGTTCCTTTGCAGCTGCTGAAGCCGGGCGTACTGCTCCTGCAGAGCTTTCTGCTTCCTGAGAAGCTCCTGATGCCGTTGCTCCAGTTGTTCCTGTCGACCGCGCTTACTCTGTAGTCCTTCCTGCGAGTTGACGCTCTCACAGGAGCTGGAGTTACTGGTCGATAGCACTGCGGAAGATTGCGAGGACGACGAATTATGCGGAGCAGCGGCGCCTGGCGCGGTCGGCGCCAACGAGGCGACTTGGTCCACGGTGGACAGGATAGCGTTCGACGGTAGAGCCATCGGTGGCTTACCTTCCTTGCCGACGAGACTGTTGTTGCGCGAGGGTCGGCGCAAGGTTGCATTGCCGCTCTGCAGATTGCACGGATGATTTCTGGGCGGCAGCTGCGGGCTGGTAGGGCTTGCCAGGGGCGATCGGGAACTGGTGCGCGGCGGCGGTGGCGGCGGTACCCTTCTGGCGGTCGCCAGCTGCAGCAGTTCGGCGTTCCGTTCCGGCACCGGCGGCTTCTGTCCGGGCAGAAAGCTCTGTGGTAGCACCGGCATGCCTGGCTGCTGTTGTTGCTGCGCCTGCTGGTCCAGCGACAGTGCCTGCAGCCTGGCGATGGGCGGTGAGGTGTCGGTGTCCGAGCTCGATGGATACGAATGCAGGCGACGTAGAGTGCCACCCGATGCCATCCCGGGCAAACCCATCAGGCCGACTGTGGGAGGCGCGGTCAAGATACCGCTGGAGGAGTCCACGCTGCCCTTTCGACCGATATCGCTGATGTTGGGCGCGCGTCCGCCGCCGCCGGTGGTCGCCACGACGCTCGGCGTATCTCGGAGGCTGGAGGTGCGGCCGATGTCGGCCAGGAGTACGTTCGAACCCGGGTGCACCGACAAGCTGCTTGATACGTGACCCATCTGCGAGCTTGGTCGGGAGAAGGTCTGCAACTCGTCTAGCAGAGCGTCGAGTGCGTTCTCCGGACGCTGCTGATGGTCGGCGGATGACTCGTGAGGGTGGCCCCCTCCCCCGAGGACGCTCGCTGACCCCACGACAGTGCGTTCCGCTGGCACAGGGGCAGTTGCCTGTTCGTTCAGACACGTGGAATCAACGGTCGGGCCAAGAACGTCGCGCCGGCCGGCCGGCCGACCCGGGTGGGGCCCGGCTCTGCCTCGCGGCGTCGCGCCAGCGTCTCACAAGAGCTGATTTCCCCTGGGGGACGCGGACCGTCTCCGGGTATCCTTCCGCATGCTGGCGCGACGCACTCTTGGCATCGTGGGATGAATCGTGCTTTGTTTTTGCGCGCTCTCGTTCAGAAGAAGCATCCCCCGCGCGATCGTCCAGTGATGTCTCAGTTCCGCGAGGTGCCGCGCGAATTTTTGATGTAAAAACGTGTACAAAAAAAAACACAACGACACATATAGATACTTACGCGCTTGTAGACACGACGTACATACATAGACACATATAGATGTATAAAGGTGAGAGAACGATAATAATATAAGAGCTTCGAAAATCGCATATCGACTATGTACACTCGATCGTATGTACAGAGATACATTTTAAAAATTTGATTCTTAGTGCTTGGTGCAGACCGGATGTAGTCCAGTACCGGATGTTGAAAGTGTCGTGTATCATGATACACTTTCTCGTTTGCAGTATGCCGTCGCTGCGGATGCTTTTTCTGACAACGAGAGCGGTGATCGTAGAAAGTGGCGTCTCGATGCGAAGGTCCGAATAATGAGATTGGAGAAAGGATGAATTGCGAAAAAGAGATAACAGAGTGATGATACTTGAAACACGGATCACGCAAAGTCCGATATTGCCTCATCATTGATTGTCGCGATTGCACAAATTTATTAATATCATTTAATTATCTAATGAAATTATTAACGCAAAAAAGTATTCAATAATTTTTATGCTATTTCACGACTCTGAAATATCTTGTAACTTGAATTGATTAAGAATTATATGCTAATTCAAGTAATACAGAATAGTCTTTCCGAAGTATATACTAAAATATTTTAGAAGACAATTCTTCAGATTAATTCAAGATGAAAACTTGATATGTTCAAAACCGTCCTCTATATATGCAATATCTTAACGCATAATTAACAACATTACATTTATTAATTTTATCAATACGTCAATTTTTTATTAATACTTCAAGTATAATTCACATTCGGACTATGCGTTTCGTGTCGTTGAACCGCGTGAACTTTTAACGACAAAGACGCACTTCGATACACCACGATCGTACGATCGGATGATCGCGAGTTGAATTTCGTCTTTTTTTTTCTATGTCATGCGTATATGTGCGAATAATGTGCATGCGTAATAACGATGTGACAGAAGAGAGAGAGAGCATGACTATGAGACGATGAACGATATAAGAGATCATTATGTAATGAGCGTAAATTATGGAAATGCAGAATATAGTGAACGACGAAAGAAAAGTGAAAGAGAAAAGGCGCACGAGAGAAAGAGATGGATAAAAGAGACAGAGAGCGATAGAAAGAGAGAGAAAGAGAGATAGAAAGAGAAAGAGAGAAATAGAGAGAGAGAGAGAGAGAGAGAGAGAGAGAGAGAGAGAGAGCGCAATGATGAGTCGTGAATCGCAATAAGTGAACGAAAAAGAAGGCACACAATCGTAGGATATAATACGTAAATATGATTAATTCCGTTAGATAATTACCTGCGGGTCGGTTATACGTTTTGTGCGTGCGTTGTGCGTGTTACAAGTCAGTACTCGTTTGGGGCTCTTTTACATTTGGCATCGATTGCTGTCCGGTATTAGTCAACTTAAAAAAAAAAACAGAGAAACCAAAAATCAAAAATCCGAGGTCAGAGGTCGTAATCGTGGACCGCGTGGAGAAAACAGAAAAGAGAGAGATTGAGAGAGTACGTGATATGTTCGCGTTCTTTGCGAAAATTTTTCGTTTCTTGTTAACGCGGACGCGCGAAAAGTCGAGGGTGAATTACGCCAAGATTCGTAAAAGATGTAAAAGGAAGACCGCGGAAGTCTTCTTGAAGGTCGATTCTCGTGACGTTTATCGGACATTTCAATTGGAGGATGCGACAGCGCGAGATTGACCAAAGGGAGAAACTGCAGTGATCGTTAAAGTCCCTTCCGATGATTTTGATAAAATAAATATTTACAATACAGAATTGATGAAATTAATTACGCTATGAGGGGCATAATCAGAAGACACAACGATTGAGTGAGAATTCGCTGTTATTTTCAGAGAAACACCAAATCAAGAGGAAGTCAAAATGATAATTTGACGTCAAAATGATGATTTCTGGTTACAAAATTTGACTATTTATTAACTTTAGGCATCAAAATTAAGTCATTTAAATTTTTTGTTAAATTTTGTGTGTTCTTGCTATATTCTTAAAAATTTATTATGGCTTTAAAGGTATACTTCAATTATAGACAACGATTACTAAGCGTCCACTTAACCATTTCCAAAAAGAGAACACAAGTCACGACACCAAAATGACGTCAAAATAGCTTCGAAATGATTCCAAATTGATTATTAAAAGTCATTTTTCAATCAGTTATAATTCACTTTAACGCCATTTTCGACATTATTATGATTTGTCCTGCTTGAGTTGTATCTTTTGATTGCAACCTCGCGCTGTTGGATTTATTCCTGGCGTGATCACTCTCGATCGATTTTTATCTGCCCATCGTGCGTACGATCGACATCCGGTTTCGCGCAGGAAAGAGTCGAGAACGCGCGGCGCATCGCCCGGGCATCGACCTGTCGTCACTTCAAGACTGACTCCGGATGGATCTTGCATCAGTCGTCCCACGGGTCGAGAGGAACAGTTATGTACGAGCAAATAAAAAAACCGCTTAGGACCAATATGAGTTTTAAACGTGCAGTTTATCGCGATATCGCCCGCGGTGAATCCGTTCTAGCATGGAGTAAAAAGAAACGCGTGAGATTTGAAAGAGAAAAAGTCGTCGTCACATCCTTACGTTGCTCGGGCAGATGGATTATAGTAACGCAAACGAAAATAATTACATACAGGGGTAAAATTGACGCACTGCTGGTGAACGTGGCGATGTTTGTTGAAAACCACGCATGGTTGATTAATTAATTTTTTCACGGCTAAATTTAATTCTTGTGATTTTCAAAATATCGACATATTACTTAAGCAACTTCGTTTAATATTTATCCAGAAAAATAACAATTTATCATCTACTGCACTAATTGCAAGAGAAAAAAATGGTTGTAGTTACTAGAATTTATTACTAGAAATTATTAGTATTATTAACTAAACACTTTCATGTCAACTAACAAATAATTTTTCGATAGAACTATAAATATTATATAATTATTATTGTGAAATCAAAGAGTAATAAAAGTGGAACTTTTAATCATAATTAACCATATCATGCAATCACAAATACTAAAAACTTTTAAATATTGCGTTCCCGAAGAGTACAGTCTACATCTTTATTTTTCTATAATATGTAGTATAATTGTAAAAATTAGCGATACCTTTATACCTTAACAGAAAATCATTTTCGGTTCTCGACAAAAAAAAAACTACCGCCACGTGCACCACGAGCGATCACTCCGTATACGTGATCACAGTTCACAAAAGTTCTCCTTGTTAAAAATAAAATGAAACATATCACATGAAAATTGTTGTGCCCATGCCGATGATCGAGGTGCACAGAGAGGTAGATCGCAGTTACATTGAAATAGAAGCAGAGACGTTTTTCTTACCGGATTTGCCATTTACGAATTAGTACGAGTACGCTCGTATTGTGTCGATGCCCGCACAAATGACGCCGACCTTCCGGGTTTCGAAGCAACGGAGGATACTCTTATACGCAGAATATATAATAGCATGCATCTCGAAGGCGCGGATAAGAACAAAGAAAAAAAAAAAAAAGAGAGAGAAAGAGAGAGAAAACGACAGGAATGCCTTCTCTCATGCGAAACTGCATGCGCGTCTACGCAAAATCTTACACACATACGTATTTTATGTGTGACAGGCATACATTCACACGCACACATACACACACAGACGTACATATACATGCCGCATGCCGCACACGTACGTACGAAACGTGCCTAGTTAATTGATACTCTGACTAGTTGTGAAACGAACAAAATCCGAGAAATAATATAGGATAGTATATATTATATACATAAGTATCGAAAAAAAAAAAAAAAAAGAAATATCGGCCAATCAAAAAATACACAGAGAAAACCTTCAGTCCAATCCTTATAGTAAGGCAATATAGTATATTAAGTATATAGTACGGACTCAGACTCATATAGATAGATAGATATATAGAGAAAAAGATAGAGAAATGAGATGGACAGAAACAGGCAGAAAAGGGAAATAAGTGAAATGGAGAGTATATATATATATATAATATACTATATATATTGTATATACATATAGATATATAATATATGTATAATGATTCCTCAAAGTGTGTTTTCGATGGATGGGTATATACATACATATACACAATAGAAAAAGAGAAAGAGAAACAGAGATAGAAAAAGAGAGAAAGTGAGAGAGAATGTGATGGAAAGAAGAATGATGAATCTTGCACGAGGGCGGAGTACGCATATCGAACGTGATGTGAGACGCGATAGTAACATTCGATCGGTATCGGTGAAATAGAAAGAGGTGATTATGTGGTAGCAAATCCGTCGACAGGAGCAAATACAAAATAGCGTGGAGAAACCAGACATATAAGAAGCCGAAATATCGTACAAATTATAAGTGAGGGAGCTAATTAGACCTTTAGAGTGCTACACGCCAGCGTGTAGATCGGTGTGACCGTAAACTCGCGCATCTATCGGTAGTGAGGTTTTTATTATCAATTTGATGCTATCATTGACTCTTCACCAGACAACAATAAAAGTTTTGTTTGAATAAAATCCATTAATTTTATTATTTAGATAGTTATATTTTAATTAATTATTTCTGAGATATAGATAGATTGTTTAATAAATAATTATTATTTTATTAGTAACGTTATTTGTGAAAGACCTTTAATAGTTTCCAACTTCAAAATGTGGAGATCAACTCCAGTTTGGTTAAGAGATTTCACTACGCCGCACCATATGCGCGAATTTATGGCCATTCCACTTTATTCAGTAGTTTTCGCGACGTAAAATACCGACACCTCAAAATTAAAACAATCAACATCACTCTTGAGGTTAATATAATCATATTTTCCTCGACATGTGACATTTCTTCCTTTTTCGCTTTCAAGTCATAGAATGATATTGGTTGTTTCGGTTCCGAGGTGCTGGAGTGCTATACAGCCTCGTCATTGCGCGTTTAATTGATTGTGATTGCATTTGTTGAGACTAATCGAGATTCGTCCTCTTTTGACGTTAAAAAGATTTATAAAAGGAATCTCAGTTCTTTTTCTATTTTTTACATGTCTTTCGTTCCTTCGAAAAAAAAAAAAAAAACAATAAATTTTATAATACAGCCAATAAATAATAAATGCAGTCAATAAATAATAAATTAAATTGCGTTTTAATTTTTTGTCCAGCCAGCGAAATTTATTAAATTTTATAATACAATACGGAAAAGATAGTTTTACTGAAGTAAGTAAAAATTTAGCTGAATATAGATTTGAAAATAATTTTGTTGGACTATTGAAATAATTATGTAGGATGTTAAAACTGACTGATTTCGATAGAATGTCGAAAGTTTGGAAAGCATTATAGAATGCTTGAGTTTCCTATATAATTATTTTAATAGTTTACAAAATTATGTTTAGATCTGTATTTAGCTAAATAATTCGTCAAAATTGTCTTTTCCATACGTACCAACGAATCGAGAGTGATTAGTCTTCAGAATTAATATAGGAACAGAGATACCAAGAGAATTTAACGAATCTCAATTCGTTCTCGTTCACATCCTTTGCACACGTGCGCGTGAACACGAAGAAATGCTTGTGGATTGTAAACATAAGTGCGTGTGAGTACTAATCAAATAAGCCAAATAAGCTTCATAATAATGATGCAGTGGAAAACAATTAAAAACTGAAAAATTAGAATTATATAAATAAATTAGTTATCTAGTAGTTTATGCGAATATTTGTTTATAATGTCAAATTATAAGGAACTCTAAGAACTATTAATCTAAAAAATTGCTTTAGTCAATTCAATTTCGATGAAAAATAGTACTAAAAATAAAACGCACTATATAATTCGAATATATCCCATTTTATAGAGGGACTATCCTCAAGTCTTGTACGTTGTATTTAGATGTAAACGTGTATCATTCCACCAATAATCGATTACGTAGCAGAAGTATAATGATGGATACATGATATACGTTATATAAGCAAGTGGAATAAATTTAACAATATTTTTTCTTCACACAATATCTTAGGATCATATAAAATCATAAAACATATTGAAATAAATCAAATAAAGTCGATTTACATTATTTGACACACTTATTATTTTATCTAATTTGTCTTCTCACATAAGTAAGCTATTATTATTCTGCGACTTAAATAAATCATCGAATTTAATTTATATTATTCATAGTAATCCCTCAACAGAAATCCATTTGGAAGATGTCGATATTCTATGATCTCGTAAAAAGTAGAAAGCGATCGAAATCGTTCTATTTCGTATCTACAATCTCAAAATCGCCATATGATTACGTCGCGTAATTGTTGATTTTATTCCACTTGGCATGTATGCTCGCGCGCACGTACATACAGAGGCGCATATGCAGACGCATATTTTTCCGTGGTGGAAGCAAGAAGGCAGGGACCACCCTCTCAAATTTCCTATGCGCGAGCTGTGACGAGGCGGCGCACTGGTACGAGACCATCGCGACTATTAATGTTATCGGACCATATAAAATATATATATTTGTATATACAAAGTATCAACATATGTACACGCTGCTGGACGCAGCAAGCAATCCGAGTGATTCGATTTACTTCAGCCGCGGAGGATCGCGACGTTTGAACAGAACGTATAAGAGCCCAGACGCGTCATCATGCGTCAAGTGACATCTTGTCGTCCCGTAAAGACTGGTAGATGTGACGAGGTGAGACAGAGAGAAAAAAGACAGAGAGAGAGAGAGAGAGAGAGAGAGAAAGAGAAAAAGAGAGAAAAAGAGAGGGAGTCGGTGGAAAAAAAAGACTATAGCACAGCAATATAAGGGAGAATCTCTGTGAGATGCACTTGCGCGCGCGGGTGATGCGTGCCGTCGTCGTGGTACGTCACGCAACGGGGAAATCCAATGTAAACCTTGAAAAAACGTACGAAGATGGTACAGACGACGGGTTAAGAGGACGAGGAAGGTAGTCGTGGTGGTGGACGAAGGGTGCGGGCGAGACCTTACTATAAGAAGTGGATTGGAGCAAGTGTGTATGTGTGTCTGACTGAGGTCGGGTTGCTACTACTGCCGCGTTTCTACGTCGTGTCGTGTGTGTTGTCGGACTGTCTCGCATCGTCGATGACTCCGATCGGGATCCAGAACGCCGCGAAATTTCAGCAGACACGATTCCTGGATGTTTCGGGGATGCACGGCTGATATATGACCCAGGGATGTATTCCGAAATCCTAGCATTTACATTTTTATGGAATAAACGTAGTCGTTTCCTTCGGCATCAAATGCATCAAAATGCGAACTTGCCTCGAGTATATAGGGTGTTAGGTTTCACCTAACATGATCATTCCTTATATCTTTGCAAGGTAAGATCAAAATATAAATATATTCAAACAAAAGTTGTCTGATGAAGCACACATAAACAGCAAAATCTCATTATTCTAAAAAGTATTGAAGTATGGTTATGAAAATATTAATAGTTTGCGAGATATTTTTATATTTTATATAAAAATATGTTATGTCAGAATAAAGTATAAATTACCTCGTTATTTTCCAAAAAATACTTTTATGTATGTGTATACAGAACAATTAGAACAATCCTGTTATGTAAAAAAAATAATAGTTCCGTTAACAAAAGAAGTCATAATCTAAAATTCTAAAATATGACTATGAAAAAATTCGAAAATTAATTTTACTATTATTTATGCCTTGTGAGACCATAGAACTTTTATTTGAATATCTTTAATTGAATATCTTATTCTGCAAAAATATAAAAAACGGTCACGTTAGATGGGATACTCTCTATTTTATACATGGAAAGAACGATTCTGCTAAAGTATCTAAAAATTTAATTAGATACCGATCTAAAAATAATTTTATTGGAACATAAAAATAATTATGTAGAACACTTAACATTGACAACGCTGTGAAAAGCTTTTAAATTTCGAGCAACCAGTTTAAGCGTTCTGCGTGACTATATCAATAGTTCAAGAAAAATTACTTTCAGAACTGAATCTATTATTAAATTCTTAAATACTTCAACATAATCGTTCTTTTCAAGTAAAACAAATATATTAACTACATTTTAACTCGGTTTTAGCCGAATTTATAATAAGTATAAATATACCTACATATATTATTTTATATTTCGCGAGATATATTTCACAACAATGAGTATAAAGAAGATTTTATCTTTTAAACTAGCATTTCAAGATTGAAATGTCTTTCACGAAACTATTTCTTAAAAAGAATTAGCTAACCAAATCAGAAAAATCGATCTTATATCGACGACAATGCCAGACAATCCTCAACATTTGCCGATGCTCGATGAGCGAAAGCAGTCTCCTTTCCTCGTCTTTCGCGTCGAATCGGCATATGGGTGTCTCAGTGAGGGCCACAGCTCGGAAGTGTTCGGATACGCGAATGGAAACCAAGGAGGAAACGTTGTTGTATAAATACATATTATATAAATAAGTATATCTTGCGAAAAAGGCGAAGTGAGAGCGCTAAAATCAAAGATGTATAGCACGTAGCACAGCAGAGTCTTAATGAAAGTTTGCTCGTCTTTGGAACTGGCTAATTGTATATAAATGACACTAGTCAATACACATGTATCTGAATGTAACTCTGTGTGTGTATGTGTGTGTGTGTGTGTGTGTATTTATAATATAACTGGATAATTTCGAACAATTGGTGGTGTGCAACATAAATGTTTTCTCGCGAAGATTTCATATTGAATCAAATAGTATCGCGGAAGCCGCAGGACAAAGGCTTTTCTTTCCTTGTCATATCTGTATCGGACGCAGGCACTAGCAGAATATTCGAACGGTCTCAAGCAGAAAAGAAGTGTAAAGCTGTAGGAAATCAAGTAGAGTGCAAAATAATTCTCAGAACAGCGAGAAATCGCGCGGCGTTCCTTGCGTTTCGGACGTTGCGATTCTCCTTTCAGTGTGCTCCATGAAAAACGTGCAGTAGATACAAGCGGATTTAATAATAGAGAGATCCAGGGAGTGAGACATTCCTGAAGTGTTCGCGTTTCTATGTATTCAGAAGATAATGTTAAAAGATATGAGTTATTGGACAGAGATTCGAGCATGAAAGTCTGATGATTTGTAGGCACGTGCTAATGTAATGTCGAAGAAAGATTAACATTTAACAAGAAATTCAAAAAATTTAAATAATTCAAGTAGAATTTAAGGAATTATAATAAAACGTTGAGATGCACGTTTCACATACTAAAACTATTATATAAGAAGATTTAATTAAGCTGCGTGACATTATTATCATTATTATATATAATAATTAACAATAATAAGTATAAATACCAAAATAAATATTAATGAAAGAGTGCATATTTAAAATCTGTTTACTACACACAATTGTAATATAACTTTATTCAATATTAAGCTTTACGTTGTAAATAAAGCTAAAGTCATAAAGTAGAAGTAGGGTAAGAATAACTTCTCTCAATTGTTATTTTCGGTCCACATAAAATTATTAATATAAATTACAATGATTAAGAAAAACGCAACATAATTTTCAAAGATCCTGTAAGAATACACGTTACGAGCAATTTTCTTCTGATCGTTCAAAGCTGCTTATATCTATTGCACATTTTTAATTGCATTTACAAAAGAAGTAGGTATTTCTCGATCCTTAAACAACCAGTATACAAACACGATGCCAATCAATCAGTCGTCTATGCGTTTTTCAAATGTTCCCAATGAAGTATCTTGACAAAAGGAAAAGCATCTGTCGCTCTTGATACTTTTCTTTATACAGCACAAAGTGGTAGAGAACGCGAACGTATAAAAATTGAGAATCAAGAAATCGGACAAAAAGATTCGTCTCAGAGCAAGCATTGTGGTATCAAAACTATGATTGAGAGGTCAAAATGACTGTAGCACATGTGTGATGGATAGGAGAGTCAGATTCGCTGGATTAACTCCGAAGAATTCCGCTAAACTGCTATAAATGTTGGACTTTCTCATAAACCTCGAACACAAAAATTAAAAATTCTGCACACACATATACACACAAACATATATATCTATATACAGTTTATTATTTTATTTACCCATATAGTGAGAATAAACTCTCAGTTTTTTTTCCAGATTTTTATCTCTCGAGATCAATATTTCGCAATAGTGACAGTATTTATTCCATAAATCTATAAATCTGTGTGCGTGGATTGCGCAAATTGTTTTATACAAATTATGGGAAATTTATACAATGGTCTTGTTGGAATACTACACGAATGGGATTTACGAGAGAAAAAAAGCTTTTACTTTCGCTTTACATCTTAAACAAATGACAAAATGGATAGCAGGATTTTTGGCGGAATGCTCCAGAGTGCCGTGAAAGGATAACAGTTATCGACAGTACGATGATTGTGCTGCAGACATACCGAATAAAAAAGAATATAAATATATTCCGTGTGTTTGATATATATGTATATGCGTGTATATATAATATATATAAAAACAGTACAGAATAATAATAATAATAATAATAATGATAATAATAATAATAATAATAATAAAATAATAAACGGTAAATCTTTTATAATAGTAATAATAATTATAATAATTTATAAGTATGAATAAGTAAAAATTTACTCGTGACTGGTCTGTATGGCCTCCTTGAAGTTAGTACTCCACTTCCAGCCATACTAAAAAATTAATATTATTTTCACTATCTGTTAGATTGTAACATCTGCTTATTTGTTTCGTTTTTTAAAATTTACTTTTTTTCTAATCTCTCTGGTACACAGAGCTTTTTTGTGTACGATATAGCTTGCGATAACCGGCGTCGCTCGTGATTCTTAAAAAAAAAAAAAAAAACAGATGCGGAGAGAAAGAGAGAGCTTCGGCAAGCGGGAGCCTCTCTCCCGCTTCGCTCATTGTCAGAGACAAGACGTATCAGCTCTGTTATCATCAACGGCGAACAGCCGTCTTGGACGAATTAATACGATATCCGTAGAAAAAAAAATATAAAAAAAGAGGAAGAGAAGGTACTCGTCGCGACGCAGATTTTCCGTCGTTATACCACAACTAACACTCATGAATGATCTGACAAAACATCGTGATCGGCGTCGTCGAAGAAGAGGATCGTGAAAGCGATCTTGCGCTCGCTGTGCCATCTGGGCGATCTTGCGGCACTTCATCTTGCGCTTTGCGAATGGAAGCTCTATACTTCGCATTTATTTCTGCTTCTACAATTATTATTTCTACTGTAAACAATAATTCTGTAAATAATAAATCTTGTAAATCAGTTACAATATCGTTCGCATTGCGAAGCGAGACGCAGAGCGCAAGATACGAGGCTACGAGGTCGCTTTCATGGAATAGTAAGGCAATATTCGCTATAAGAAGATAGTTCAAGCAACGCGACGTTTAGGCGGACGTTGCATTGCCACTCTTCAAGCAATCTTCGAATCGCTCTCGAAACGAGTGAATGACGATGAGAGAGAGAGAGAGAGAAAGGTAGAAAGAATGAGAGAGAAAGAGAAGGAGAGGAAGAGAAGCTCGAGACAGCCGATCCGAGCGATTCGATTCTTCCGATACTCATGAACGATAAGCATCGACGGCTAACGAATGTTTTGTCACACCATGCGCTAAATGTATAAAAGATATCTATACTATCGGGACACAGCAAACACTGAAAATATTGGTTTATTGGATAAGGACGGAGGGGTCCATATCACAGAGACAGACAGAGAGAGAGAGAGAAAGATAGAGAGATGGAGAGAGTAAAAAAGAAAGAGTGAGAAAGAAAGAGAGAGAGAGAGAGAGAAAGAGAGAGAGAGAGAGAGACAAGTTGTAGGAGAATTACACATTTTATTTCCGTCGAATGTTTTCTCGTGCGATACTGAATTTGGCTCGAAAAAGACGAATCTTCGGAGAAGGAAGAGACAGGAGAAGAAAGAGAAGGCGCGTAAAAAAAAAAGAGAAAGAGGTAGAGAAAAGAGAGGAAAAAAATAAAAGAAAGACAGACAGAAATAGAGACAGAAGAGAGAAAGAGAGAGAGAGAGAGAGAGAAAGAGAGAGAGAGAGCCATCATCATATTCGTGTATGCAGTTAGCATCTTTGTTTATTTCCCGGAGGATCGTGCTTAGCGAAGAAGATGGCAAAAGAGGTTCGATAGTATTTTATACGTGACCGAAGGGAAATGAAGATGTTGGCATTTCCCGAGTAGAGATGAGCGACGTCGGCTCATTGCGGGACGTTCGCTAATGGATCCCAACATCGCAATGTGTAGTGGCGATCCTTGTATAAAAAGTTGAAAATTGACAGTCCGTGTGGCGACTGACTTTGCGATTTGATAGCGACAGTGAAATGCGATTTAAAGGCAGAAAGAATTAGTTTCAATGTGATAGAAGATTTTAACTTTAAATTGAAGGGAACGCGTTTCCAGGAAGTTAAGTACCTTGTCGTTTAGATTAGAACTATCCCCAAGATCGATTCGTTTGTACACGACGATAGAGCTGTCTGATAGCTGATACAAGTTTGGGATAGATAAATGTCATTTAGTAGTGATATTTTTATTAAAGTAAATATGAGAGAGAGACGTGCTGATATTACTTAAATAGTACTCTAAAAATATACTGAGAGAAAAGTACTTGGTATTTATGACTATAATTGCATGGTAAGATAATTATGGCTAGAAATTCCATTTTTATAATTAGCACTGCTATAATGTTAGAGATAATATTTATATTTATAGTTCTGTATACTAAAAAAATATGCCACATGTAAATTATAGTAATATCCAGTGCTATAAATATTTATTTTTTATGTGTATAGAATTATAAATATAATCATTATTTTATAGCAATAATAACTGAAAAAATGAAATTCTTAATCATAATTATTTTATCATTCTAGTAATATGTATTGTTGAGTGCAAAATTATAACATTGATGTTATGTTACTTTCAGTTTGTGTTGACTGGAATATAATTTATAGTCACAAATACCAAAAAACACCTCTCAGTATAATTAACAATCACAAAATCATTTTTCCTGATTTACTCTGGTGCTGCCCGGCACGTTGTACGTATATGAAGGGCGAAATGTTTGATTTTTAATGAGAAGGTTTACATCAGATTTCGTACTGTCAATGATCAATGGTAATACGGAATTAGCGAGCCGAAAAAAGCAAATAAAGCTGAAAGTCTGTTTCTAATTGAACGATTGAAGACAGCGGTAGACTTTCGCGACAATGATCCTTCAATTTTTTTCAAATTTTCCAAATCTTATAGAAAAAAATATATAATTTTGATTTCATATTATGCAATTTTCAAGTTGTCTTCAATTAAAACAAGATTCAATTTTTACGTTTAGCAACATTGGAAAATAATAGAATTCGACAAAATTTTGCAACTGCGTGTTATCTATTTTATATATTTACTATGTTATCTATGTAGGCAGGTTGTACAATTTCCAAATTTCAAACAAATTTCTACGTATAGCACGTACTTTTTCAATGAAATTATTTATATTTATAATCAAAATTAGAACTTAGCTTCAGAATTTTCAGTACTGACGCAGCATCTTAGAAACGTAAATGTTGCAAAACTTTGAGATGTATTAACAATTATTTACGTTATCGGATAATTAACAAATTTCTTATCATTTTAATTTCGCGTAACTCTCACGTGTGCCAATTTCTCGTCGTAAATGCTTTTCCGCCGATTCGATAGCTGCGTTATCTGTCTGACTATGCCATCATTGTACTACTTACAGCTTTGAAGCTACAGATAAAGTTTCAAAATATAATATAGATTTATCCCCATGAATTTAACGTAACTAATTATAAGATTCAGTTTTACTAATAAATACTTTTTTATATTAAAAGAAATATTTTTTTTAAATTGATGTTTGGTGTAATTATATAAGTTTGACTATATTAAGGATTGACAGAAATACCTCAAATAAAATTAAATTCAATCACTTATATTTTACTATTGTGCGATAATAATTTTATTAATAATGATAGCAGGTATTACGGGTATTCAAATTTCATCGCTATTGTCCGACATTTCGATGGGAATAACACACTAGGATGATCTACGTATTTAGAATTATTGCACATGCGGTGACGCATGTCCAAAATTTAGTTAATAATCAGGCACAGTCAGACGTATATTGTAATGACACCTACTTTTGATGATCTCGCGCATCGCAGCGATTTATGCATGTGTAATTAATGCCATTTGATCAGCGCGTCACAAAAGTTGTGCGCGTTAAAACAAACATTATTTGTATGTATATACAATATGACGTATGACGCACATGACGTATGTATACGCAAAAAAGAGTGGCGAGTATTTCACGTATAATGTTGATGATATTATAGACATATTTATATATTACGTACCAGAACAAAACTCTATATCACTCGTTGCATGCGCTTGTTAGCATAATGAGGATACGGGGTAAGCGGTGGTCGGATAGTAATACACGTCTCTTTGCAAAATACCATACCGGCTTACTTATGTGGGACAAGAAAGATCTACGAAGCGTGGAGAGTGGTCTCATCGACGCTCTACTTTGTTGACAGGTAGCAGATTGTAATATTGCCGCCGTGTGAGATAGTGTTCGGTGAACGAGTTCGCAGAGGTGAACAAGAAGCTGCGATGGGCACAATCGTGTTCCATAGTCTCTTTGCTGGTCGTTTACGCTTAGGTACTTTCTTACTTTATGTTTTGTATAAAATGTATAAATAGTAATTTATCGTGATATAAAAATCGAAAAATTGAATTATTACATTTAGCTTATTAAAATCGTCCCCCTTTTAAATAATTACTATATACATAAAGAAAAAGAATTATCTCGAATTTTACGAAGAGTTTTAAAAATTACAGCAATGCATTTTTATAAAAATATAAAAGTTCCAGAAGAAATGCCTTATATTTTCACATAGTTTTTTAAATTAAATTAAATTAAATTTTTTAATTAAATTTTATTATCTATATATATATATATATATAACAAAATATGCGCATAACAATAACTATAAAAGTTAATTAATATTTCAAGTAAATATGAATATGGATTAATTAAGTAAAAACTTTCACGATCAATATTATATAATATGTTATATTATAATTCATGAAAAATGTTTGGCAAAAAAAATTTAAAATATTACGAAACTATGTATTAACAATCTATTATCATTAATAATTCGAATATATACTATATATATATATATGTGTGTGTATAATTATAGTATTAAAAAATGAATTTTCACTGATTTGTGGCATTGTTTAAATTTTAAGTTTTCATACCTATTTCATTTTTCATTCACAATTAGATGCTTCGAAATAATAAAATTAACATATCTAGTAGAATAAATGTATAATTATATAAATAAATAATTTAATCTAGTTTGTTTTTATTATGTGGTTATATATGTATAACAAAGTAACATATATAATATAACAAAGTAAAATTATTTGTATGTTTAATAATATTATATTGTATCTATTTTATTCTGTTGAATAAAATAGATACAATATACACACATAGTTACATATCATAATATTTGAAGTTTATTTTATCTTCATACAAGAATTTTAGACGTTATTTGTCATGGTTCTCGAAACTACAACAAATTCAAAGTAATTAAATGTCATAAACAATTAAAATTTATTAAAAAATTGTCTCGAGTTATATACGAATATGCGTTTGAATAGTTGTTCTTCGTCTTGAATGGCATATAATTCAAAAATTGTTATAGAATTAATTAGTCTTAAGAAAAAAATCCAAAGAAATAAATGAGACACATTTCTTTTGTACGGCATCAAGGTATACTTAATATTATATTAAACACTTGAACAATACAATGCATCCCTTCTAGAACACATCGCACCCATAATCGAGCGGTTAAGATCCGGCGACGTGCCCATCTCCTGACGAAAGCCAATATTTCGATCATCACACGTATCAGAGTGCGTGTGCCGTGCCACTCGCGACAAAGTGTGCCACACGACAAAATGTGCACGCAACGAGAAGGAAGGATTGTAATGCACGTAGGAAACTTATAGGATCTCTCGTTTACCGCATTCGGTCGCGGCGGAAAGTGCGACCCTCTCGAGCGTTTCTCGTGGCCGAGACCATACATCTCTAACGAAACTCCGCGTCGTCCAATTGTATTACGATTACGCGCACTCTCTACGGAAAAGGACTCGCAACCAGGATGACGAGAAGTTTCTCTCATCCGAGAGACCGCCCCGAGACTCTAATTAGCGATTCGCGGATTACCGCGACGTACCCCCCATCTTCTCGCGACGTCTTTTCGATTCTTCTTTTTCTTCTTCCTCGAGGGAGAAGAGGCCGGGAGAACGGAAGAACGATGGATATTCAAGCGTGACACAAGGATTGATTGAGGAGGACTCGAGGGGATACTTCATGCAACGGGTGGCGCGGTACTTTCCAGTATCGAGGACAGGTGCATTTTATGGGGATCGCGACGGCGAAGAAAAAATCGGTGCGGGAGATCGGTAGAAGGATTGGGTCTCGATAGAAGGTAGAGATAGATAGAGATAGAGATAGAAAGAGAGAAAGAGAGATAGATAGATAGAGAAGAGAGCGAGCGAGCGAGCGAGCGAGCGGGGCCAATGGAGCGGTTACCTTGGAATGCTGTGCTGTCGTCGGTGTTATAGGCGGCGTGTCCTCGGCGTCTACGCTCGCTGCGTTTGGTAATCGCTGCTCTTGCACCGACGCCAAGCTAAGCGAGGAACAGAAACCGAATTTCGTCAGTAGAGAAGAAAATCTATAACGCTGTAGAGATCCTAATTTATCTCTATATCAATTGCTATCGCAAGAAAGTCTTCAAAAAATTTTATTATAGAGATCTAAAGTAGTTACGTGCTTTAAATTTTCGTCAAATTAAAAGATTTAGAATCTGCATTTATGTATATAACCCATAAATTTGTTTTATCTTTTTCACTTTGATGAGCTTTTAGTGTCGCAAACGTTCGCAAAATATGACAACTTTATTGAACTCGAACTTCCGTCGATACTATATTCTAATAAAATAAAAAGTCGCACCGTTTAAGCGTCACGAGAGTGCCGGTGAGTTTCTTGCAACGTCTCAATGCGGACTCCAGTCGTTCGGGCTCCTCTTTCAAAAACTTCTCCTCGCGCACCACTTTTTCCATTTCGGAACTCAGCAGACCTTTCATACCTTCTTGCAAACTCGGGAATCGTACTTTCAGGTCGGCCACAGTTTTGCTGAAAGGCAAAATTATTCTGCAAAATTATCCGCGTCGTTACATTTGGGCCAAAATTTTCCCATTTTATTCCGAATCTTTTTTCATCATCGACAGAGAGAAAACAGTCATTTGTAAAATTCTACCAACGCATGTCGGCTACGCGACGGCAATGATGACGCTCTGCTCAAGTGGGATCGAACGCGCGCGTGGCTTACCTGGATTTACTCAATATCAAAGCCATGTTCTCCACATCCGACATATTGACACGCGTCTTTCTATTGATCACGTTACCGCGAAGCTCCTCCACGGTGCTTTCAAGCTCGCTGAAATTCGCAAATCGTTTCGTTTACGTTTCTTGATTGCGGCATGTCTTTTAGGCTGGGTTGTTCCACCCTTCGGTAAATTTCAACTCACTGTTTTACTCTTTTATTTATCCAGTAAGTAAATTACCACACAGTTTATTTTCAGATGGAACAACCGGTCTTTAAGTGTCGTCTCAAGAGAGAGAGACGATACTCACGTGAGATCATTTTCCAGCCTTATCACTTCCTGTTTGTAGAGATCTTCCTCGCGGCTCAGTCGAATCTTCTCCGTGTCCCCGGCCGTCCAAACTGCGTCTCCTCCCGATAATAACATGGCTCTGCAGCAGTAATTGTGTGAATTCACAATCAATAGTCATTGAGTATTTACTTCATTAAATTATTATCGAGAGAGAAAATGTGTTTTAATTTTATTATGTATTATATATAAAAATTACTAAAGCGTGTGTATGCGTTTGTAATATTAAAATTATTAAACGTTATTGTAATATTTGCATAAAACTAGCGGATTGACGTTGCGCACTCTTTTTTATTTACTTTATTCGTATCTTTAATATATCGTACTTATCATATTATAATTACAAAGCCTCGTCAGTTTATTTATTCCATCGATTGCGAGATATACGTTCATATACTTACCTAATCGTGATGAACGTGTCCTTGATAGTTTCACGCACTGTGTGGGCCTGGGCTTGCGACATGCGTCTCAAATTTCTCACTTCTTGCCTGAGGTCCTTCGCCTTCTTCTGCAGACCTCTCAGCTGGTTGTACATCTCCGGTGTAAGCGCTAGGTCTCTGTACACGTATTGACCGGCCACCAGGGCGGCCGGTTTCGGCGGTGGTGTCGGCTTGTGCCTGTCTCTCTCTGTAATCGTTCATTTAGTGCGTAAGAATGCATGTCTCTCGTATGAATATCCGCGAACTGCGTGAACATTTAAGGGATTTAAGCTCGCACAGCACCGCTCGTTCTCTCGTGCGAAAAGCACCTTAAATTCGAAGTAGCGAGCGGAACCGGGTCTTTGCCAAAGATATTAAACTGCACAACCACAAGTATCAGCCGAATTCGTTTATCAATATCCGAAAGAAAATTGAATAATTAAATGGATAAATCATCGTAAGTGTTTTATTTAATCAAATTCTCCAGTCTTTAGACGTAAATTATGAAACTATTATGAAAAGAACTGTTTTGCTGCTAAAGTATCTTATGTCTCAATTGTATGTACTACTAAGAATATTTTGTTATAGATCCTTTATTACCACTTCTTCCAAACAATGCAATAAATTGAAGATGTTTTATAATCTTTTATGATCAAGATTATATTTTCACATCTAGATAATTTTCAGATGCTTCAATAAAACTAGTTCCTTTCTCTATATTAATTGCGACAACAAAATTTGCTTTTCTCATTTCTCTAGCCAAATATCTCAAAGCATTCGGCGTTTTGTCGTCCGGAATTTATGAAGGACTAGAAATCCTATATCAAAGTCTAGCTGTGAGCGTATCAAAATCCAACGAGAGAGAAAGACATATTATATTTTCCCTGCATATATACCTTACTATTTTAACTACACTGTTTCACACTATAACTTTAATTAAGATTCTAGAGCGAAACAGTACAAGTTAGAGTGAGATAGTATACATATACAGGTAGAAAATACCTACCTTTCTCTCTCGTACGATTTTGGCAAAATGGCCAGGCTTCGTTGATAAACGTTGGCAAAATTTCGCGCAACCAGTTCCTCAATCAGCTGATTAAATTTAACATTCGCCACTCATTGTGTCGTTGATCGACACTTCGTCATAACTGTTTCGCACGATAGAAGAGCGGGATCCGGTAATGAGAGGACAGGAATGGTTAAACGGGTCGGCGACACAACACAATTTTACTGTCATTTTTATTGCCGCGATTTTATTGGGCGGATGACGAAAGGCACGGCTTGAAACGGAAGAAAGGAGACAACGGATGACCTAACTGCTGGATCAGAAGTGTCGCTGTGTGTTTCAAATGGAAGGATCGTGTGTGCGTATTGCATTTGTATAATATGACGTATGTACATCTCTTGTGACATATATCTCACTGTGTGCTGCACAAGCGTTCCTCTACAATAACATAATTATCTTCACGGATGCAGGCGTCGCTTACTGATAGCAATGATATTTTCATCGGCGATCAAGTCGTGTTGCGTGAATGCACTACGAATGAAAATCGATTTCCTTGTACGCGCGTTTTAATCACATTACCCGGCAACTCCGCATTGCGTAAACGTATATACAAATTTCTACGTGTATCCGACAAACGTAGAACAGATGCACACTGGTTTCTCGATAAACATAAAATAACAATATGGAATTATTTAGCTTATTATTATTGCGATTGCGGTGCAATAATAATAGCTGCGAATTATGATTATTGAATTTACAAAAGAATAATTATATGAAGATTAATTACAAGGAATCTTGTTATTGTATTTATAAAAGAATATTTATCGTTATTTGTTGTACGTTACGTAAAAAAGCAATAACTTTTATTATTGCGTTGCAATAATTATAAGTTTAAGTTTAAACAATTCCACGTTGCAGTTACGTCGCAGCTTTTACCTTACTCCACAAATATTCAACAGCTGGATAATTATGATTGAATTTTTATAGAAAAAACAGAACATTACGATTTTATTTACAAAAGATACTTGTCGCTGTTGTATAATAAATAAAAAAAGTTGAACAATAAAAGCAACTTCTACGGTTGCATTTTTTATTTATTGTACAAATATTTTAACAAGTATTCTTTTACAAATAAAATAATAATATCCTATACTTTTCATAATAATTCAATCGTAATACCTAGCTTTTAAATATTTGAGAAGTAAGATAGAAGATCACATGACATTTTCCTACAAAAACGCATTGGTGCCAAATGCATAGGAAACGAATTATCTAATAATCATGTTCAACTGGCGCGTTCACCAGGTGGACCCATTCTATGTGAAGTCGAGAAAAAAAAATTCACATCACAATTTTACGTCAGACGATCCGTGAGACGATCCCAAATGAACCGAACCCACAATGAGAAACATCGCGCGTTCCTGCGGGCAAATAAAAATACGTATACCCGACACGATGAATAAAGAATGAATTTACGAGTGGGGTCGGCAGGACGGAAGGGGGTAGACGGATAAGACGGATGTATCGTGATGTTTCCGAGTGATCGGCGACGGCAGATACGCAGTCGTGACATATCACTCGGTCTGAAGAATAGAGAAAGGAATGAGACACGCGAATGCAACGCAAAGAAATGCATTTGTCGGAAGTATCCCGTAAAATAATATACGAATGCACGAATTGCTTCCTATCTCGCGCACGAATGCCTATGAGGCCGCGAAGCGTTCGTCAATGGGATGATATATGAAGGGCACATAGAAAAGGGCACTGTCACGCTTCCTCGACCTCGATCGAACAATATGTGCACTCAAAGAAATATAGTGGTAGCAACTATGTGTATAACTGTACAAGTTTTATAAAGACTACTAAGTATGTAGAATTAAAATGTACATTAGAATTAATAAACTGGAATGTTTACAAAATTGGCGTTCAACGATGTATCAAAACGATGCAGATAACCCACAAATCACATTTTATGTGCTTCTTTCAAGAAAATACCCATAGAAGCGTAAAAAGAATTAATGTACATAGTTGTGAATAAGTTATTTTATAATTGATGCGACTAATATAGTCATAAGTTTCATATATAAACTTAACATAATTAAACAAATTTTTTTGTAGCTGCAACAAATATACATAAAATAATTTATTCGATTATTTATGTACATTTTACGTATAAAATTTCAATAGCTGTCATCTATAGTTGCTACCGCCTACGTCTTCTTTTCTGAGTGTGGCTTGAAATAAAAAGACGCATGGTAAGAAAGAGAAAAGCATGTCAGAATTTCTCATCCAAACGTGAAGTCTTGCGGATAAACTAAAAAAAGAAAAGAAACTGGAAAGAATTCCCGAGAGAAAGAGAGAGTAAATAATATTCGTCGATTACTGAATGTGATTGATATGAAATGCGAAATGTTTTTCAAAATAACTTCTGCGAGCTTCATGTAGGCGATGAGTTTCACATGAACACATACGAACGGATTATTTGTACGTACGTGGCTTGATTTATTTTTAGTTATTTTTCGCATTGCCTGGATTGCGGGCCAGCAGTCGCCTCTTTTTCTCCTCGCATACGGTATACTTTAAAAATCGATTTACATGGAAATGAACATATTAATTCGTTAAAAATCCAGCAACGTCGACGTGCAGCAGCGCTCGTCTCAGCTTTTTATCGTGAATGGACTTACAATTTTCCGGTGCCCTCCATACAGTGTCGTCCCGGGAGGCGAGGAACGAATGAAAATAAAAAGGAAGAAAGAAAGAAAGTTCGAAACGACGGAACGACGGAAGAAGATTGTACCAAAGATTCGTCACGACGCTCATTATGTGAACAACATACAAATATGATAGACATAGCGTGACATATAGGGAAGAAGCGTAGACACTAGAACTGGAACTATTCGGATATAACATAATACAACCTTAGTTATAAGAATAAAGCATCCTCTTCGTGAATTTATAATTGACGAAAACGTGTTTTATATCTAACAAAAAAATTGAAAAACATTCTCATTGAAATATGATATTTTATAACAATTTTAATACTTTATTAGTCTTCCTTTAGCTTTTATTACCGTATTTTCCAAGAAAATGCAATAAATTAAAGTGCTATACATTTACCAAAGCCGTAAAGTTGATTATTGTTGTCTTAAAATTAATGCAATTATATTAATCGTATTAAATAAATAATAAATAATTTAGATTCTAGAATATTTTTTTTAATATCTGAAAAGTTTGATTTACGAATCTTTAGTAATGGAATTTCAGAACTTTTCAATGAAATTGAAACAGTACGAATTGTATAAATTGTTTAATACAAAATTATTTTTATGTTATCCCATTAAAATAACTTTAAAGACCAGATGAAGTGAACGGCATGGTTTATGAAACGTTGGCATTAATAATGAAGAAAGACTTGAAGAAAAAACCCGTGAAGGCCTCAAATGCGTAACTTTAAAGACATCGCTTAAAATTAAAAAAATATTAACACTCTTTAATAGAAAGATACCTATAAATGAGAAAAACAAAATATTTCAAGAGAAAATACGGTTCTAAATATAAGTTTCGTTTCAGTTTTGTTCATATTGATAAAAATATTCGTAAATATACAAAGAAAATTACCGAATAGTTCCACTTCTAACAGAAAGATGGGGAAGTTTTACCTTGCGACGACATCCTCGGCAACGTGGAGGATTTGATTGCCGGTTTCGTAGGTTTTGTATCCGCTAGTCGTGGTAGGCATTGCAGAATCGAATACGAGAAGGTGTTAGAGATTATTGCGTTAGTACTCGTGTCGGGATCGTTTTTTTTATAAATATACTTTCGTGTAAAATCCTCTTACGATATTAAATCGAGCTCTTATCACTAATACTGTACTCACTGAGTATTGAATATAATATTCGTTACTGGGTAATTATAGGAAGTGGCAAAAACGAATTATCGTATTTTAGATGTAAAATACCTATTTATAATTATCATTGGTCAAGAATTATCGGCATAATATGAAGAGATTAGACAATTTCGTTAGACGAAATAATGGTATAAGTTTATTGAAATTAAATTTAATATATACGTTATCGTGTACATAAACATTTTGGAATACAATATTTTTGATAAATTTTTGCTTTTTCTCCTAAATTGGAAACATTTAAACAGTGCAGATGTATTAATTTTCTGTATTATTTTTATGAAATTTGTCAAAATGGCAAAATTATTACATTGTTCCGTTCAACGAAATTGTAGAGGTAGAGAAACATAAAATATACATATATAACGCCAATCATATTGCAATAATTGTTTATATAAAAATTCCATTTGTTATTTCTGAAGAATATGCTATTAGCGTTCGAAGATCGATATTGGGAAAGACACAAGAAAATATGTCATAACGTGCCAGATTCATTACCAGACCATTAACAGATTCATTTAGCATTATTAATTATGAATCTATTATGTAAATGTAATAGAAAGAAGGATTATTAAATGTAACCGAGCAACTATGCGCGTTAATCAATCGAATCGAAATCAAGCATAAATCGCACTGAAAACTTCGCAAGATTTTGAAAGTAGCAATACAGATTCTGTGATTATAGGTCTTCGCTACTTGTGGCAATCTTCAATCGAACTTCAATCGAGATCAGAAGATCAGATACACTCTTCAATATTATCCCGTAGCGAAATTGCATCCAATTCCAGCTCGTTGCAAAACGGTCAATCATAACACAAATTCTTGTTGCATCGTTTTTAAATTGCTACAGTTTCCATTATTTCGACAGGAAAAGATCGACGTCGTCATCACGATTTTTAATTGTAACTATCGAATTTCAATGCACGCGCAAGAGAGAAAGTTTGTTATTATTAATCTTATCTTTGACAGAATCTGAAGAATTAGAGAAATAGTATTAGAACCGTAAAGTTTACGCATGTATTTGATTATACAATAATTGTTATAAAACGAGAATTCTTTTTATTTATCATTTTACGATACTGGCGTTTAGACAGACGTCTACCACTTCCTCAATAAGTGATCCGACGATGCAATCCTGCCTTTACAGCGTGCTTAGCATACATATTTTGCGATTTTGATTCTTTTCCTTAATGTGAAATGCGCTAGCCGTTACCTGCATGTTGCGGGGAATGTTGTTTGGGGGAGTTCATGTCTGGTGGCTCGTCACTGAAGGACACTGACTTTTCAAACGACACCGACTTGTCTGCAATAGATGTTGATCAGCATATTTTTGCGTGGTATATGTGCGTAAGAAGCGTAAGAAGCGTAAAGAAGCGTGTACATGAAGGTGTGTCTCCGGCTGGGATGGACGTCGATAATGGGGAACGAACCAGCGCGGGCTTCCGGAATACCTTTCTCGTTTGTTTGAAAGAATCTCACTTTATGACTTTGACATACTAATTAAGCTGAAAGCATAACTTTGTGTTCTCCTTCAGCTTACTTCATCGACTCTTTTTATCCAAACTAATTTGTAAGTATTTAAATTAATATAATTATAACGTTTTGTGATCTTTACTTCTGGGAAGCTATACGGGCAGATATTTTCGCGAATCACCCCTAAAGCCAACGCTGAATAAAACGATCGTGAAGAGGAGACTTCGGCGTGTGCACCATGCAAACGAAAATTATGGAAGATCACAGGGAACATTAGGTTGGTATTCATAATTAATTTTTAAGATTAGCTTGTATGGCGCCTCGTTAATTCATTATAGGCTGAAATACTTTCAAAACTTTCAAACTTTTACTATGCTTCAAGCATTTTTTAACATTAGATGTCATTTAGATAAATTTTTTTTAAAGATAATTATATTAAATTATCTAAAAATAGATTTTCTCAAAATAAAAAAAAAATCATTTTATTTGAAGTACAAAACTAGCTTACAAAAAATGCACAAATTAATAAAATAATAAATATATTTTATATAATATAACAATAGAAAGCAAATTTAATTTTTCTTCATCTATAAATCGCGCATTATTGTGAATCATCTTCTATCTACTGATTTAAATTATCTATGAACAGCATTATTCAATGCTTAACTAAAAAGTTTTTTTTCTATAATTATATTATAGAAAATCCTAGAACAATCCATTAAGTGCATGTCTTTATACGACACTGATTTTAAGTAATACTTAAGATGTTACATATCAGCTTTTGGTTGATTATATAATAACATCTTTTACGATACATCTGTACTCAAGATAGTCTTAAAAATGTATAATAAAAGTCGATTATGAATACCGGCCATAACGTATTATAAATTGAACAATAGTACTTTCTTTAAGAGGATGCTGGAGCCGCCTATATTACCGATAAAACCAGCGTTTTTGACGTTTCCGTTCTTATCTAATTTCTTCGTAATAATTTCGCAGAATAAAAATTTCTTCTCCACGATTTAAATATTCAGGTTAATGTACCTGCCCCTGGTGTATTTTGTGTCCAAAGCTGGAAAAAGTATGAAATCATAGATTTCTTTATTCATTTAACCTCAGTATAACTCGACTAACGCTGAAGATAAAAATGGATAAAGTAATCTGCAATTTCATATTTTTTCCAACTTTGGACACAATATAGACCAGGGGCAGATACGTTAGCATGAATATTTAAATCGTGGAAAAGGGGAATTTTTATTCTGCGAAATTATTATGAAGAAATTAGACAGAAACGAAAACGTCAAAAACGCTAGTTTTATCGATAATCCAGCATCATCTTAAAAACGGTATTTCAGCCCATAGAAAACAAAACAAGAAGTTACTAAAAAACGATTTAATATAACAAGAAAAATGATAGAGAAAGAAAACAATTGAACAAATCAGCAGATTTAACGAAAATTTTAAAATATTGATGCTATTGAAATTTATTGATGAGATATTCATGAAATCAAGATCGTATGAGCGAGAAGAGAAAATACGACACAGATGTGTGTGCGAGACGTGCAACGATGACAACGCAAGAGATAAAAGGCGACAATGCGGCGAACATTTGCAAAGTGCATACATAAAAGAAACGTATACATATCGAAGCGCACCTTTGCCTAATTTTGGCGGTTTAACGTCAGTCCTTAAGTACGAGTCATCTGTAACGGCAGGTTGAGACACTTGAATTTTAAAGGACACGCGTTTTATTAACAGCAATAAAAAGTAGAGACAACGTTAAATATATATAAGATAGAAATATATAATATATAAAAGTAGATAAAAATTGCAATATCTGTATATTATATATATATAAAGATTAACGTATGTAAATATATAAGTAGCGGTTATACAGTGATTCGGAGGTGAATAGAAGATAGAAGAAGATGAGAGACACACCTGGCAGTGAGGCAGAGCTGGAGCTAGAGTGTTTGTCGAACTCGTCCCCGGCGCCTGGTGTGTGCGTTAGTCGGAATAACAAAGCAGTTGTACAGCAGGGTTTTAGGAGAGTTCAGTCCGTGAGACTACACCGCAACTATATGCCGTTGAATTCAACCAGACTCAGTGTCCTCGGAAGCGGCTTCCGAGCTTGTTACGCGAAAATATTTGCCAGCGTGCGTATTTAAACTCGAAACAAAGCTCGCTGAGAAAAGTCAATTACGTTCACGATCGCTCAATTGGCGAAATTATTGAACAAAATTCTGGCGGATTTGTCAACTCGAGACAATCTCTTGCAAAATTCGTTATTATACATTAAGAAATTTATAATTTTTTAAATTTTTATATCGAGAGAGAATTTATATAAAATTACTATTATAATGTTATTTTTATTTGATAATAATCCAGCAGAAAATTTGAATTTCAAACGTTATTTAATTTTATAAAAAACATTAATTTTTTAATAGAAGCGTTTTATCTCGTTGTATATTATTCTAATAAAATTACAGTTGATATTACTGAAAATATTACTGAACGCTACTCCAATGGCCTCTAATTGTATTAATTTCGTTTTTAAAACACGCTGAATACAGGTAATGGCATATTGTTACTGGCGCGTAAAGCTCACGGCATAAATTCTTCTAATATATATGTATATCTGCATGTATGTATGCAACACATATGTATAAGTATGCACGTTTATATCTAAAGTTGTGTTTTAGCGAATCTTGACTTATCTAAAAGACGACTACGACGTTTGTCACAAACCGGTAATACAAAGTGACATATAAACTATTGCCTATTTTTCTCTATGAATATACCGGATATTTTTGACATTATATTTTTATTTCTAGCTCTATTTCATATATTATTTTGCTTCTACAATTCTAACAGTATAAGAAAATTCAATTTTTTCGAAATTATATTTTTGACAAGTTTTATCTCTCTATTATTATATTGTTAGATTATATCGTAAAAATAGCGGTCCTAGAAAGAACGTCTCGACGTAGTCGCCTTATTCTCAATATCTATCGACTATATTGATTCTAAAATGTATTTGCGGTACGATACTGTTACTAAAACTGTGGTTACAAGATGTCAAAGTCAAAAGACGATGAAGATGAATAGATGAACAGGCACGGATGAAACGAACAAGATAAATGTTAGTAGAGACTACTTTATATGAGGCATCTAGCAGTCTCATATGCTTCTTAACTGAAACTATCTTAATGAATTAAGTGAATTGCGCTCTAAAATCTTCTGTAAAACAAGCGCTGAAAGGGAATGAACAAGATGGCATCACTAAATAGCTAAATCGATCGTCTTTATTCGAATCAAAAACCTCTCAAAAGAAGCTACAACGGTATTTACGCGGCTTGTCTTAAAAGTAACGAGAATGATTCTAATTTGCGACCCCTTGTCAAACGAAACAAACGTTTTCAATAAATTATTCTCGCTACGTTTGAGACGGGCCTGTGTTCTTACGTCGATACGTTAACGTGGTAAAACGACGTTATCGTGAAAGCGAAATCGAAGGTACGGAAAGAAATTCGGGGAAGAAACGAGATCGGAGATTTTACTGGACACGTACCTGCTGCTCTCGCGTAAGGATCACGTCCCGGTGGGACTTGCAAGTACTCTCGCGGCGAAGGACTGGTGTGCGGCGCGTGTGTCAGTGCCTTCTGCACGAGTCCGGTTAGATTGGCCAGTTGTCTTTCCATGTGCTCCACCCTTATCCTGTGACAGATAAATCTAGGTCAGGAAGTAGTAAGGTTAACGCTTATCTGTGTCGCTCTAAAAAAAAAAAAAAAAAAAAATGGAAGAGCTCCGAAAATTTATAGGCGTTCGGCGAACAACGACGCTTGGATGCTGCAAGAATCATGGTTGCTTTAAACAGACATTACGTATCACGACCTTTTCAGACAGTTTCATGCGCTAACGACAAATAATCCATCAGATACAGAACAATAGAAATCCTGCTTTTATTATATTTAGAGTGCGTTATTTGTGCCATTCTGTCTTTGTTTTATGTTTAATGAATGATGAAGATAGAATGACACAAGCTAATAACGTTTCCCTGAACGTATCCCTAGTTGTTAAGCAATCAATCAAAATGGCGTACTTATGTTACACCTAGAGAAAAAAAATACACAGTAGTAGTAACTATAAAAAGTGACAACAATACATAAATTTTATGTAGAATTAATATACATACATAACTTGGTAAATTATTTCATAATCATTAAAACCATAAATAATTTATTCAATAATGTACACATATATACAATAATATATTAATTTTACATATAAATTGTGTATAATTGCCATCTTTATAATTGTTGTTACTATATTTCTCTCTTAGTGTATATAATGAACAAAAAAATAATTCATAAAATCGCAAAAAGTAATCAACTTAATTTTCTTTTAATTTTTGAAGTTCTTATTTCCCTTGATTTATCCCAATTTTTGCAAATTACGCGTTTCTAAAAAATAAATATCAAATAAAAGAAATTCGATTTCTATAAGTTCCGTTATCAAATGAGATTTTGTCTTAAGCTACATTAATTCTTAATGCTATAATGCTATATAATAATGAAGATGATAATGATAAGCTGAATGTGATATAAAACATAATAAGATGACAACATAGCGGATCAATATCACGATCAAATATATTAATATAATATAGTGTACGTTATATTTGTAGATATTCTTTGAATGAGAACATTTTAGTAAGCAAGAGAAAGATATCTTTCATTTTTATTGAGCGAGTACTTATCATCATAATCTAACATTTTGGCATTCGATCTATAAGAGGTTGAGAGACTTTATATCACAATGTACTAACAATAAATACTAATAGAGACTGTACATATATATCCGTTTTCACCAGAGAGATACATGACACGAAACATTCCAGCATTATTGCAGTAACTTTATAACAGCAACTTTATCCTGTAATATTGCTAGAATATGTTCCATGTTACCTAGACTGACTTTAGTGCTATGTGGAGAAACTCCTTTTGACGAAAGAGATCCTCTCTTCATGCGCCAACGACATATGGTAAAATCTTCATATTCGAATATATATACAATTTCCTGTCAGTGAAATCGGATATGAGTTACATAACACGATGCTAATCACGTGCATCTATCGCTTCACATGACAAGTGACGGCAGTGCCCAATCTACGTCATCACGGTGTGACAGTACATAAAACGATATACAGGGTGATATATGTGGCGTGGATCAGACCAGATACGTGATCCTCATGGCGATCAGTTTCGGCTTGATACAACTTTTGTAAAAGTCGTGCAAAGGTAAAGTGAGTTTGGACGGTCGACAAGTATCCAGTTTAGTTTCCCGATATACATTTCTCGCTCCGCGACGTAGCATTAATTCTGTATAGAAAGTTTTTGTGTCGAGAACTAAATGTTCGCAACAACTTCCGAGTATCTACATGGTTAACAGATTCATCAAAGATGTGAATTCTAAACGAGAGCAATTGCGTAATGCATTTAAGATCTGATAAGTATCGTTATCGATGCGTTGATATTTGAAAGTTATTATCAAATGCGAATTTCTTATACTTATCTCTCTTTACGCAAAATATAAAATACAGGAATATTGTGCAAAGTAATAATTACAATAAAACAATATTATTAAAGTTATTTCTACGTGGATTGTTATGAAAATAACGCAGAAAATAGGAGACAAATATTATCATATTTATGTATCATACCAGCTTCATCACGGTGAGGATAAATATTGTAAAGAATTTCGTGAACCATCTGTTATACCATTCATTAAGTTTATTCAAGCGCATGTGTTCAAAAAATTTGTAATTTTGTGTATTAATTTGTTTTCTTTTTCTGTAGTCTTTTTACGTGCAAAACACCCTGTATATATCCAATGCATTCTCGTCTACGATCGCTAGTCGGCATGCTGCATTCCACCGAGTTGCAAATTATATTGTTTCTATGCATTATATATATATTTTTTGAGGCACATTAATTATTTACATATATAGTACACACGCACACATACACACATCTTACTTTTTTGAGCAATAGAGAGTGTAATTAATTGTTTCGCAAATGTAGAGCATCCTGAAATATATGGGCATTATAAACTGACACATGTAGACATATACAGTATGTAGCATGCATTAAAAATGATATTATTATTAGTTTCTTTTGTAATTAATTATCCAGTAAAATTTCAATGAGAGTTACATAAAGATTAATTTAACAATTATTTTATTTGCGTTTCTTATATTGATTTATATCTTCACATAAAATTCGAATTAAATTAATAACTGTAAATATTAAATAACGTTCTAATTAAAATCCAATTTAAAAAATTAATTGAAAAGTCGTCAGAGAGTTAATTTATATTCCCATATTATTCGTGACGTGCTATATAGGATGCTACTTGTCGTTTGTATAATACCATGTAAAGTAATCTGAATTCTACAATAGATGGAAAAACTCCCGTTTTATTTTTCTTCTAATATTATTGTTATAAATTAATCTTAACAAAAAACATATTTAAATTGTTTTAGTAACTATTTAAAATTTAATTTAGTAATTTTAGTGGTTTACAAAAAATATCTGCAGTATTATACAAACGATATCTCCGTGTGTAATTGAGAAGCGGAAAGATATATATATAAATTTGAAAATTTACATTTTCCAAAAAATCCTAGAAAGGTCATAATCGCGTACCTGCGTGTTAAATATAAATGAGATCGAAACTTTGCGCAGAGCAATATAAATTTTTAATATTTAATTAGTAATTTAAAAAAAATAAAAATTGTTTACATCAATTATATAATCAAATTCTATTCAATATTATATCGTAATTTATATAAATATTTCGTCTAATTATAAAAATGTAATTTATACGATGAAGGTAACATATATAAAGTAAATTCAGTAATCGCTTCCACTTTTCAAGTACATATTCATTAGAATCGTGCCACTGATCGACCTAACTCTGCTTTAAGAGATATAACTCGATGAAATTGGCAGAGGCAGCTCTTTCTTTCTCTCTCTTTCTGTCTTTCTCTTTCGTGATCACTAAATTAAGATATCCGACTTTATCAACATGCACTTGCAGACAATTCGTTATGGACAGAGCTCTCGCTTTACATGGAGAAGGGAGTAGATAGCGTTCAAAAGGGAACACGTACCTCTCGGTCGAGAGAGACTCGTAATGAAATTCCTATAAATTACTCAACTTGGTAAAAAAAACAATGAAAGTTTTACAGATAGAGAAATCGTTAGCGTTCAGACCCGATCAGTCAAGCTGACATTTCACGAATGCGGACGTTATATTTGTGTAACGATCGAGTTAATTCTGGAATAGCAAATTCTCTATAGTTTTGTAGACACAAGATTGAAAAGTTTCCATATCGAAACGGCTCGTTCTGATAAATGCGAAGCCCACTGAACCACAAAATCCGCAAAATATCAGTGTTTGTGAACGCTTTTCGTTGTGCAATAAAGATGGAAATATATAAAAAATATAAAAAAAGAGAACATATAAAGAATGAAAACAAATAATTAATTTAAATGACGTTACCATTCCCTATAAATGTAGCAATAAACCGGTCAATATTGCAATTTAATATCGAAACTCTGAATAGTAATTTAGTGGCCGGAAATATTTCATTTTTCGATGAAGTGAGTTACATGAAAATATTTTATCTCTCAGTTGATGGACGTTTCTTCAAACAAAATGTTTTACATAAATATGAATACAATAAATATTAATATAAATTGTAAATATAAATAAAACATATAATTAAAATATAAACGCATGTATTACTAGCTAGATTATGTTACATCACAAAACAAACAAATATAATTAGTAATAATTCTATATTTATGAATGATTCAAATTATAAAAAAGAACACTATCACTTCCATCTTTTTATGATAAACCTTTAACTATCGACAACACAAATTTTGCACTCATATTAAGAACATGTGTTAATATTAAGAGATTTATAAAAAATTATTTTGTATTATTATTATATACACATGTATTATATATGTATATGTATACTGAGTGTTGGGTAAGTTTTGACTAAGCACTCGTGTGTAGATAGAGTAGACTAAACTTAGGTAATCGAAAAATTTTCTATTATTTATCCATTTTGTAATTTTCGCAATCTTTTTTTAATTATTTAATCACCAAAATGTCTAAAATCGATGCTCAAAACAATTTTAAGATACCTTTAAGAATTCTTTAAGGAAGCGTCAATTTTATCCGATTATTCGATAATTTTTAGAAATTAATATCTCCTTGACTATTGCAAAAATTGTAAAATAGTAAAGAACTTTTCGACTTAATTTAGTCTGCCCTATCTATAACACACTAACGTTTTATCAAAACTTACCGGATTCCTGTGTGTGTATATATAACACTTTATTTCTATCGAGTCACAATGCTAAATAATTGTAGATAAAGTTTAAACTTTTGATCGATCCACTATGATAAAATTTTAAGAACCTTTTGTTATGTTTGACGTTTTACTAACAAAAGGTAACAAAATAACAACATCGAATATATCTATCTCTGTTTTTTTTCATTGATGAATCTAGATACTCAACAGATAGAGCTAAAGAATCATGTAATTTTCTTTTTAACTCAACTAGTACAATTGCTTAAAAAGTTTTTAGCTATATTCATAAAAATTGTATAAGACAATTTCCGGAATCAATAAGACTTTTGCCAACAACAGTCTTGAATTCACCAACATTCCGCTTTCAGAGGGTAGCTCGAAACGATGCTCATGCAACTCGTATTCATTCGCAAACAGCCAGCCAGTTAGCTAACCAGTCAGCCAGAGCCAGTGTGGCACGATTCTCGGATGGTTTCAATTCTTTCTCCCGCTCCTTCTCTCTCTTTCTCTCATTTCTCTTTCTCTCTTTTTATTTTCATTTCCTTTTTATTCCGCGCAGGCAAGCCTCTACGCAAGACAAACACGCAGGCGACAGAGTGTGCGTGACGTGGGGTGCAGTACCGAGTAGCGTCGTAGCCCTGTCCGCCGGGTGGCAGGGGTGGCGGCGCCCCCGGAGGAAACGGGGACCGCGGGGGACCAGACGGCGGACGCCCCGATGGTTTCACGCCGTAAAGGCTGTACGATTCCTCCAACAGCTCCGTATCGCTGCACCACCCACAACAGACATACACATCCGCGCTATCAGACATCCGTGTGGAGGAGGTCACAGTGCGGAGACCAGTGTCAGTAAGGACTAGAGGTAGGTTTCAGTCATTCGGAGTAGGTGAGACTGGAAACGTTTTTCTCTGGAAAAAAGGTTGCCACCAGAAGGACGAATGGATCGGGGTTTCCAGGTGAGTGGAGTTTATTCAAACGGATTGTACAGAATCGCTGTATTTACACGGATAGATGTGCTGGATCTCTTATTAAGGAAGCTGTACGTAATAAATTAACTCGTGCATTTATGCCCAGTCAATAATTTGTCGGGGCGGAAAATACATTGTCGGCATTGGACTATCGTGCGACGCAATATTATATGTAGTCGATTATTTAATAAATTCAATCAGTTCCGAAGTATTTGAACAGGGAAAATAAATGTTATCTGTTCTGCGTAAAATAAAATATTGATGCTAATAAGGTGAATGAAATGAATCTCGATGTAATGAAGTAGTTAATATTCTATCGTCGCATTTTCAAATAGTTACTCTTCTCTTATTAAACTTTATATGCAGAGTAGTCTAAATTTTTTATATTTTCCTTAATTCAATAATAAATTCATCCAATTTTTATATTTTCATTTTGATAATAAATTCATCCAACAAATGTTTTTACAAATTAATTTAATTTTAGAAATTTAATCGACAACAACGTAGCATAAAAATTTTAATGCTACATCTTTACCGAATTTGAACTTCTAGTCAGTGTATAATTAAAGAAGTGAAAATTTTCTATCATTTGCACTCTTAGAATTTAATCACTAACGATCTCTAAGCTTTTAAATCGTTTATTTGTTAGCTCTCGGAATTCTGGATGTAATTTTAACGAATGAATACTAATCGTCAGAGAAATTCTCAGGTAAAAAAAAAAATCGTGGAAATCTAGGTCATCTCTTCGTTCCGAAATATTAAAAAGAATCATCAATTATAGCCCTTACAAAAATGTAATACTTGCCAATTTAATTTACTAAAAGAACAGGATTAATTACTTATTTCGAGTACACATTGCGGAAAAAGTCAGATTGCGTTAATTGGAATAATGGAATTAACATTACAATTCAGGTCGAGATAACCAGAATGATATTTCTAATTCTCAATATAAGTAATTTATCATTACCTTTTAGTGTTCAATTTTCAGTCTCAATTTCTCAATAAAAAAATTGTATCACTGCGCGAGATTTTGATTACCTGGCTTCTTCATCGATGACAGGCGTAACAGTTCCCGAATATTGCGAATAATATGGATCCTCGTAGCTGCTGCCGGCACTGTAAGGCCCGGGTGGATATCTTCCGCTTCCGGAACTGACGCCGCCACCACGCTCGGGGCTGCTCATGTATCCGCTTTCCCCATGTAGCCGATCTGCAGAGATTTAGTGATTCATGTATTAGTGAAAACCAACGTGGAGAGTACCATCAACATCTTCTCTTTTTCCATCTGCACCACTGCGTTGCATTTTTGCATTAGACTGCTTGGGAAATAATAATCGGTTACTATGTACACAGAGAGTCTTGTGTTCGTTTTTATCAATGTAGATTAGTTCCAATCGCGGTTATTTAACATATTCTTTATCCTTTTCTAATTTTCGGAACTAGAAAAAGATAAAAAATAAAATAACCCGAGATTAAAATTAATCTGCATTGATAGAAGTAGGCATTATATTCTAACGACATCGTTAGAAATTATGTAACGATATACAATTAACCTTAGAACGCTATCGATACTAAATGATACAGAATTGTATTGTTCTGAATTAATGTAACATAAGACTTTTATACATTTTATTTAACTTTTAATGACAAAAAATATTTATAGTCCATCTTTATATTATATATAGAAGAAGAAAGAAAGAATGACACACTATTAAATTTAATCTTGAAATGACATAAAGTATGTATAAATCCAATGTTTTCTCATAACGTTTATCAATAAATTGAATATATTAGTAACACAAAACTGCTTAAAAATTGAAATCACTTATTATGTTCTATGTTATAAAAACAAATTGAATTTTTAAAAGCATATCCCCGCTTAACAGATTGAATCTCCTTATAACTAGAGTCTTTAAATACCAGAACCTTTAAGTCGAATATAGATTAGTCAACTAGACTAATCGTCGTCACAATTTTTTATCCTAATATATGATAGCCAATCAGATATATCCTTCCATGATGATTTTCTATTTATGACCATCGAAGGCGTAACTTAGCGATCAATGACTTTGTTCATTTATACATAAAATTTATTATAGATACGATAGCATTCCAGGGTTAAACGTGGGAAAAATGTTGTGAAAATAAAATATCAATTATTAAATAATAATTAACAAAAAACCAAACATATATCTTAATAAACGACTAAAGCCAAGAAATGGTAGGTTACAAAACAAAATCAGCAATTATTTTATTAAAACTCAATTATAAAGAATTCTTACGTTTGTTTTACTTGTTCTATACAATGTTCCTTGTGTTTTTCAAGACAGCTTTTTAATGATTGTTATCATCTATTCATGGCTCGATACCTCCGTCGAGTATGAGTTTCGTGGTGCGCGAAATGTGCAAATGAAATTACAATTAGGGGACGGTATCGACGAGGAAACGTCGTTTATATCAGTCATTACGACATGGAGAGGATAAGAAAAAAGTTCTTTCACGATCGTGCTTCTTATGGGAGGACATACAACTACAGTTCTCGAGTGACAGAGGGAGTGGATGAAAAATGAGATGAAAGAGATGCTGCTTTCCGTACATTATGATATCACACAGCGTTGTATAAGGGAAATGACATACGCAGGAAGTTTCTAGATGTTTATGAGGAGGGATTTAGCTTTAGTGTTGGGAATACGTAAAATCACGATAATTTTGTAATGGCTCTACAGTTGCTGTAAACTTTGTATGTTATGCCATAACCATTAATTTAATTACAAGCAAAATTACTTACGAGAATACTGATAATGCGGTTTTCCGCGCTTGCATTAAATTAAAATACTTCACAAGATATTATTATCATACATTAAATTAAATAAAGAAAATTAATTATTAGACGCTACGTTAAATATTTTTGATCAAATTAGTGATAAAAAAATAGTAAATAATTTATTACACATTTTAAATTTTTTGAATCAATTTTCGAAAGAAGGTTAGTTTTACAATACTCAAAAAAGTTTTAGTTTTCTTTCTTCGCGCGACATGTCAACGGCATAAATTTCACCAGCGGATTCCATTCACATTTATTCCCAACACTATTTCCACGGTCTCGAGGTCGTTTAATTAAAACTTGACTCGACCCGGTTTGGCTAATCGCCACTGCCAATTTTATGATTTTTCTGCGTTCTAAACAGCCAACCATCCCCATGATTCAGTTTCTCCTTAATACAAATATGCCACATTTGTTACATTTTTGTCACATCTGTTACGTTTGAAATTTATTAGTCCTTTACTCACATAACCTGTACCATTACTCTTCGCCCAACAGCTTCCTTCCATAAAGGATATAAAAAGATTTCTCGTTTACAATGTACGTTTACTAATTTCGGACAGACGAAGATTAGCTTGCGATCTTGAAACGACTTACATTAAGCCTGCAGAGATTTATCTACCGCTAGGATTTATATGCATATCGCTGTAGTAAACAATAAATAACGTTGCTATTTTTCACGAGTAACTAGATTTTATTCTGCATTATAAATAGATTTTACATATTTTATTTTATATACAATATGCAACTGATTGTGCTGTTGTATAAAATTTGTAAGGCTTATAACGACATCTTTATATTATATAATAAAATAAATAACGTTATAAAAATCATTAATCGGAAACTGTATAAAAAGTATGCGCTACAAATTGTTAAAAATGTTTTATAAAATTTTATAATATATAAAAAAAGAATTCTTTGCAATATTTTAAGATGCATATTAGCATCGTTGTCAAATTGACTGTCAATTTTATTATTATTATTTTAACTTCTATTTAGAATTGTTTTTATGTCCGGCATTTTTAAATTGGCGTACAGTTCATATAAAAAATGTATTTAAAACTTACATATAAAATATTATTAAGCAACATTAAGATCTAGTCTCGACTGCATTTAAGTCTTCTTTACTTATTTAAAAAAAATGTTTATTGTTACTTGGACATATAAGGTGGTGCTTTTTTCCAATGTACTTTTTTTTAGTAATTAGTTGTAAGTTGCGTGTAAAATAATTACATATTTACTAGAACATTGTTAATAGAGTTGGAAAGTAACTCGTTACTTATAACAAAGTTATAGTTGGAATTACTCTTTTTCAGTAGCTATATAACTCAATTTCGTTTCTTTCTCTCCATTTATAACTATAAGTTAACTTGATTATATTTTAACTAGCGGCTAATTTAATAGTTACTTTTATAGTTCTACTTTTCTACTTCATATCATAACTTATTTCTCAACATATGACCAAAATAAAATACTGAACAGTCAGTAATTATTCTTTTTGAGATTGGAATATATTTTTATTCTTGAAAATTATCATATTCTGTAAATATTTGTATTAATATTATAATTAAACTAAGAAATTTTTTTGAGAGAAAAGAACTAAATTGTAACAGGTTACTTTTATGAAACTTTCTCAATTCTGGTTATTAGTAATATTAGTAATCAGCAGTTTTGCTCAGCAATATACAATGCTTCATGGGCAATTTTAGGTAGTAATCAGCTTTAATATTTCTTGTATCGCCTATGTGTATTTTGTACATAATTCATTCAACGGATATTTTATTTTTGTTAAAACACACATACATTTGCGGTCATTTTTATTGCAGTGTAGCTCAAAGTAGGCGTTATTGCTTGGCTCGCGAACTTCAAAGATCAGTCGGAGATATCCATAAAGCACGTGTTATTGGCGTCCCGCGATCGCAATCCGTCGCGGAAGGATCGAGCTGTGTCTGACGAATGTTTAAGGATACTACTGACCTGGTATACTATAGAGGGAGACCGAGCTGTCTCTAGAGAAGCGTGCCGAGCCCCCGAGGCTTCCAAGGGGACTCTTACCACACTGGTAGCTGCGAAGCGGCTTGGCCGGCGGCACCCCGCCAACACCTATCCAACCATCCAAAAAACCAAACAAAAAACCAATGTACCCAGGTGCTCCGATTTACGTATTTCCAGTTTCTCCGTCACCCTCCAATAAGCCGTTCGACGTTCAGTGCACATGCAGAAGTGAACAAGTACCGTGATCCACGCGGCAGTTGGACCATTTTCTCACGTCTCACCGCGGACTTCGTGTGCCACATCTAATTGAAATTCATACAGCGTGTCCACACAAATGTTCGATACTTCTAAAACGTGAATACAACCGATTCGAGTGAGGCCGTGATAATATTCTTAAGAGCAGCGATTGCGCGCGATTTGTCGGAGACTGGGAATCTTTTGAATAAAAAGGTGCGTTGACAAATTTATACAGTCACGTCTCTTGCAAGAGAACCTCACAAAATATCAAACTTCGATTGCAATAAAATTTTGTATACATACAGGTTACATATAAATTAGATGAACATTTGGAAAATATCAGGCGGCTAATAAACACTTTTCAGGAGTAAATCAATTCTTATGCGGTTTCCAGCTTTTTTATTCTGTCTCAAAAATTATTCAAGGTATTAAAAAATGTTTTTAAGATATAATGTAATAAAAAACCAAAAGCTATTTAACAAAATGTATAAGGGGTAATTTCCTTAAAATCATTAGCCTCTCAATTGATATTTTCCAAATTCATTAATTTATGTAACTTTTACGTATACAAAGTCATTAAAATTAGAATTTGACACCTCGCGAGGTTTCCTTGTTAGAAATTTATCGATGATTGTCATGCACCTAGGTTTATACTACGAGTTTAAGTATAACCGCGCGATTACGAGCGTCATTGAAATTTTGACGTAACAGCTTGTCGACTTTTACATATATGCACTTCTCGACCACGTTACGATAATCGTAGCGTCAAGAGAAATGTCTTCTTTAGAAAATGCTTCCGTTTGACGTTTTTTTCTTGGCTGACAGCATTTAGCAGACGCTCGCGTGTTTTACTATACAAAATAGATATGCCTCGTCATAGTGGTTGATGATTAATCACGATCGATCTGCGTGCGATTGGGCTATTCACGCGTCCTAAATCAGTTTCTCTCGGTATCTCCGTGTAAAACGTTTCTCTCGACAACAAGGAGAACGCTGGCAGCCAGAAATGAGGCCATCCTTTCCCCTTGGACTAGCAGATAGCCTGTTAAGTGTTTTTGAATAGTTCTCGAATAGCGCTCGGCCAAACGCCGACGGTCGTAACGATCTCCGTTGTACGATTAAAAATCGAAACGACCTTGCAACCGTCGATCGGAAATATGAAGAATGAAAAGCGATTGCGAGTGTGTGCGTTTGTGTTAGGATATATGCGCTTAAGCTCAAAGCACGAGGTAGGCGTTTGAAAAAATTGGTCGAGTTTCAGGAAGATTTCAAGAGGAAAGTGCGCTAATTTACGAACAATCGTTATTCCTTTCTCATGCCACTCTCTTCCTTTCTCAGCCAATTAAATCGCGAAGATAACGATCTTGAAATATGATTTAAAATGCTAGAGCTTATAGTATATAGCAAGTAAATTTTGTATTTCACCTGGAATAACATTTACAATCATCTACATATAATTATTACAGTTTCCAAAGATTGAAGAACAATTGTTGTGTAATTGTTATATAAATAATAAATATAATAATTATATTCGTAATGTTATTAATAATGTATGTTGCTTATTCTAAAGAAATAATAATTAGATAACTCTGTTGCATTAAAATGTAAAAATTATTCCAGATTATAAAGCCGGGTGAATATACTTGTATAATATGATCCTCATGCATATCTTGCTTTTGGTACTTATATGCTCGCACTATAAATTGCAGCATGAACTTACATATAAAATAATTACAGCCGCTCAGTCGATTGACTAGTCGCTTCGACCAATTTTCAGCAAAATGATTAAAGAAATTCTCATTTTTTTATATATCGCGTACACAGGTGTTTGGAATCGTCAAAATGAACAATTTAAGCGTATTGCATAAAAGGCGACCAGAATTTTACAATGTCAATATAAAATATGTCTTATACTGAAATAAAATCTAACTTTTTCAAATAATAAAGAAAAAGTTGATTTTCTGTTGCTCTGTCCAGTTTCTCAATTCCTCGTAATTTCTTCTTACCGAAAGAAATCTCCTTTTTAAAGATATCAAATTTTAAATTCGTCCTCCAATTCGCCGAATTTTTCATGAATTTTGTAAAATCTTTTGGTTTTACAATTTTTAAGATAGGACGTAATACATAGGACATATTACGCTCGTGTTGCATCGATTTCTCAAAATCTGAGAGAGTCAAGAAAATTTTGGGATTTTAAATCAATGACGTCTTTTTCAGAAAGGTTTCTGGTCACCTTAGGTAAGTTATTTGAGGGAATGCAAAATTTTACGCGGGGCGTGCGCGTTGCATAATATGTTTGCATTGATCTCACAAGGGGGATGGTGTACTACTACAGAGAACATTGGTGCAGGCGTGAAGGAAATGCATAGGCGCACGAAGCGGTAAATTCCCATTGAGAGCGGCCCAAAGTTGTCGCTCTGTAATCTCTTTAGAAGTACATGCGACATCTTGCTTATTATTAGCAGCTTCATCACGAACTCGAAAGAGAATATACATTCTACAAATTACATTAATTTCTGTGTTTCTCTTTCTCTAATCCTGTAAACATTAATTGCAACGGTTAATTATCTATTTAGAGAAGAGTTGTAAGATAATTAAACATTATTCCAATCAGGCCATAAATTTTCAAGTGTTTACTCCAAATTTAATAGGTGGAATTTTTTAATTAACAATCGGCAATAAATGTCACGTGTCGACGCACAGTAGTGTCAGGAATTTAGCGCAAAAACACGATATTTCGAGCGTTGTTGGGCCGCTCGTTTGATGAGTCGTGTCGATAGGGTCTCGAGAGCGAAACTCGTGTTTATGTACAACACGCGTGCACGATGACACACACGTGGAAACGAGAAGACATAGGAAACGCGGACATTCGTATACCTGGTGTGGTGAGAGTTTTCGGCTGCGTCGGGGTCGCGCTTGGACCGACGCTCGACGCCGCCGGACTGTACGCCCTTAGAAGAGGCCCACCACGCGGCAGAGTGCTGCTTCCACCCACATAGTATCCACTGCCGGACGTCGAGTTCTTAGCAGTCTGCAATCAGAAAGGAACTTGTCAGAAAGTACGATTTGGGTCACGCGCTAATAATTCGAAGGCCGAGGAATCGCGGTTATTTTTCATGCCGATCAAGACTCGCAATGAACACCTAATTGACGTATGGTGCAACAAACGTCGGACGTTTGTTCGTCAATTAAAGGGCAATATGGTAATTGTGGTAACCAGCACTAATTACGTGAGGTTGCAAGACTCTCCTATTAGTTAATTGTCGATTCTTGTTTAGGTATCATAATATTTGCAAACGAATCTTTTAACGAGATTGCTCGGGATTGTTATCTTGTCGAGATAGAGTCTTGTCCATGTACAAGCGTCTTCCGACTGTCGCTTTCGTAACTGGTTTCAAGTCTCGGCTAACGTTAGCTTTCCAACGCGAATTTCCAACGCGTTTTTATGATCATTTTAACGGTCACTGTCCCGTGTATATATATTTAACTTGGACAGTTGGAAAATGTTTGTTAAATTTAAAACATTGAAAATTGTCAATTGTTTAACAACTAACTTAATTTTATATTAATTTTTATATTAACGTAAATATGTTAAAAAATAAAATAAATATTATATAAAAAATTAACAAAAAAAATGTAATAGTGATCTAATTTGTAGAAAATCACATCTGTTCATTAAAATTAACATTTATAATGTGTTTTAAATTAACACATTTTATTCACTTATCTTAGAGTTTACGTTTTAAAATACATTATTTTTAAATCGCTTGTTCACTTATTCACAAATTGTGTTATTTTAATACTAAGAAATATGTTGAATATCAATTTAACGTAGAATATTCAAATAACACAATTACATTATGTTATAAAATACCATTCGGTATTTGAAAAATTCAACAATTTTAAGAAAGACTGAATGGATCAGTTTTAACACAAACATAAAATATTTTCTATAATAGTAAATTTAAATATATATTAAAAAAACACAAATTTTTTATAAATGTTTTTGTGTTTTCGAATATAAAGTATATTTTTAAATGCGAGGTCGACAATGCAGAGCCTTGAACCTTTCTATTTAGCTCTGAAATGCACTTTGAAATATTTATACGCGCAATAAAGCGTTTGTAATTCCGCTCCCGCTTGCAACATGGAATGCCTAAGTTATTCGCCGTATCATCCCGTTTGTTTCGCGCTGCTTGCCTCGCCAACTTTCCACGAAAGATTCACTTTCCCATATCGATCACACAGACTGCATGACACATACAGAATATACGATTAGCGATCCCGCATAAGGCTTTAAACGGTTAATAAAATAAAGTTGTTTCTCTCGCACATTACATTCAAGTTGGCGTGACGAAACGTAGTCAATAAATTCTTTACGATAATAATTCGCGACCGCAATTTATTCGTCTCACCAGTGTATTATATTGTTGAAAAAATCGCCAGAACGTGTAGTGTTTTCATATAAAAATATCACAAAATCTTTATTTCGAAAGTAAAAAGCATTTACATAATTGTAAATATAATATATTTCATCATATCCGCACTTCTCCATATTTTTTCATCATATGTAATGATTAGACCGACAAGTTTTCTTTGTTTTCGTTATCCCGTTTGTATCGGAAATCGATCATGACAAACACACAGCAATTACATTGAGAAAACTTTCTGGTTGAAAATAAATAAACCAGTTGATTCTGATCATATCAATCAGAATTCTAGCAGAGATAATCAGATGTCCAATTATGTGACCGGAATTCTGATTTAATGTAATCTGATTCGTTTAAATTTCAACCAAATATTTTTTTAGTATCCTACATTTTCTAACACAATCGCCATTTATATTACTATGTTGGAAGTGCATTAAATTGTTCAAAAAAACTCGAGAATACATATAACAGACTACACGATACACGGAACATATTTATAATTAGCGATCCCGCATAAGTCAACCATTCTAACACAGTTAATAAAATGAAGCTATTTCTCTTGCATATTATACCGGAGTTAGTATGGCGAAACGCGGTCAATAAATTTTTGCCCGCGACCGTGTTTGTACTATTTTACCATTTTGTATTAAATTGAAAAACCCGGAAAAAATATTATCTCAAGTAAGAATCTTTCAAAACCTCTATTTTAAAAGTAAAAAATATATGTAACTGCAAGTATATTTCTTCATATCCGCGTTTCTTTGTATTTCTTTATTTGCTTTCATCTGCAATTGGACGATTTTTCTTTATTTTTGTTATCCCGTTTGTACTAAAAATCAATCGTGATAAACGATAGTCACAAGATTCTCTAACCGTACTTTGTAGATATTTATACAGAACAAAAATATTAGAAGCCTCATTAACTATTATTTAACTAAAAAATTGATTTATGTGTATTTGCGCACGCTAAATTACTTGTTTAAAAAACTCTTTTAACTTCATAATGTCATAATCAATAGAAAACAATACAAGTAAATTCCACGTAAATGAAAGATATGAGCGTTTAATACTTTTAGCCAAGACGTATTATGTTATCTCTATTTCGAAATACAAAAGGCATCCATTGTAAATACTATATTTCTTCATATCTACATTTCTTCATATTTCTTCATTACCTGCAATTGTCGACGATCTTTCTTTGTTTTCGTTATACTGTCTGTATCAGAAATCGATCGTGACAAACGCGGTGGTAAATAGGTATGAGAATAAATGTGAATAGGTCTGATACAGATATACATCAGGCAAAGAAGAAATGATCGCGCGTTCCAATATGGACATTCTGATATGGGCGTTCGATCCGTAGGGACCGTAGGGGCAATCTCTATCTTCGTAGTCCATTCTCATTCGTATCGGGATGAAAATTACACGCTGTGCTCAATGACGAAAATGGGCTGCTTTAACCTGCGGCCGCCACGAAAAGTCCCTCCCTCTTACCGATTCTTACTCGCGCGCTCACACTCGGCCAATTCACATCAATTTCGCTTTAGTCGTTGTTTACCGTCGCCGTGAGTTCAACTCGCCGCCTCACTCGCCGGGCGAATCGCCCGGAAGAAATAGAAGTCTGTCGATGTAGAAAAGAATTGACTGAGAATTTAATTAATGGGGAGTGGTTTTTCAAAGAACGATTGTATCTAAAAATCTATGAAAAAGGAAAATTGAAAAGAGAGAGAGAGAGAAAGGAGGAAGAACTAAATTTTGCTCTCCAAAGGAGATTGTTTAGTTTTGTGGCGAGACTCACGTGTACCTTTCTTTTTGGCAAACGAGAAACAACTCAGCGGCAACAAGAGAAAAAGAGGAAAATAACAGCTCGTCCAGGCGTTAATCATACATCGAATAAAAGAAAAGAAAAACGACAAATATTCTTCCACTCCTTTTATACATCTACAAAGGGAGTGAGAAGGTGTACAAGAAGAAGTCCACGGCTGCTGAAGAGTCTTTTCACTAGACGTGCTTTTAATTATAAAGATCATCAAGCAACAACCGAAAGACATCTGTCGAGATTGTTCGAGAAAGTAAAAAGATCATGAGCCTTGTGCTTTTAGCCAAAGTTTTTACACATCGAGCGAAGAGGGTACAGACAGCAAGATTTCTCTGGGTTTTTCGGCAATCGTGTCGAGTGTACTAAGAAAGTATACACGACAAAGACTTTAGTTTCTTGCTCCTGTGTCGGTAAGAGCAAATAAAAAGAAAAATCCAGAGACGAAGTCTATTTGGAGGACAGAAAATCCGCGTCGTTGTCCTGATCGAGAAAAGTGTCACTTGGCGAGTGACAAGTGAGATAAGTCGCGAAAAAGAGTTCGCGAAGCAGAGGGACCAAGTGATTGTAAAAAATCGGCAAGCTGTGAAGAAAGATCGGCGAATGGGGCGGAGATGCCAGGTAGTCTTCTACAGTTTGAACAGAAAGACGGTAAGACGAGGGAACTTGCAGCGTCGCATGTAGCGGCTGAAAAAGGGATACCGTCAGGCGAGGTCGGTAAGAAGAGTTAAACGGACAACGTTGGGAGACAATTCTCTCTTTTCGTGATCGCGATCAGATAGTCGTGGGATAAGATTAAAGGGAGAGAAGGCCAGAGTGGGCCAAGGAAACGAAAAGAGAGAGAAAGAGAAATCTCTCTCTTCGGAGTAAATATAACGAAGAGGAAAAGAAGAAGAAGCAACGGCCGTAAGGAGCAAACAACAAACTTTCGTCACGAAACGATTGAAGAAATAGTAATTAGATGCAGCGAGGGCGATGATCAGATAAAAATGAAGAAATTCGTGACGAACTTCGGAATTAGCATACTTCCTTCCACGTCCTTGATCCTTCTGAGCTTGCTCGTTGTGGCGGTTTCGAAAACATCGACTGGGCTTGTCGGCGCCAAGAAAAATTTCGGCACGCCGATGCACAGCGTACAATTAACGCAGAAGGGCTACATTCAGGTGAGAATCGCGTGTAATAACGAAACCAGGATCTTCAGTATGTAAATTTGATCCTTTCTTGTCTAAATTATTTTTCACACATGAGAATTAATAGGAAGATTAAGTATATTTTATATTTTTTCAACTTCATCCAATCGGAAGTCTAACGTAAACCAAAGTTTATTATATGGAGAAATTCATAAAGATTTGTCAAAAATATACGTAAAGGATGATATAGCTAAAGTATCTAAAAATTTAGCGAACTATAAATCTGAAAGTAATTTTGTTGTTACATAAAATTGTCTCGGTAGTCGAATTGAGAGAATGTTCACACGGAATACGAAGATTCGGGTTAGAATTTCGGCTGAAGTAATATTTTTCACAGTAAGTTCTTTACAGATTTTAAGATGCTAGTAGTGTCAAATCAACGATCTAATTTAATTTTGGGGAATTATTATTTCAGTTTAATGTTACAAATCCGAAAGTAATCAATTTCTAGTAATTATGTATAGAACGCTCAAATTGGTTACCAAAATGTCAAAACTTTTTGCTGCATTGTTTATCATGCTTGAGATTCTTAGATAATTATTTAGATGCATCAACAAAGTTATTTTCAGATCTGCACGTAGCTAAATTTTTAGAT